TGCTGGTGTTTGTTTTTTTTTTAAGTGGTGCGGGTGCCTCGGAGTTTTACAGAGGGTATCGCGTGGGCAGCTTCAGTGTTTGATAAGAGACAGGTCAGATTCCTGCTTGTTCAGAAGAAAAAGCGCCGTTGTAGTCGTTGGGCAATGTTCACAAGTTCCTCCCGTTGAGGAAGGAAATAGGAAACAGTATATATGCACATATGTCTCCTATAAACTTTTAGGACGTGGATGATACTGGGCCCCTAGACTGAGGCGCAGATGTCAATGATACGGATCCACCCCAATGCTTCGGGTCCTGCAATAATATGCGTCTTTTGTCCCATCACCAACGCCCATGCCTCCCCCAATCTGGATACCTGATACAATGTGCCCGCACAGAGTCTAGTGTACGTGTAAGGAACGCGTCCACTTCCACTTGGGAGCTCCATACCTACCTACAAGTAGACACACGATACATGGGCTTTAGGCTTGTTACTACTCTATCTGTTTCGGGGTTCCCACCCGCATTGTACGTTTCGGGTTTAGTGTACGCGTACACTAACGAGAATGGGGGCCTCTGGAGTCTGGTCTGTGAGACGGACGAGTGGGCAGTGCGGGCAGTGTGGGCAACCCAATTAGGGCATCTGGGCATCAAAGTACCTCGTACCAATTGCGTATTGGGTATTGGGTATTGTGTGCCTCGTCTTGGGTGGGTGAGTCGATTTCTTTGTTTCTCGCCTTGTGGGTTGGCGAATACTCGTACTCGGTTTCCCACCACCAATGTACTCGGTACAAAGTACATAAACTGGAGATCCGGCTGTGGCGTCCCCCTGCTCATAGTACTTAACCGGTTCAAGGGATCGAAGGACGATAACAACCTAGAAAAAAAAAATAGGCAACAAGGATTCTTTTTGTGGGACCTCGTGTTCTGAACAAGGCTTTCATTCTCTATCTCTCTGGGATGTCTCGCGCTTTATGCCCGATCTTTCGAAAGTCCAAAAGTATGCGCCAGCCACCTCCCAGAAGAGGGGGATTCCAACGCCAGCAAGCCAGTCCGTCCGTCTGTCATGTACCTGAGTTCTCTCCAAGCACGGCGTTTGGAAATTTCAGCCATTCCTGCCACTGCGAGCCCAGGTCCCGACATATAGACTCGATGAGGAATCGGCCACTATCGCCAAACAGCCACAGGTCGCGGCACCGGTGCAGCAAAACGGCATAATGCGCAAGGATGATGAGTGCTTCCGGATGTCTGTGGCGCAACAGGTCGACGTATTCGGACGGGACGAGCGCCGGCCAGGCAAGCACCGTGGGCACTGCGATCTTGGTCCCCGCGGCAGCACGCTGCGCATTGAAGACCCGCTGGAGATGGGAGATGGATTCTTGATAAGCCTTGCGAGAGCACGATGCCATGTCTGCCGTATTGATCATGTTCCCAAGTATGTCACATTCTGACCCATTCGCGTCCGTGGTCTCCATGAGGGCTTGGGTCAGTTTCAGGCGCGGTCCCAGCTCCGACTCGAGTAGCAGATCCCGACTTTCGTCGATGACGGCGAGCATACCCCGGTAGACATTCAGACAATGGGTGAACCTATCAACAAAACTTTCGAGGCTGTCTCTCTGGTAGTGTAATGTTTCACACAGCAGGTGGAGTCCGACCCCAGACGAGAACAGGAACATGCGAAGACAATTGGCGCGCGTCACTTCCAGCACCGGATTAGCTTCGTTGAAAAGACACAGAGCGCGGTTTTGTAGACCCGTGGCATACTCGCGGTAGGTGCTGCGAGTGTCCGTCCTTGTCGTGCTGAGGTGCAAGGCCGACGTGGCCAGCATCTGATGCATTAGATACGGGGTCGTCAGAGCATGTCTTGTGTAGATGCTGGTGGTCATGAGATCTGGTCGCCCTGGTTCCTCGATGGAGCAACATTCCTCGCTGGAGAGGTTATCGAAGAGCTCGAGATGCATCATGTGTACGCTGTATGGATCCAACTTTTCCTGGTGGCTCACGATGTGCTCGGGCCATGGTGTTGGCGTTGGCGTCGACACCCTGGTAGACGACACCCCAGATCCCGCTGGTGGTGTGTCGGAGAAGGCGGGTATGATCCAAGGCGTGTTATTATCGAGAAATGAACACCTGATCTCTGCCGAGGCGCAATTGGCGCATATTGGCTGGTTCTGATCGCACTTTGAAAAATGGTCAATCCTGGCACAAGTGACTTTGATAAATCCCTGAGTCGAAAGACATACCTTTATATGCCGCCTTTTGCAACCAAGACATCCGTTTCTGGTTTTCCTGTGAGGCCGACGAGACATAGATCGGTATGGAATATGCAGACGCCTGCCAGTGTATTTCGAAGCAATCTAGTGCCCTTGGTGGAATATGGCATGTTCCGGGGAAAAGATGTGGTCCATGCACCCTTGAGTATGCTCACATTTAGGATTGGGTCGAGGACACGGTGGAGATAAAGGACAATCAGGATCGCACAATCGCACAAATATGGCACCCTAGCCCTTGTATACATGCGATACAAGAAAGATGGAAAGCTATGGAACAGAGGAATTGGTAAAGGCACGAGGAAGGTACAGCGACGGTTGCCTAGAGAATTTATCCACCGTGCCAACTTAGCGGAGGGTCGAGGTATCATTATTCTCTCTTATTCTCCGTGGTGATCGGTAGGAGCTGCTCTGCGGCGGAATGGCAAGGATCAGGCAGCAATTTTCTCCTATCAAAGACTCGAGACGAAAGAGTCGGTTGGTTGGACTACATATCCACAAACCAATATCAACTGGCACCACTAAGGCACTTCTGGAGGAGGAACCAGTCTTTTCCTTGTACAGTACATATCATAGACCGCCAGCTTCGGTGGGTATCATGTCTCGAGTTGTTCTAATAACTTCCCTTGCGCCAGTTCATTCCTTGCCTGGTATCGTCCTTACTGTCGTAGATTTACCAACCCATCTGGCACCATCTCTGATCAATCCAGAACACCACTTTCTCTTAACCCGGCAAGCAGCTCTGGTTCCAGGAATCTCTTGACATCCACGTCTTCGCTCAATCCTTTCCTTCGTCTCGTCTTGAGCACAAAGTCTCTCGCCGCTTGCTGAGGGGCAGCCATCTCCAGCGGTCTTATGCGTATGCTTTTGTCCAATGGGTCTCCAGGAACAACATCCCACCGGTCAAAGACCAGTGACACACTGGCTGCTCCTTGACTGTGGATCCGCAGGTCCGTCTCAAATCCAAAACTGTCAATCACCGGGAGAAGAGCTTTGGCTGCATATAGGGGCGTCCCTGCCACAGGTCCATCAGAAACGACATGTCCACGCCTCTTCATCAACACCGTATAAAGACCAGAAATCGAGTCGGCTGGACCGGTCATATGCACACTGTAGATTGGCTCCATGAGTCGAGGGCTGGCCATTAGAAAGGAACTGTAAACTGCACGTCGAGCGGTTGGAATGATTTGGCCTCCACCGCGGAAGATAGGCTCCGTCGCGAGCTCAGCTCCTGTAACACGGAATTTGGTGTTGCGGATCGGTTCTTCGCAGAGTGGCCCTTCTCGCGTGCCCCACGAAAAGCCTTGCTTGATGCTTTCTTGCACAGACTTGAGCAGCTTCTTGTCCGTGGTCGAAGGTAATGTATCGTCACATAGAATGTTGGGCCCCATCTCATCTGGGCCAAACGCCCATATTGACCGAGCCGCCAGTTTATCCCATTCGTATTTCTCTTCAAAGAACTTGGCAACTTTCCGGATTGGATCTCGAATTTTGACATTACCAGCCTCGATGTCCTCGGCGATCCCATCATCTAGCGGTTCAGCGATCATGGTTAGTTTGTTCTTCTTGTTAGGCGTCAACGCGTAGCACATGATAGCGCTCGTCTCGGTCACGGTTTCGCAGAAGCGAGTGACAGGATCCGAGACTTTGATGTCCATCTCCGCATATAGCGTTCGCAGGTCATGTAACACACAATCCATGTATAGTTCTCCTGTTCCTAGGACAACGTGCTCCCCAGACTCCTCGACTTTCGTGGTAATCAACGGATATGACTTGTTGATCTTACGCAAGCCTTCGAGCATCTTGGGAAGTTCGGATGGATTAACAGGTTCGACTGCGACTTTAAAGACGGATTCTGTGAAGTGGCGTATCGGCTTGAAAATGTAAGCATCCTCGCTGTCTGGGAATTTCTCGGAAACAACCGTGGCTGTCTTGACGATAGAGTTGTCGATTCCAGATAATAGCACGAGATTTCCCGCAGGCACACCCGAGACGGGTATGTTGTACCGTGAACAGGCGATCTGCACGCCCATAATAGTCGCCGTAGTCGAATCTTCCTCGTCTTCGAGACTGTATGCCTCTCCAAGCACTCGAACCACCTGATCCGGTGATGCTGTGCCAGACATAATGCGACCGAAAGCATTGAACGTTTTGGCATCTGTTGAGCTGAAGAGTTTTGTGACCTCAATAACCAAGGGCCCGTCCGAGTCGCATTTTGTCATCGAATCACCGACCTTTGATTCTAGAGAACCTGTGTAGTAATTATCGAGCATTCTTCTTGCGCCATCCACAGGTGAAGGTACGTGCTGCACAACCATGTCGACGAAACCACTCGCAGGTCCAAAAAACTGAGCGCACACCAGTTTAAGCAACACTTTGGCGTCTGACTTGAGCTGCGACGGTTTGAGTGTGATACCCAGCGTCTGTAGAGTCGGCGCCAGATCCTCAGGGCTTTCACTGATGGTGTGGGAGTATAGCTTGTAAATGGGCTCCAGCACGAAATTCACAAATGCTCTCTTTGCTCCCTCTTCCATTCCTTTCCGCGTAAACTTTCGGCTTCGAGGGTTGAAGAAAATATCCCCCCAGAGCCGTCTAGCAAACTCGGCAGCGTCGACCTTAGGGTAGGTTTCGGCGTACATCTTTGCAAAGGACGGTAACGTGAACACCCAGTCCATGGATGTGCATGCAAAAGCCACATTGCCCTTTTCAGGTGACAGCCGCCGCTTTTCACCACGGCCCGGAATGGTGTTCTCAATGACTGTGTTGACCTCCTCAACAACGTGTTTTAGTTTGAAGTATGCATCTGTCGGTGGTATTTTCAGCTCGAGGATCAGGCGGTCCATTTTATTTATGACCAAGACCATCGGTATGTCCTCCAAAACAGCGTGCTTGATGACTTGCTCGGTGTTGACCTGAACGCCTTCCACCACATCAACGACGAGCACCACACCGTCAACCAGTCGCAAGCTCGAGGCTACCTCGTCCACAAAGTTCACATGTCCAGGTGTGTCGATAATGTTGAGGATGTGCGATTTCCCTTTCGTGCCTTGCATGACCATACTGATCGGCGCAGCCTTTATTGAAATCCCTCGTTCTCTCTCCAGGAAATGTGTGTCGGTATATCTCAACTGTTCGTCCCTCCTCTTGCCTACCCTCTTATCCAGTCTCTCTTCCAAGTCATGTGTCTGCATGACCAACATATCCACGAATGCCGTCTTGCCATGGTGTAGATGTCCTGCCACCGCAATATTTCTGATGCCTTCGGGGAAATTTAGGAGATCGGTCATGAAGTCTCTCGAGTAGTGGACTGGAGGGAGGTCTGCTTCCTGCACCTGGAACTTCTTCTGCGTGACCGGCGCAATTATCGGTTGCGTGAGCGGCTGTGCATCCTCTTCCTGCACTAAAGTCTCGACTTCTTCCCCGTATACCTGCTGTGCCGTGGGGTAGTACTGTTTGTCCTCGTGTAAGATCACGGCATTGGAGGGTCCTTCGTCATCAACTTCCATAGCCTCCTCCGCAGGAGCTTGTTCCTCGGGTTCTGACTCCTCGTCGTAGACATAGTGTTGGCCGGCGGCGCCATCTTGGGAAGCCTCTTCGTCGGAGGCGGCTTCGCCGATGAAGTTGCCAAACCTGCGTCAATTGTCAACAAAATGTCTATTCCATGGGCTCTCGTATACGACTTACTCGTCATAGAGGTCGTCCATATCAATTGATGATTTGCTAGAGGTAGAGAGTTCGCGGCGCAAAATGAAGCAAATTCCCTGCCTGAACTGCGGAGTTCAAAATTTAAAGTGGAGTCGCCATTTCGAACGCAGGCCGCAGCCTCGCCCAGCCTCGCCCATTCTTGCATGTAATTCTCACCCCTTATCCGCAATTGCGCGGCGGGGAAGGCTGAGATCGCAAACCGACTCACTTAATCAACATCGACTGCTTGTCAAGAGTACAGCAAAATCACCTGATTGATTTTTATTCAAGTACTGGTGATTGAATAGTATCTGACCATCCGCCCCGAACCGGCGAGAATAACAGTCAAGACCACGCTTTTTAGAAGCAGACCATACACCAACTCTCCTGAAGCCTTTTTGACAATTCGTACTCCGCTGATCTATGTCGCATCGCAATGACGGCGCCGTTCAATTACATCAAAGATTCGAGCACCAGAGCGCTCGCTCCACCGCCACCGTTGCAGATGCCAACACATCCAATCTTGCCTTTCTTCGCCTTCAAGACACCTAGGAGTGTTGCAATAATTCTCGCCCCGGAAGCTCCTAGAGGATGACCGATGGCGACGGCTCCACCGTGAATGTTGACCTTGTCCGCAGACAGCCCAAGCAGCTTCATGTTGGCGAGAGCGACCACGCTGAATGCCTCGTTGATCTCAAAGGCGTCCACATCTTCCTGGTTGACCCCGGCGTGTTTCAGAGCCTTCGGGATGGCGAGTGCAGGGGCGGTTGTGAACTTGCTTGGCTGTTTGGCCGCATCACCCCAGCCCAAGATCTTCGCTAGAGGTTTGATCTTCAATCCCTGGAGCTTGGCTTCTGAGACAAGGACTACCGCTGCGGCACCATCATTGAGAGGCGAGGCATTGGGAGCAGTCACGGTGCCGCCATTGGGGATGAATGCAGGCTTAATTGAGCGGAGCTTCTCGGCATTCAGATTCTTTGGCTCGTCATCTTTGTCGACTGTGACGCCGGGTTTTCCTCGAGCACCAGGCAGCTGAACAGGAGCTATCTCGAAATCGAAGAGGCCATCCTTCTGTGCAGCTTGTGCTCGCTGATATGACTGGATTGCGTAGTCGTCTTGCTGTTCTCGGTTGAAGCCATGATCCTTAGCACATTCTTCGCCTTGCATCCCCATATGCTCTTGTTTCCCATATGCATCTGACAGTCCGTCTCTTAAGACACCATCGACCAACGTCTGGTTCCCAAATTTGGCGCCCGTCCGCATGTTGGGAAGATAGTGAGGGCAATTCGACATGGACTCTGCGCCGCCGGCCACAACGATGTCCGCATTGCCGGTCATAATTGTTTGCGCCCCGAGAACGATGGCCTTGACACCCGACGCGCAGACTTTATTGACGGTTGTACAGACAGTCGACTCGCCTAGGCCAGCACCTAGAGCGCATTGGCGGGCAGGGTTCTGGCCGACACTGCGGAGCGTTTAGAACGGAACGCAGTGGGGATTGCAAGCATGTAGAACTCACTTTGCTGACAAGACATTTCCAAAGAACACTTCTTCCACGTCCTGTGGTTTTATCTCCGGAACTCTTTCGAGGGCAGCTGTATTCAGTCAATATACTACAGGCGGTTGAAGGGCGGTTGGGGGAAAGTACCTTTGATGGCATGGGAACCGAGTTGCGGAGCTGTCAGTGAGGATAACGAGCTGGAACATGTCAGTGATACTGAACATGCGAAATGCGCGTGGTCAATACCCGAGAAAGGACCCAACAGGTGTTCGTGCAACAGCGACAATGTAGACTGAGGGGAGGGAAGGCTTGGGATGCGGGACGCCGTTGGTAGCCATAGTGTGATGGGATGTAGACTTTTGCAAAGCAAAGAAACGAGGTTCAGCAAAATGTATATGAGTTTTCGCTCAAGTCAACGAATAGTATTCAGGACGTTTGTACATGGAAAGGCACAAACACAGGAAGACAAATAGTTTTGTTGATTGGAATCTTTGAATCCCCAAAATTCTAGTGTGGAGAAGGATGCGTGTAACTGGCATATGGTGCCACCTCGGATGTGTTCACCGCTGTGGACATGTTAATTAGCGAGGCTACGAGGCTGGGTCCACGCTTGCAACGTACTCCGGATGTCACCACTTACTCTTCGGTGACGACTTGTCTCAGCCATAGTACGAGGTACTCGTAGACTGGTGCAAGCTGCCCGCCTGGCTTTCACCGTCGCATCGAACCCCTCTAAAGAGACTGCTTTCTACACAAGTCGTAATCTCACCCGAGCACGGCAGTGACGTTTGCCTGAGAGATCGAGTGTGAAGCCGATGTTCATGCTTCACGGTCTATCTAGCAAGTGAGTATTTACAAGAGGGTACGAAGGCCACTATGACCCTCATCAAGTGGCGACACACAAGGTCTGGCAGAATTGTAGATCCCATAGTACATCTTCACCTGTGGGCGACTCTCTGACATCTCCCCCCAACGACTGTCACTAAACATGACCTTCATTCTCTCTTAATAAGAACCCAATCAAGGTGCAAATAAAAACCTCCCTACCAGCTCTTGTCTATCTACCTGAATTATTGGCTAGAGCTTCGCCCGACTGGATGATGTCGGTTGCAAAAGACTTCTAGGTCCCCCTTCGAGAACCCCTGCGCCTCTCGGTCGAAGACAGTAAGTAACAGATCCGTCAACAGTCTCACGATCTGCTAATATGCGTCAGCAGCCACAAGCATGGCAGATATCGATGCGGCCAATGCCACTTTGGCAGTCCAACTTGAGCTACAGGATCTAGAAACGTCCCTGACGACAATTCCCAGCAATGAAGAGAAGGCTCGAATCCGCGACCGCGTCGCTACCCTTCACTTCCAACTTGAAGAACTTGCGATATTCGATACCCAACAAGCAAACGTGAGACTACAGCAGAGCATCTACCGAGCTATGCTCTCAGACTTCCCGGAAGTTGACAGAATACTCGGACAAGAAACGCATGCCACGAACGGTAATCAAGATCAACAATCCGAACAGAGAGACAACAACTCAGCCACCAGAGTCGTGGGCAAAGATGGATACTACGAGGACCCCCGAATTCAACCCGATGGAAGTACTAGTCTAGAAGCATACGTACATGATCTTGAGGCTGACGAAGTTCATTCATCGGCAGAGTGCTACGCTTGCATGGGAAATATCCCGTATTCTCAACTCATCAGTCATGAAGAGTGCGAGCATCTCTGGTGCCGTCCGTGTCTGTTGGAACGTTTCGAGTTGGTTTTGAAGAACGAGAGCCAATATCCTGTCCGATGCTGCCGGAGACTTCCCATTATCTCCCATCAAAATCCCACCATTGTGCGACTTCTCGGAGAGGAAACAGTCGCCAAGCTGGAGTTGAAGATCAAGGAATATACCACAACCGATCGGACGTACTGCCACGACCCTAGTTGCTCGACATTCATTGACCCAGACACGTTCGCAGACAGAATGGCCACTTGCCCCTCGTGCGAGAAACACACCTGTGTGATGTGCAAAGCCGAGTTTCACACCTTCCCCACCTGCAACGAATCCCAGGATAGGGCCTTCAACGACTGGGTAACGGCGAATGAAGCATCGACATGCCCCAACTGTCACCGTGTGATCATCATCTCGCACGGCTGCAATCATATGAGGTAGGTGGTCGACCATACCACGACCAAGGATGTATACTGATGCTCTTCACAGGTGTCACTGTGGAACGGAATTCTGCTACAATTGCAATGGCTCGCTGGAAAACTTGTCAATGCCAGCAATGGCGTGAAGATCGGCTCCTCCAGCGGGCTGAAGCCATCGCCGAACTCCAGGATCGGTTTGCCGATGTGCAACAAATTATCGCAGAAATCGTGGGCCGGGCAGAGGATGAGTGCCGTCACGACAACTGGACCAGGGTCGGGGTGTACTCCAGTGATGATGACCGTTGCTCGGACTGTGGCTGGCACGCTGATCAATTTCTATGGGAATGTGATGCTTGCGATATGCGGGTTTGCAAGAGGTGCAGACAGGACTACTACAGGCACTAGAGCACTACGACGAGAGTCTCCGAGAACAAGCAATTCCGAGTCGCAGGAGACAACGGAGGCTGGATGTCTTCCAACACCCCCACATCATGCTACGGGATCTCGGTGCGACAAGAAGACCGAATAGTGAACTTGACTCCAGAGTTTGGTTAGCGACATGAGAATCACAGGTTATTATTTGATGGTTTGTGACTTTCTGTTCCCGAAACATCCGACATGGCGGCGGAGATCTTAGATATACCTTCCGCGGTGCATTTGCCACTCTTTTACGCTTCGTGAATCTTTCCCAATGCCCGACAGCCCTTCGCTTGCCCGCTTGTCTCCACTTCCCTCTGTTCCGCGTTCCATCAGTCGAAAGCCATTTTGAATCCAGCAAGGGCCCCCAGTATCGATTTCGCATTTTTTGGAATCACAGGACTTAGAGGCCAGCGAATGTGTTCAGGACGGGGAAGGTGTGCTTTTTATGATCCCTCAATGGGGGAGATGAACATTAGTGTTTTGCTGTATACCTGAGGAAATCAAAAAGGGCATGCGAGCAGACTAGATACAAGAGAGACAAAAAAAAAAAGACCACATTTGTAACTCACTCGTGCTTGACATCCACCTTTGCGTCGGCAACATCCTGGAACCCTTTCTTGGGCGCACGAATCTTCAACAAACCAGCCTCCAGCGTGACGTTGACATTCTCTACGTCGGTCGGGAAATTGACGTATCGGCGAAAAGGGCCGACTCTTCTCTCTCCAATCAACAGGTGGACTCCGCCCGGGTGAGGCTCTGTTTGTTCTTCTTCCACCTTTGCGTTTTCGGCATTGCCATAGTCTGGCCTCTCGACCTTGCCCGATAGCAGTAGGGATCGGTTGCCCGTCCAGGTCACGGTGATGTCTTCGGGCTTCTTGACGCCGGGCACTTCGATCTCGATGAGGTATTCCTTGATGGCATCGCGGAAGTCCAAGTCTGGTTGGTTGGGGTGGTCTTCTGGTCTTGGGTGGCGGCGCGCGATGTATTGGAGGAGTGACTGGTGCTGGTGGTGTCGCTCGTGAGGGTTGTCCACCAATGGAGGTGGGTAGTCATAGTAGTACGCGTAGGCCATTGCTTTTGGGATGTCTTTTCTTGAGATTGACAAGAGGTTTCGAGTGAAATTGAGGTTGTGAGGTCGCTTCTGGTTGCGGTTGTCCTTGTAGTGATGTGCCTCTGCACTGCAGCTGCTCTGGTATTTATCAATGGAGTTCTGAGGAGAAAGACGCGAAAGAAATCTCGCTGAGTCGGAGAGGGACACGCATATTTATTTACCCCTACCTGATTCTAGAGCTCGAGGCGGGGCAAGATCCTGGCGGCAGAGCTCGAGCTCCCCATTGCTCGGTCCTTCGTGTGCCGACTGAGAACTCTGAGATCTTGTGACCATTGAGCTCTCTCGCAGTGCCATGGACTTGGTTTTCGGAGCTATTGCTATAGGCGAGGTCCTGGAAAAGGTCTGGGTCCTTGGGGAGGTCGGTTTGGCTCCGGTGGCAGCCGATGAAATGACTTCTAGTGAGGGGCTAAACTCCATGATCTGTCTTTGACATGAAGAGCTACGGGACTTGGAAAGTTGTCATTGGGTGCTCATCTCATGACTGCAAGGGGAAAGTAGCTCACATCATCATGAGATGGCGAGGTGGTGATATGCAGGAGTGGAGTGATGTTCCAATTGCTGAGTGGCTGTCATTACGCAGCAAATGTACCGTGATTACCAAGTCCGTTTCGATGCCTCAGCCGCTCTTCAGGGGAACAGCTTAAGCTGGCGCAGGACTGAGGGAGATTCAGATAGAACATTCCATGGAAGTCCCGTGTTCGCTTCATGATTGTTGGCCAGCCCCGTCTCTGGACGCATCATAGAGGGGGCAGATACTGGGGAGTCAGGAACTGGAGGGACCTCAATGACGCCGTCTAATGACAGTCATTACAAACTGGCTATACCAAATACATCCTCGGCAAACGACTAGCTGCCCTTGTCTCTTGGAAGCTACTTGTACCCTGATGGTTTATTCCAACTTCTTCTTTGTTGAACCGGTCCGTGTCCTCTCCAAAGTTCTCTCTATCGTATGATACCATATGATACCATATGATCTAAAGTGATCCTACAAGTAGAGGGTGTCTACTTGTGCTTGTGGAAGTAAGGTTTTTCGCCGCACGTGCCGACAATCTGTCTACTCACCTCCAATCTCTGTCCGCTCATTTGCCTTGAAGCAAATAGCTAAGTCTTGGCTAACTGTCTCCTGAACGATGATGGTTGCCTCCAATCCACTGAAGTGAGATGTCGACGACACGTGCAGGTCGAAGCATTCGATCCTCAACTTATGATCCTCGTATCCGACTTGGCTAAATCTTACAGAAGCTTCTCGCTGAACCTCAAACCTGGGGCCGTGGAGCTGGGATCAAATGCGTCACACGTGTCTACGTATCTGTAGGACAGGCAGGGGAAAAGGATGGACTACAAGTACAAATATGTAAGGAAGGGCTCGCTGAGATCACCTTTCGCTTCTTCCCCCTGGCAGAGACCCACCAAAGCATTTGCAGATTCCAGAGAGGTTCCTGATTTGCACAAGCCTACTCTTGAGTATCACGATCAAACGTTCGACCTTGAACTTCAACACTCCTCTAAAACCATCAAAAATCTGAAACGGCATCCGACAACCTCATCATGTCAACACTTGAGTGCCTGCTCCACCCTCACCACATCTCGTTGATTGACACGCACTCATTGCGTGCCAAGCTCAATCATGTGGGTGACGCCTACTACAACGTTGACGGCTTACCATCGCATCGCGGGGTATTGGCTCCAAAGTTCGACGTCTTCGAAATAGAAGGGGATGTAGGGGGATGGCTTCTGGTTGGAGATCTGCCGGGGATTGATTCTGCCGATGACATCAAGATTGAGTGGTTGGATGGTAGTACTATCTTCGTCCGTGGGAAAAAGGAGACATCGTCAATCCCAACTTTCGGTGAGACAGGAAGCACGATCATGAAGACTGTTCACAAGGAGAGACATGAAGGACTCTTTGAGCGTTCTGTTACATTGCCCGCAAAGGCAAATGCCAACGGGACGAAGATAGAGGTGAAAAGCGGAGTTGTCTTTGTGAGAATTCCGAAACAGACCTAGGCAGGGGCTGTGCGAACGGGGAGGATGCAAGGACGAAGCAGTATATTGAATGGTATTGGGAGCGGACATTTATTGTCCAAGCCGGTCTCCGCTTTTATTTGGGGGCTTGTTAGTGTTAACATCAACTGGACCTTTTATTTTTATTTCCTTTTCACCTCTCATCGCTTTGTTTCCATTTCTGCCAACATCCCATAAGCCGTCCTTCTGGCGACAACTGCCCTTGTCATGATGACCGACCCTGGCGAGGCTGACAACGTTGTCCAATCAGCGGACGCTCAGCTCACTGGGGGCGCTAAGGAATTAGCGCCCAGGCACGTGACAGGACCAATTCTCCGAATGGCCTTGTGCCTTGCTAAATTTGGCCCATTCGGGGCTTGGGCCTCTGTCGAACGTCCTGTCCAGCAATTCACGCTACTCACATTTCATCGTTTTGATGGATGAATCTGATCTGATCTGACAAGCCACCATTTCTCGACGGCACACTCGACCAACTGTCAAGACCTTCCATCAACTTCATCCTATTCTTTTGCGCATATTTCCTGGCCGGCTGTCTCACAAGTTCCCAAACTTTGCCGCAACGCGTCGTCTCCTCGATTCCCACTCCTTGTCCGACCTCCGTCTCCTTGTCCCTCGCGCTCCGTCAGAGCCTCCTTCACCCTCTACTACCGTTCTCTGGCTGGGACATTTTCGAGTGTCCCTCGCGAAGAACCGCACAATTGACACGCCTTCGACTATTTCAATTTCGTCACATCCACATCCAGCCTGGGCGTCGGCTGCGACAACTTTATCCGGTAACGCACCACAACATCTCCACGATTTCCCTCGTCCCTCATTTATTCTCCGAGTGTTTTGCTGCATGGACTTGCTACAGTCTCAGGCAAGAGACGCGCACAACACGGTCATCCGACAAAAGTCAGTCACTTCCCTCGGGTGCGGTTGAATTGAGTCCGCAACAAGACAAGTGTCGAAGAAACTCTAGGCGTCGAATGTTTACTGGCCCATTTGCCATATATTCATGCAACGCCTTCTGAGCATATTTCAAAAATGGCAGCCCCGCTTGACGAGCTGCACCAGGGGAACTCTGGCAACATGAGATACACCATAGGCACTTCTCGCAACCAGAATGAACTTTCTCCACAGAACTCCAACGGTCAGTACCCATACACTCCGCCAACCCAGGCAAACGGCAACGCAAATGAAGTTCCGTACGATAGTGATGCCAGATATTCCTCTGATAGCAGGACTGGAAGAAAGAGATCCGTGGGTGGGCAAGGAGAACGGAGCAGATCAAGAACAAATGGCAGCGCAGGAAAGTCATCCAATTCGGGAACCAGACAATGTAGAAAGTGTGGTGAGCCTCTGACTGGTCAGTTCGTCCGTGCGCTTGGGGGAACATTTCACCTCGATTGTTTCAAATGCGCCGACTGCGGCCAAATTGTCGCCTCGAAGTTCTTCCCCGTGGATGCCGAGGATGGATCTGGACAATTTCCCCTATGCGAAACAGATTACTTCCGCCGTCTGGACCTGCTATGCTTCGAATGCGGCGGCGCACTTCGTGGCTCCTACATCACAGCCCTGGATCGAAAATATCACATCGAGCACTTCACATGTTCGGTTTGTCCGACCGTTTTCGGCGCCCAGGACAGCTATTACGAGCATGACGGGAGAGTTTACTGCCACTACCACTACTCTACGCAGTTCGCGCAGCGGTGCAACGGTTGTCAGACTGCTATTTTGAAACAATTTGTCGAGATCTTCCGAAATGGTCAGAACCAACATTGGCACCCCGAATGCTACATGATTCATAAATTCTGGAATGTCCGACTTGCACAATCTGAGGCAGTCGTGGAGAGGAGAGACATGCACGCCCCCGTTACCGAGGATGAGCGGGAAACAGTCAAGGAGGATGAGGAAAAGATGGAGGACAAGGTCTATCGAATCTGGAGCACGCTATCTACTTTCGAAGAATCCTCTGCTTCCTGCATCTCAGACATGCTTCTACATGTCAGTAATGGCGTCTATGTCGATGGAGTCATTGTTGCTCGGAAATTCATCTGGCATGTGGACATCCTATTCGGTGCTATCGATACCCTCGCAGCTTTGATTATCAAGGCTCAACTCAAAGAACTTGCCTATGGTCGGGAAGCGAAATTGCTATGTAAGAAAGTTGTGGCGTTTTTCACGCTTCTCTCAAAAACACAGGAGACTGGGGTGCGAAAACTTGGGGTCACTCAGGAACTCTTGTCCTTGGTTACTGGCCTGGCTCATTACCTCAAGTTACTTATTCGCATTGGACTCCAAGGAGCGCTGAAACTCGAACGTGAGAAAGGATCTCCGGAAGGTCTTCACGCTTTCTTGGATGAGCTTGCCGACCTGGAAACAATTAAAGAGCAGGAGATGAAATCACTGGATCTACAAGAGAGTGTGGCAGGACTTGCGAGCCAAGAATCAGATTGCTGCTCTGCGTGCATGGAACCCATCGACGACGAATGTGTTATGATTTACGGCCGCAGATGGCATGTAAAGCCCCGTCATCTTACTTGCAGCGTCTGCCAGCGAGATTTGACCAGCGACCTCGGCATTGCGATGTATAATGAAAGAGAAGAAAAGGTGTATTGCGTTGATCATGCAAAACGGACGCCGGACACGGTCTCAGGATTCGCCCACGTCACGAAGTTACAGCAATATGTCTTTTTACTCCGGGTCGCATTGGCACGCTTGCTTGAGGTGCTAAAGTCTGGCGGTACCCTACCACATACATCCGATGATCCCAACCTGACTCCATACAAAACCAATGAAGGACATCATATATCAGGTTCGGGGGAACCGGTCATGCCTCACCAGATGATGGGATCACGATCTAGATCTTACGCAGGCACATCGAGCCAACAACAATCATCACTGGAACAGACTGTGGGCGAGATGAAACGACTTCGGTCTACACGCAACGAACGCGCTCTTTCCACGACGTTCCGGAAGGCCCGTGAGTCCCGAATCCTCTATGACGGAGCCGGTGTGCGACCAGGTTCTGAAGGAGCTGAAGGTCACGATCACCGAAACCCGGGTGGCTTTGAGATCGTTCAGGAGAAAGATCTTGATGGCCGCATGAAATCGGAACTTACATTTAATAATCAAGAGGGCCTGACCCTGGATGATATTCCACGGATTGTTGCCGCCGAGCAGGCAAAAGAACAACGGCCGAACGCTTTCCGTCATGCAGGCACCAACCTGATTGGTCACCGGGGCAATGAACCTCGACTGGTCAATGGCCATCAGCGAAACTCATCTGGGGGCGGTGCCGATCTCCTGGCTGGTGAAAATCCCCTCAGAACCAAAATATACTTCTCGGAACTGTCCGCACTCGAGTATTTTATTGTCCGGCATGTGGCAGTCCTTTCGATGCAGCCGTTGCTGGATGGGGAATATACCCTCGAGGATTTACTGGGCCTGATCGAACAGCGAAAGCAGACATTCTGGGGCAAAGTCAGTCGTGCACTCCGTGGTGATGCTGGTGTCAAGAAGAAAGGCACTTTTGGCGTCCCCTTGGAGGTACTGGTTGAGCGTGAGGGAGCAGAATCAACCAACGGAGTCGGACCTGGCGCTCTCACAGTTCCGGCAATTGTGGATGACTGTGTATCAGCCATGAAACAGATGGATATGTCGGTTGAAGGCGTCTTCAGAAAGAATGGCAACATCAAACGCCTCAAAGAGACGGCAGAAGCGATTGATGCAAATCAGACCCCCGACCTCAACCGAGAAAACCCGGTACAGGTTGCCGCACTGCTCAAGAAGTTCCTGAGAGAGATGCCCGAGCCGTTACTGACATACAAGTTACAAAAGCTGTTCATCACTTCTCAAAAGATAGTGGACGACGAACGCCGAAGGAGGGTTCTGCATCTCACATGCTGTCTGATGCCAAAGAGTCACCGCGATACTATGGAAGTGCTATTCTCATTCCTGAAATGGGCAGCCTCTTTCTCTCAAGTTGATGAAGAGTCTGGCAGCAAAATGGACATCCACAACTTGGCTACCGTTATGGCCCCAAATATCTTGTACGCGAAAGAGAAGGCACCAGGCGCGCGGCAGCCTCAAGTGCCTCAGGTTGATGAAAGCTTCCTCGCTATTGAAGCCGTCAACACCCTGATCGAATATAATGATCTGTTCTGTCAGGTATGAAGCCAACAAATCTATATTCTATCGTTGCAAGAGCTAACTTTATCCACAGGTGCCCGAGGATCTACAGTCCATCTTGACCGACACGAATCTTCATGGCATACCTGCAGAACTTACAACAAAGGAGATATTGTCCCGGTACGGCCATATTGCTAAGGGCCAGGTGCAGAGACAGACAGCTGCGGCACCAGATGCACCAGTCCGCAGCCCCGTCTCGGCTTCGAATTCGCTTGGACCTGTCGCCACGAGGGTGGATGTCGACCCATACCAGGCCACTGCGTGGCAGAAGCAAAGTTCTGTCAGACCTGTACAGAACATGGCTTCAGCCACATCGACACCAGCACATGAGTTCAACTTCGGCGTCCCCAACAGCCCCTATGCTCGAGACCGCGCAGGAAGTGCTGATAGTAGCGGAAGTCGTGGAGGTGGACCAGGTGGAAGACAAAGCTACCAGCCGAGACCGGGGCAAATGGGTGTCGCAGGTTGAGACACCACATTGAGATTCAACGCAAAAATTTCATTCACATTCTCGAGACGGCGTTCCTCATTGTCTGGCTTCTTGGGCATGATGTCGGATTTGCCTCAAGTCAGAGGCGTCGAACTCGGATGAAGGACCATATCGGTCAAACCAAACTTTCGCACGACCATTATGACATGAAAACACTTTTCCTTTGTTCGGTGCTACACAAGGGGACACAACGGACGGCCTTCCATGCATGACTCCCACAATTGCAGAGCTTTCGTGGAATTTTCTTTACTTGTGCTCCTTCACAAGGTTTCTAACAATTGAGCTTCTAAGTCCTGGCCGGTGCATCGAGCGCTTTTACGGCTTCGCTGGGCACAATTCATTACCATTCTTCACAGCAAGCGGTGCTTCAATTTACGCAACAATTTTCGAGCTTGAAGGTTTCTCTTTTTACTCCTCTGAGCTGTGGAGTTTGTTTCTTTGCCACTCCTTGACCATGTCTGGAGATGTGCACTGCTCGATGAGGGTTGATTGAATACATTTTCTTTCCAAGCATTTGCGATATGCGAACTGGGCTCGCTGTCAGAAAGGATATTCTCGAGAGATTGACTCAGGGCTATGCTGGAGGGCCATTGGCGGGTCATTGTCTCAGCAGACCAATGTTGGATACAAAAGTCAGGCTCCCGAAAGACTCGACTGCTGTAATCGATAACGGCGATGAAGGCGAGACATGCTCGTCGGGAACAGGAGGATTGGGAGAAAGACGCAAGAGTGTAAGAATTGGCAACCATGCTGTGCTTTGCAAGTGCTTAAATGAGCTTTCTCTCTCACGACGTTGGCTTGGAAAACAGATGGAGAGTGACATGGGCACAAGAGGATTCGCGCTGCCGGACTGTCTCGCGGGCAGCATGCCAAAGGATCTCGTCTTGCGATTCGAGAAGGGAGAAGCGATAATGGCAAATGCCTCCTTGATGGAGCAACCAGTCCGACAAATTACAATGACGCCAATTGATCGCTTCTAGCAAGGAGACGTTCGGACAGGGATGTTGACTGAGCAGCTGGGACTTTCTTGTGCAATATCGGGCTTTCACAAATCAAATGTCATGACCCAAGCTTTCAATGTTTTTGCTGAGAATAGAATCGCGCAGTGTTGCGCAATCCTCCCTTGCTGGTGGTTAGCCGTAGTCTACTGTCTATCCGAAGAACATGCTCAGTGCCCGTTGACATTTATTGACTCTATTTCTGGTCCATCACTTCCCTTTCTTTTGTAGGACAGCGTCCATGACTCTTCCCAGTCTCTCGACCGCCTCGTCACTGATCTGGTAATGCACGACCAACCGTCCTCCCCGGGCCTTTAGACCCTCTTTGCTCGCGAGGTCGGCGAACTCATCCGCCGAACAGCCTTCATTTGCAAGATCCAGCCAGACCATGTTCGTTTCCGTCGGGTTGGCCAATTTGCCACCCTTGGCTGCCCACAGCTCCGCGACTTTCCTTGCCCGGGCGTGGCTGTCGCGCAACTTGCCACCTTCGCCGTTGGGACCGTGGCCAAAGTTCTCGGACACGGCGACGCGGGCAGCGGCGGAAATAACGCCCGCTTGGCGGGTGCCGCCGCCGAGCATCTTACGGATTCGTCGCGCGTGGGCAATGAAGGGCTTGCTGCCAACGATGATGGAGCCGATGGGTGCGCCGAGTCCCTTGGAGAAACACATGCTCACACTGTCAAACTCGCGTGTGAAGTCGGGGAGACTGCCGGCGTCGGCGGCGACAGCTTCCCAGATGCGCGCACCGTCCAAGTGGAGTCTGATGCCGTGGAAGCGGGCGAATTGGGAGATGCGACGGATTTCAGAAAGCGGCATTATCATGCCATCGAGGGTGTTTTCTAGGCTGATGACTCGGGTAGGACAGGCGTGGACATCGTCTGAGATTATACAGTGTTTCTGGACATCCTCGAGAGTCAAGTGGTGGCCATTGCTGGGGGTGACGGAAATCAGCATGGCGCTCGAGAGGCAGCTCACACCGCCGGCCTCGTAGTTGTGGATGTGGCCCCTGATGTCGCAAAGCACCGAATGAGGTGGTTGGACCAGATGGCTGCGCAGTGCGACTTGGTTGCCCATGGTGCCCGACATGACGAGCAGACCGGCTTCATGGCCTGCCAGCGCAGCGACAGAGGACTCCAGTTCATTAGTGGTTGGATCCTCGAGGAAGACATCGTCCAGCAGCGTGGTGTTTGCAATTGCATCAAGCATGGACGCCGTGGGTGTGGTCATTACATCGCTGCGAAAATCAAGAGCAGCTGGGCCAGGTTGTTGCCAGGCATTGACCCTTTTGTGTGAGGCAGCATTGCTGTTCGCTTCTGTAATGGTAGAGCTCTGTTTGACGTCGGCGAAGGCATCTGGTGTGCCCCCATTGGTATGCGAGGTAGCCATCTTGTTACTGGAGTGGTTGATGCCTCTGGTTGAAGACAATCTGAGGGTTCCCGATAGTGGATGCAATTGGCACGTCGACCGAGCTGATGATATGCGGACTTTGGCCGCAGAATTCAACCCTTGTCTAGATGCTGCTGCAAGCATCTGGAAGAGACTTTCAAAGAGGATTGTTGTTCCGACATCGGTAGAAGGCAATGATTTCGAAAGGCGTGAGTGTGTGCTTGATCAGTGTAACGGGTGGAGGTGGGAGCGGCGATGCGCGCATCAAGATCCAATGACTTGCCATGAGGTTCGGGGCATTTGGCTGACGCCGCTTGGAAGGTTTAGGCACTACCTAAACAGATTTCACCTGCCTACAGTAGATGAGCTGGGCTTGGCCCCACGTGCCCCCGCCTTGACACGACTCCTACCGCGGTGCCGAGTAAAACTCCAGAAACTCAGAGCGCAGGTCGCGTTAAGCCTCCACGCGTTTTTGCCGCACCTCACAGTCCACCATCCCTTTTCCCTTCGTACGCCTTTTGCACATAATCCCAGAAGTCGCAGTCAATGTCCGCTGCCAGCATCGAACGGCGGCAACGATATCGACATGACCACCCCCTCCCGCCGCAGGTCGCAACCTGCTTCTCCACAAGTCAACTTGCACTGTCTTCAATGCGACAACCAAATCGGTATCTTTAACAACGAATGGATCCGCCTCACGAGTTCATACGTTCGTCCCGTTTACTCTGGTACTCACTTCGGGACTGAGATTGCGACCAACAAAACACAAGTCGTCCCGGAAGGCGTCACACAGCGATCTCTGGAAGGATGTACTCTTGCTGAAGTGTTTTGTACAAGATGTTCCGCGGCGGTTGGACAGTATTGCAAGATGATTCCTGCAGCCGCCCAGAGAAATATGTTGTATGCAAGATTCCATCACATTAGAAGAAAGATACGTGAGACTGACGAGATTCCAGAAATCAGTATCTATACAAGTTATCGAGGACATACTTGAAGAGCAGGGAGACTAATGAGCAGGTTGATCCCGTTTTTGGATACGCTGGGGACGCGGTCAGATCAACTGCGAGCATGGCTACCCACACTCGCCGCTCGCGCCCCTTCTTTGATAGACAAGAGATGCCTCCACATCTCCAACTCATGACGGAGTCACAAAGGAGGACTTCCGCACCCATCACGTCGCAAAACAGGCATGCAAACACTCCATTCAGAACCCCACCAGACACAGAGTCTCTGGACTCAACATTGACCCAGCACGCCATACAAGATGCATGCTTGACACCACACGATCGGAGAATGGTAGACCAGGAGGTCAAAACGCTGGAGCACGATGCCCAGATTCAAGCCATCTCTTCGGTCCTGGAGACGTTTCGCAACACGCTAGATGAGATCAAGACATCTATCGAAGAACTTAAGGCTCAAACCTCGCCCCCTCGTCTCGATAAGCCAACACAAATCGACTTCACGGGCAACATCCGCACCATGATCATGACCCTGACATCGGCTCAGGCGAATGCGCAAGAGCTAGAAGAACTTCGTGCTGAAAACGCCGCACTTCGAGCCAAGTGGGATATCGTGCAATCGGCTATGAGTACCGCCACTGGACAATCCACTCCAAGCTCATCATATCAAGTACCCCACAAGAACAGCCTGGGAAAACGCAAACGCGACACCAATGTCGCAGGATCGAGCGCGCTGATACCAGTGGTTGGAGCACCACAGACCCGGTCTCATCACCTAGAGACCGTTTCGTCTTCTACGCAAATGCCGACTCCGCAGTCTAGCAATCACTCGGACGGCCAATCTGCCGATGACTCCAATAGCTCAAGGATATCGACACCAGAACAAGAAGCAGCCAGATCAAACTCTCAGAATATCCTTGACTACGGTGATCAATTCACGAATCAAGATAAACCTCCCTCGAGAATGACGTCCTTGCGCCGAAACTTGAAGGGCCGTCTCCTATCGGAGAGTCATCAACACACAGAAATTGCTAGATTGGATGTTCAGCCTGCGCCTGTCGAAATGTCCAGCGCAGATACGCAAGCAAGTAGCATGAATCTGGATATCCGTGAGAACCAACAACAACCTATTCCAGGGTCTGTTGGGTACTTGTTGCGGTCATCGTCGCGACGCGATGACTCTCGAGAATCAATTCTTGCTGGACCTGCAAGAGAATCCGAGGACAACGAAGATCGGTCACAAGAGTGTGGAGAATCCGATTGTGTAGAAGAGAACAATCGATTGCGTGACAGAAATGACGCGCCGTTGCTCGACATCGACCCTCTAGATACCTCGGAAATCCTCTCATCGATCGAAAAAGGCGCCGACTTTGGCGAAAACAGCGGGCCTCGCTCTTCCGCCTTTACGGATCCTCTCAACGATACGACTAATCTAGATGTCCAGCCATCAAATGAAGTTTCTGCGGTAGACGAACCCTCTGCTCAATCTGTACCCGCAAGACGAATTCGTAGCAAAACGGCAGGGCCATCAACGCGAAGCAAGATCGACTTCATCATGGATAGCCGAAGTGTTGCCCCGGAGCCAGCGGCACTACGTCGCACGATTCCTCGCCGACTCTGCGCGAACCAGGAAGCAAGGTTCGAACACGCGACACCCGAGTCGATCGAGCAGGAGTTGAAAGTACTGGAGAATCCCAAAGGGCGTCGAAAATCTAAGCCTCATGTTCAAACAACCAAGAAGATCCTCGATAAAGAACTTAAGGAGCTCGGCCTGGAGGATTGGATCGGGAAAGACAAGGATGATCCCGAATACAAGAGAGTCGTGGAAGAGGCCAGGGACCGCAAAAGAGAACAGACGAGATTGGCCACATTAGCGAGACGTGGAATCAGCCTTCCAGGAGCGCCTGAAGATGATGAACGAGCAAAATCAACCCCAACTTTACAGGATGCATTTACCCAAGCCTCTGACGCTCTCACCGACAGCACCAACGAAGGAAACGGAGGAAAGCATTTACAGATCATCAATGTCTCAGAGGCGGCAGCGAGACGGGCGAAGGGGACCGGAACGCGCAGGAAGAAACGTGAACAGCGAGAAGAGGAAATCCGCCGGAGAGATATGCTGGCGAAAGAAGCAATGGATATGAATGACTAGAGCTCGATGCAGTGGTAGCCGACGCGGTCAAGAGACGCGTTTCAATGACACCAAACACCAGTGCTTGGTAGAATATGTGGTTCAAGCACACCTGAGTGAGGTTGGAATATGTAATGCATGCTCTTTGCAACAAGACCCTTTACATGTTGCGGATATGGCGCGTGACGTCCCGCGCCTTGAAGGCATCGTGATCCTACCAGTCCCGGTACGAGTGCTTAAAAGACACTTAAAGTAAGCGAATGCCACATCTATCACGTATCCATTGGCTCTCGTCAACCCGGCTCCGGGACACGCTACTCTAGCCAGGAACGGGGAGCCGGGAACACAAGTTGACGAAATCCACATGAGGCCGCCCTGTCGCCTGGAGCTTCGGGGCTCGATCGCGAGGAGCTGCAGGGATCCTGCCTGGGCGAGCGTTGGCGGGGAAATTTCCTCGAGAGCCGCAGGTGAATCTCGACCTCATTTATCCTCTCTCGCGCACCCTTTTTTCCTGCTCACCTCGTTTCTGGTTTCTGTACGGCCGTTTTGATAGCGTTGCTCTTTTTGATGTTTAGAAAATCAGTGCTCACCTCGAACGCATCTCCTGTCTTGGGGCCATTGTCCGATCTGTAAGGTGCTCCTCCGGTGCTCAAGACCGCCACAGGACAAATTGCTAACGGTTTCCCACAGGGACCTATCCTCGAGCGTCTCTACTTCTCGCGCAACTGCCCTCGGTAAGTTGGTTCTTTCGCCTCGCTCGAGTCAGCCGGTGCTTTGTATGGTGGAGTGTCGAGACGTCGGTGGAAAGAGTTGGCACTTCTACATCATGTTTGCTCCTCGTTGCGAAGCGCTCGAAATATGGGAGTTCCCTATTGCAGAAATACACACTTTAGAGGCTCGTGGACAGCAAAAATACTGCGGTCGCATATCAAACAGGCGCACTCTTCTTCTGTGGGAATGCGTTGGTCGTCGATATCAAAGACTAATGCCCACATCGACAGTTTTGTTAGGCCAATTGACCATTTGCCTTACAAAGGTCTATTACCAGGTGTGTGCGATGAAATTCATGCCTTCCTCCCACCCGAGTGTCAATATGTCGTCGTGCTTTTGGCTTCAGGCCTAGAGCTACTGCGGCTGTTGCCTCGCGGCTACACCTTTCCTTTTGTTCATGTTGCCTCTCCTGCTTCTATAAACTGGGCACTGCTAACGATATTCCAGACATACACCTAGGCTCTGGGCATGCTATTCTCTCGTTGGCTCAATTGATCTGAGTCTACATATTTCCCAGTGGACTATAATACAATTGGGATGGTAAACAAGTCGGTCGTGCTTGGTCAGTATGTCATGCGATGACGAACCTTCAGTCTGCTGACGAGATTCCCTCTAGCGTCACCTTGCTGTGTAAGGATACACGGGTTGTCTTCGACCCTCTCCGCTGTCTCTCGAACTTTTCTCTTCCGCCGTCTGGGCAGTTCAGCTTATCGTGATACGCCTTTGACACATCCATTATGGTCTCGCAACCCACCCAGCCTTCAACACAGCCGATTGAAGACCCTCGCCGTTTAAGGAGGAACGTGTCCAATATATCGAACGAGGATGCCATAGATGTGATATGTCTGTTGAGTCCAACTTCCCCTGCCGCGTTCGAGGCGGTAAAAGCGAACCTCTTGGATTCACCTATGCACATACTGCAAAATGCCGACCTACAGGATATCAGCGAAGACGACCTGCTTTTCCGGGACGAATTCAACCAGCCCCGAGACCTAGCTTTGCGAATGTCCTCTCCTGTCACGAATCCAAAAGATGGGTTTAGATTTGGTCGCGCTCGGAATCAATGCGACGTGCTTCTCACCGCATACGATGATGACAACTTAGTGAGCAAAGTGCATTTCAAGATATTTGTGAACAGCCAGGGCAGCCTTATGCTGGAAGACTTATCTACCAATGGAACCGTCGTTGATGATGTCCACCTCAGGGCGAAAGCTCGTCGAGATAATCCTATTCTCAGACCCGCGACTATCGTCCTCAAGCATGGCTCTATCATTTCTCTCTTTGGTGGTGGAAGAAAGAACGAGATCAAGATGATGGTACGGATCCCGAGTCGTGGTGACTACGAAGACGAATACGAAGAGAATCTGAGAAGGTATCTCGCCGCAAGAGGCGATGTGGCGCAATTTGCTTCCATGAGGGAGAGCACGTATGGTAATTACTGGAATGGAGGCTCCTTGTACAACTTTACCGGTCTGCTTGGAAAAGGGGCTTTTGCAACCGTCTATAAGGTCCAGACGAAGGAAGAAGGCGACATCTACGCCGCAAAGGAGCTTGACAAGCGCCGCTTTATCAAAAACGGCGTCCTCGACATGAAATTTGACAGCGAACTCAACATTATGAAAAACCTGAGCCACCCGAATATTGTCAACTACGTCGATTGCCACACTTACCAACACTGGATTTATATCCTGATGGAGTATGTTCCCTACGGCGAGCTTGCGAAAGAGCTCGGGAAGCATGGAGCTATCCGCGAGTCCGATGTTCAGCAGATTGCCAAACAGATATTGCACGCTCTCTATTATCTTCATCGAAGAAACATCACCCATCGCGATATCAAGCCAGACAACATCCTCATAGCGTCCCGAAACCCTCTGGTCGTCAAGCTATCCGACTTTGGCTTGTCAAAATGTGTGACCGACCAAGAGACCTTTCTCAAAACGTTTTGTGGTACTCTTCTTTATTGTGCACCGGAGGTGTACCCTGACTATGCAACGTATGCACAAGGAACAGCGACAAAAAGACGTCGGTTAGGAGAACCTGCAACAAAACAACCCCCGTCACCCTACGATCAGTCTGTGGATATGTGGTCCTTTGGCGCCGTCATTTTCCACCTTCTCTGCGGGAAGCCTCCAGTCACCGGACGAGGCGATGATCGCGGCGCGCAAATGCTGAACAATATTATGACGAAGAATGTCAACTTTGATACGCTGAGGCAGGCTGGGGTATCAGAGGTGGCAATTGATTTCGTTGGGAAGCTCCTAAACAGAAACCCTGCTCTACGGCCAAAAGAGCCCGAATGTTTGCGACACCCGTGGCTACGCGACTTGCCAGATCACTGCAACTATGAGGATATCGAGGAGCTGGTTGACAACCCACAAAACTGCCTCGAAGTTGTTGATGAAGTCGACGAGGACATCATCGACGAAGAATTGATTAACACCTTGAACCAACTGACGCAGCCGCCCTCTTCAGTGCGGACACCAGATCGCCCAGCGAAGCGCATTCGCACGAGAACAGAACTATCACCCTTGGCGGGAGCTATCGCATATCCTCGTCTCCCCGAACCTGGTGAAAGTTTTCTGCCGTTACCCGTTGCGCCAGAACTACCGGCCCAGCGTCTCTTTGGAGAAATTTCCGCCTCCGCTCTGCGTAGTTCGGGAATATTTGGCGGAGAATTGAGCCCGTCTTCGCCGACAGCAGTACAAGATATCCGGAATCGAGTCGAGCAAATCAGCGTGAATGATTTTGGAGATCGTGGTCCACCGCGTATTGCAGAAAACGCTGACATTTCTGGCCAACCACCTCAATATCCTCAGGTACTCGGCGTACCTGAAATCGCAGGCGGTTCAGCCGCAAGCCTTATGGGGGCAGAGAACCAAATAGGTCAGCTCAACATGGCGTCTCCTGAGGCAGATATTTCGGACGTAGCAACTCCAGAAACAACCAACCCTGTCACTCCTGAAACCCGTCAGCTGTCACCCTCGGCTTCAGTCACTCCACACGCGAATAACGAATCTGGGGATACGGCTCAAGTGTCCGAAGAGCCTGTATGTACTCGTCGCATCGACCTTGGCCTAGTCGATGACCCAGCTCACTTTGAGGCAGAGGTCGAAGCAAGGAATGTGTCGAGAGCCAGCAGGCTACGGGCAAAGGCGGAGACATTTCATGGAAATCTGATCACCAGAAATTCCCCTCCATCAGCTGAGCTTGCCGTCACGATTGACGCGAAGACTGGTCATGCGGTCAAAAGTATGGGGCAATTGGACCGTTTCATCCGTCCTGCTCCAGAGCTGGAAAGTACAACCAGAACAAGTTCTCAAACAACCAAATTCATCAAACCTGCACGACGATATGGCAAGCTCACCAGCATTCCTGGGTCTTTTGCAAACGTTACCATCAATCTGGAAGCCAGATTCATACTATGGGGACGGGGCATTGATTGCACCGTTAAGTACCCTGACACCAAAGACACACGAATTCCCAAATTCGCCCTCAAGATCACATTCTGGGCACCTGGTATGGAGGCTCACGTCAATCGCGGAAATGACTGGACTGCACTTCCTGGGGTTAGAACACTGGTCGCGACTTCGGCAAGCGGGTCTGTCTTTGTCAACGACGTCGAACTGCGAAAGGAGTCACCCTCCGGAGAAGCCGCCTTGTTCGGGAAGCTGTATACAGGAGACGTCATCACCATTTTCGACAATGGCAAGGGAGAGTTTTTGAAGTTCAAGGTGGAAATTACGTTTGGGGACAGTGCAAGACCAAGGCCTACTGACGAAGAAGGGTTCATCGTGCAGGAGGAACGGCACCATCATCAACGGATGAAGGAACGCGAGAGCATGAGGTTGAGTATGAGAGACAATGCTGGCGAGGTGCTCATCGCGCCAACCGTGCGAGTAGAGCCGGATTGTTGAATGAGGATATGCCCATTGGATGGTGGATGGATAGCTTGGAAATGACCATGTCACGATAGTGCTGTGACTGTCGAGCACCTTGAATACATTCGAGTTTTACAAACCAAAAACAAAGTGATGATGCGCAAAGCTGCCGCCGTTGGAAAGTTGCATATGTCCAAAGTCCTTCCTTTTATCAGGCACTGTGCAACCCTCCCGGTCGATTTGACTTTTCTCCACGGATACCATGCACATATCAAGCCGTGATACGCGGGACAGGGTTGGGATGGGTGGCTGGCTTTATAGCCACTGACCGGGGTCCCACTTATGGCAAGGGTCGGAGGCATCGTCGCCATCGTGGCTGGCCATCGATCCACGTAGAGTGGGCCCTGTGACAAACTGTGGAGGGGGCAGAAAAGGAGAAATTCATCTTGATGCGCCTTCCCACCAATGTCATGAAAAGCCAGCAACGGGTCGATCGTGCACAGCGGAAAGCGGAGATCTTTCAGCGGGGTCCAACTGCACCAGTGTCTCAAGAGGTTCCACAGACTTTGTGCCTGTCCCTGAATATTCTGTGCATTATGAAAAGGAGCGAACTGGCTGTATACATAGGTACCTCGTACATAGGGTGACTTCTGTAGTGGGAGTCTTCGAGGTCGGGTGGACGGAGGGGAAGTGGCTCTTGATATCGCAGTCAGCGGGTGCATCTTGGAAAAGGGACACCTGTCAGGTACTCGGTACAGACCTTACGACATTCTCAGAGAAAGGCCATTGATTTGCCAGATCCCAAGGTACGAGTCACTATTCGGAGCGGGTACTTTGTACAGGCACGATGGGTCTTGGTGCTGCAAGGTGCCATTCTCGGCAGCCCACATGCCTCCCTACCACTTGTCTGCATGGAGAAATGGTCAAGCGGGTACTGGCGAGCCTACCTACTCGGAGCAGGTACCGGGAGTCGACAAGTGTCAGCCAGACGAGGGCACCGAAGGCCCTTGGCAAGCATCGCGGGCGCAGGCGGGTGTGGGTTGTCGGATACGTAGTGTAGTCGGGGGGCTTTTTGTAACATGGAAAATAATAAACAGATTCGAATTCCAGAACAGAAATAACCCCTCCCTTAAAGTCTGGGCTGTTACGTTCTTGGTCGATGAGACCATCTCCATGTGGCTGCTGATGCATTTCACAATCACCATCAACCTGGTCTTGCTGCGGGCTTGTCGATGGTCCTGCACCTCAAGTCAGATGAGCTGAATCAACCGCCCGCGCCTTTATTGTCAATCTGACCTTGATTCTATTCCCTCAACGCCTCACATAGCAAGACAACCCGCTCCACAGTACTCACTCACTACTGCCAGTCGTTGTCCTCTCTGATGCGCATCCAACACCTCCTGGTCCTGTGACTCCTTTCTACCATCCCGCCCCGATGTCCCACTCTCGATCGATTTCACCACTGCCCAACAGAGGATGGAACACACCAGGTCTGACTGAGCGCAGCTCAACACCCAACGGCTTGTACGCAGGAACCAACAGTTACAGCAACAATGACGATCACTGGGCTGCGGCAAAGGCCAAAAGTGCTCAAGTGAGAGGATACCCCAGCATCCAGACCAAAAATGAGGGCTTCTTTCTCCGGTCCAAGCGGAAAATCTCCTCGACGCTGCCCGTCTTCAGTCCCTACACTCCTTTGTCGGCCAACTGGAAAGACCCAGAGAAACTTGGCCGCAGCCGGTGGTACCCAAGAGGCGGTGGGAATCTGGCGAGAATAAAGACTTTTGCTGGCAATGTCTTGAGGAGGTTCAAATTTCTGTTCATAATACTGTCCATTGTCACACTGACGACGGTTATATTGTCCCAGACAAGTGAGTGACGACGCCTCTTTTTCACATTTCTGGTACAGTCCTAACTTTCTGTTCTAGACGCCCTGTCCAAATACCGTGGTAACTCGCATCTCGGCGGCGGAAGCAAGTTCGTCATTATCCTCGGAGCCAACGAGGGCGGCGGTGTTATGGAATGGAAAGGTCCTAGAGAATGGGCCATTGAGCGTGACAGTGTGAAAAACAAAAAGAGATATTCTGAAAGATGGGGATACATATTAGACATTGCAGACATGAGCACCAAGAAGAGATACGCTCATGAATGGCGTGAGAGCTGGGAAAAGGTTGACCTGATCCGGAACGCAATGGCCAGGTACCCTAAAGCTGAATGGTACGAGGAATGATTGCAAATGGACTGGGTGTCGTATCACTGACAGTACTGCAGGTTCTGGTGGCTCGACTTGAACACCTTCATCATGGAGCCTTCAATATCTCTACAATCCCACATATTCAACGATCTCGACAAGAACGTGTACCGCGACATCAATCTCTACAACCCTCTCCACGTCGTCCATCCTCCGGTCACCGACTTCCTTGACCCGGTTGCCCGCTCCCCCACTGGCGACAATCTGACGTCCTCCATCGACATCATCATCCCTCAGGACTGCGATGGTTTCAACCTAGGGTCTTTCTTCGTGCGACGATCTCCATTCACAGACCGGTTACTTGACCTCTGGTGGGACCCTGTCCTCTATGAACAGAAACATATGGAGTGGGAACACAAGGAGCAAGATGCATTGGAGCACCTTTATGCCTCGCAGCCATACCTCCGGACACATTTCGCATTCATCCCTCAGCGGAAGATAAATTCCTTCCCCCCTGGTGCATGTGCCCTCCAGCCGGCCCAAGGGCAAGTGGTCGAAGAGGGAAAGCCTCTTCTGGACCCAAGATTCCACTACAACGAGCACGAACGAGACTTCATGGTGAACATGGCCGGATGCGAATGGGGTCGAGATTGCTGGGCGGAAATGTACATGTATCGCGAACTCAGCAACAGACTCAATCGATCGGGGTGGGCAAGGTTCAAAGACCTTGTCAGTGACAAGTGGGCCAAAATCAATCAGAGCTTGTTCAAAGAAACAATGGCGCCACAAACGGGATGACATTCTCATCATCTTTACCGCCGAGGGGAATGGGCGGCTACCATGAAAGCGCTGAGCCTTTTCTCAGATGCACGAAAACGATTATCGCATATTGGAGTGCCCTCGAACCTCTCGGGGATTTATTCACTCATCCACTTTTGGGCGCAATATGCCTAAGCTGTCTGGAATACGTCAGATTTCAATGGCTGGGACCCATTGAACGACTGTCAACATTTCACAGTTGAGCGCCTTGATTTGTTCAGAGCATAGCAGAGGACAAGCAGGATCATGTAACTCGGGGTGACGGAAATCTGTCTCTTTCAACGTGTATACTTAAACGGGCGGGCATTGGGAGGCATTAAGACCTGGACTTTACGGCACAAAATAGATGGGCGGAGTTCTCAATGGGCGGAAAATGTGGCGTGGTCCACTGTTCCCGCTGTTGTCGGGCACCTGCGTCCAGAATCTCTTGTCAGCTGAGCATGGACGAAACCCAGACTAATATAGACACTGGTGGCAAGACCATGATATGTCAATAACATTGTAATCTTGCTGAAGGCTTTGACATGCGGCTTCAGCTTGACCACGATCGCGGTTGCTACATGTTCGGCAGGGATCCTGAACTCTTGCAAAGATAGAATTCGGGACAGGGGTTGGGAGTCTCAGCCTTGCCGGCTCAATTCAGCCTTGTACCAACTAGGAGGCCTTGGGCGCCGACAGCGTCTCCGTCTCTCTCCCTTCGTGTTCTTCGACTCAGTCGTCGCTGTATCGTTCTCTCGATTGCGATCGAGTCTTTGCGACTGAAAGTCCTGCGAACCTGACCCCCTCCAAAGGGGTTATGGATGTGCTCAGAGACAGACAGACACACACACACCTAGTCCGAGGCTGACCTGATCACTGAACGCGTTTAGTTATGTAGTGGTTCTCAAAATCCCAACTCGGAAAACATGGTTGCAAGACAGAAAGAATCCCTTTATTTCTATAGCTTTTTGACCTGCCTGTGTATACCCAGTTCGATGTCCTATTGCCATCTCAAGACTGTATGTATGTACGCCTACTCGTCGGTCCTCAGCCACGCCGCCGTTATCGGCGCCAACGCATCCTTGAGCCACGGCGTATCAAGCGTTATCTTCTCATCCGTGTCAAATCCATGCTCGCCGGGTTGGAGCACCAAGGCGACTTTCTCGGATCCAAACCTTTCTCGCGCCCTTGCCACCCACTTCTCGCTCCCTTCCGCGGGGACCCCGGTGTCGTCGCGGCCGTGGATGATTAGGATGGGCGGCACCTTCTCCGGGCTGACGTGCTCGATTCTTTCGAGTGGGAACAAGATCGTGTCCTCGCCCAGCAGTTTGGTAAACAGACCCTGCTGCACCGCCGAGAGAGCCAGGGGTAGTCTATTCGGCGGGGTCGCGGAGCTGATGACTCTTCGTTTCCCGCTCTTTGCGTCCTCTTCGACCGCGCGCAGGTGTTCGCCAATGACCTCCTTGGGGATTGTTGGCGCACCCAGCACGACCTTGGGGTAGTCCTCGGTGTAGAAGCGCGACCTCATGTCTAGCATCGGGTACGTGGCGATGGCGGCGGTGGGGACCATCGAGCCCTGCTCCTCCCCTCCCAGCGCGCTCTGCACCGAGAGATACCCACCGGCGCTCTCGCCCGTGGAGAGCACCCTGGCCAGATCGACCTGGACGCCCGGCGCCGCGCCCGCGAGGTACGTCTCGAAGTCGGACCTCAGCCAGGCCCAGAAGTCGCGCAGGTCGGCCATGATCTCGAGGCCCGTCGCCTCGGGCGCGAGCCGGTAGTTGGGCAGCACCAGCACCGCGGCGTGGCGCAGCGCGTACGCCACCAGCCACGCGGGAAACCAGTCCGGGTACAGCGCCGTGCCGGTGATCAGGAACCCGCCGTGGAACTTGACCATGACTGGCCGAGGCGAAGTCGACGGCGACTGCCGGGCCTTGGGGATCAACGTGTAGACATTGATGGCGTGGTTGTCGACGACTTTGTACGTCGTCTCCAGGACGGTGAATGCGGCGTACTTGGGTGAGTCCATTGTGTTTGTTCGCTGGACGATTTTTCTCCAAGGCAAATATCAAGAATCTCTAAAGAACCGGAACCTATCTTGGTAAATGTGTTAACAGGGTGTACAGCGCTGACTTATAGAGACTGTTGTTCCGTGCTTGTGATGTATCAAAGTCGCACTTCGTCTTGGCAACTTCTGCCCTGTTTATATAGACCGAGAGAGTGGACATGTGGGGTTTCGAGGTCTAGTGGTTTTGGCGTGTATACCTTCTATACGACGTACCGAGTATGCAGCCTTGAATCCAGGTCGGGACAAATCCACAAGGGGAAAAAAAAAAAGGGGGGGGGGGGGTTAGTAATTCAGCAGGTAATTACCAATACGTATGTATGTCCCCTTGAGACCCCATTTCCGCGCGGATGATGGTATATCTACCTAGTACACTACCAAGTAGACAGCTCGGTAAGTACAGCCGGTACATAACACAAGTTCCTGAGACTGTGTCGGCATATGGCGTACGGGATACGGCATACCAAGAAGCCGACTCCGAGTCTGTGTTATCGCCTATCCAAGCATGTAGGCAATTTACATGGAAAGACAAGAGGTTATGGCAAATGTCATCCGCGTCCGGACATAAGGGGAGCATATACGAAGTACATACTCGGTCCTCGTACCTAGGGAATGACATATTAAGTAAGAAGTGGGTTCAAAAGTCAAGGGGTATTCGGGAACATAGTCAGGACTGATAGGAAGTCAAGTCGGGACAATATCCTCCCATTCCTCGCTCTCCGCTCCAGATTGGGATAATAAGGATACGGAGGGTGGGCGAGACACAATAAAGTCTCCGAGGAACTGAGAACTCGACCTGAGGAATAGGGCTATCTAGGTAGGCACCTACACAGGTTCTTGGTAATACGAGGTACTGGACCCGCGTACCCTATTCAGCAGGTGGTCGAGTGCAAGGAGTGCCACCAATGCAGTGCGTGTTATTCGCGATGGGTAGTTGTCGGGGGCTGTTGCAGGTAGCCACAATGCATTGCCCTTCCTTGGGGTCATCGTGATACGTGTACTCGCACAAGACAAGACATGACAGAGCAGAGAGATCATGATGGATTCCGCTCAATGAGTAACACATCCTGCAAAAACGTTGATGCGAGGCTAAATGCACATGCACATCGACAATTCCCCTTCCCCTTCAACCACGTAAAGGAGTCAACAACAGAATCCGACTTTTGATACGTAGCAATGCTCGTCGAACCCTTGCAATGATGCACATGCACGTTCGAGGGAGGAATTCCAAACAAGACAACAGCGGTCATTGTCAAGAAACCGTGTCTCCATCTTTACTGCTGCCTCGACTGATGACCCTCATCAGCCTCTCGGCGACGCTTCCTCTTCTCTCGTGTTCTTTCTCCTTATCCCTCTCCTTCTCCTCCTTCTTCCTCTGCTTCTCCTGCTGCTTTCGCCTCTTGCGCTCTTCCTTGCTCTCCGGCTCAGGCCACCCAACCTCCCAATAAGGATTCCGGGAACCCATCGGCCCTCCCCACGTGAGAGACTGTAGTCCTCCCGCTCCCCCACGAAGATCCGGTAACATGCCATTGGACCCAGCATCGACGAATAGCTTGGACTCGGCGAATTCTTTGAGCGCGGCAAGCTCTTCTTGACTGTTGGCGAAGCCGTGCGACGCTTTGTATGGCGGTAGCCTCTCCCGTCTGGGGTCGGCTGTGGCGGTGTAGGATGGTGGTGATGCCATTCTTCTTTGGTGTGCTGATTGTGTGTCAAATGTGTATTCGTTGTATCGCTCTCAGTGCCTTGAGATGTGACAAGGGGAGGAGATAATTGCTTTGCGTGTAAAATGTCTCTTGACAGTCGACTCTCTGTTGATTGCTTATTGACCACAAGGAGATGTCAATGGTACAGAAAAGAAGTGCCAGGCGGAATAGAGCCGGTGAAGTGGAGTTCTTTGCAGATTTTGTGTTGCTGCGGGATAAAGATCCTGGGACGCTCAATATGTATCATGGGGAGTGTTCGGTGGACCGGGTTAGAGTTTCCAAAACGATATGATGTGAGGACTCAGACCTCAGGATTCAGGAACGAAGACCGCGATATGCGAGACGCAGAGTGTTGAAGTCTGGGCGCAGTACGAGTAAGAGGGATCTGGTGACTCGTTGTTTGGTCTCTTTCTCCCCATTGGGGCCAACGTCATGGCTGCGTTACCCGATACGCAGGCACAAACTGCGCCCAAAGGCGCCCATCTGCGCCATCTGCTTCAGAACTGGGAGAGTCTCATCCTCGTGGATTCTCACTCCGCGTCACATGCCGCCCGATTCAACACACGCCCAAAGACGCGCAGCATTCATTGGCCGTCCTCGCCGCGTTCTGGCCCTCCCCCCGCGATGCCAGGAATGAACCATTGTCTTGGTATATGCTCTTGGTTGCTTTCAGTTATACATATCACACCATTGCCCGTAATATTCGGTTCTGTTCACTTCAAGTCTCGTGGTGTGAGAACAAGCAAAGAGAAATGAGAAGACCGCAAAAGAAGCCCGCGCCCAGACTGATCATCGGTGTCGCGACGATCAACCAGCTCTCAGGAGAATTCTTCCGCGAACGAGGTCATCAATGTTTTCCACCATGCAACCGGGGTAGGTACCGACGCAAGCATCTCGATCTGATCCCGACGCCTGCGGGCCTGCTCTCTCAAGCTGGGATGCTGGTCCCACCGCCAAACAAGATGCTAAAAAAGCACAATTCCCTCGGCAGATCGATTGGCGTCGGAGACAAGACAAGCATCTGATCAGGCGGGGCAGTGGAGCGTCCGCTAAGACTTCGCTCATGCTTGTGTGCATGTCGACCCTGTTTTGCTCCTGCGACACTGCATAGACATGGCGGTTCCTTATCTAGCAAATCAATTGCACAAGTCAACCTCAATTGGCTCTCATCGTGGATTCTGCATGGATGGGGTGCATGATGGGGCCAGGCCGACATCGAGTCGCTGGCCCTCAATTGTAACCTTGAGACTTCAATGCCGAACACCCTGAATCAGAGATTCCCCAGGTTTGACGGCTTACTACGGAACATCTCCACGCGACTCTTTGTAAGGTACCACGCCTCAGTTCACACGCAACATGTGGGCCAGCACCTATTCGGTGGCCCTCCTGGTAGCCATTGCCTGGCTGTCCCTTCAGGTAGCCCAAGTCTTGTGCAATGTCCTTCTTCATCCCCTCCGAAATTATCCAGGTCCCCTGGCAGCCCAGGCTTCCGGGTGGTACAAGACCTACATTGAACTGTTTCTGCAGAGGAGTTGGACTGACGTCCTGGTTGAGCTGCATCAACGCTATGGCAAGTCAATCACATTGAGGACGTCAATGGTGCTGACCTGGCCCAAGGGGACGTGATCCGTGTTGCTCCAAATGAGGTATTGATACCTTCTCCCAAACCCCCCCCCCCGGTCTGCACTGATATATTAAAGCTGCATTTCTCGAACCCGCAAGCCTATCACGATATCTACAACAATGTCAACCGCTGGGACAAAGACAGGGCGCTGTATGAATGCTTTGGCGAGGATCACTCTTCGTTTGGCTTCCTGAGATACCACGAAGCCAAGCAGCGCAAGGATGTCTTGCAACCGCTCTTCTCCCGACGAAATATCTTACAAATGCAGACCCTTGTCCGCAAGAATGTAAGTAAATAGGGAACCGCCGTGAGAGCTGACTGACCCTTTGCCGTCAAGATGGACCATCTCGCGGACAGACTTTCAGAAGACTTCGCGGCAGGGAAGTCATCGGACTTATTCTTCGCCTTCAGATGTTTTACCATGGACACCATAACTGGTTTCTGCTTCGCCAAATCTGTGAATGCCATCGATGTACCTGACTATAACGCCCCCATTATTGAAGCTATGGAGGCATCTGGGCCTGCCTTTATCCAATTCAAGCATTTGCCATTGTTCCGGAAATTCGTCTTCTCGCTTCCTCCGAATATCGCTATGAAAGCTTCGCCCGAGACAGCAGGCTTGACACGTCTGCAGGTTATCTTACGGGATCAAGTCGACCAAGTAACAGCCAATCCAAGCATACTCAAGGAGGCTCCTCACCCTATCATTTACCATCGACTGCTTGATCTTGAAGCGCACAAAGGCCAGCCTATCCCGAACAAGCAATCGCTTTACGAAGAAGCCCAGGCTTTGATGTTTGGAGGCGGCGACACTGTCGGAAATACTTTGATCTTCGGCTTCAACCAGATTCTGCAGCCGTCGAACGAGGAGCTCTACCAATCTCTCCGCGAAGAAATCCGGTCTGTCTGGCCAGATCTTGCTGGCCCACCAAGCTCTTTCGAGGTATTTGAGTCTCTTCCACTACTCACCGCGACCATCAAAGAGTCTCTGCGGGTTGCACCAGGCGTGGTGTCCCCTCTCCTTCGCGTCGTCCCAGCCAAGGGCGCAACAATTGCTTCTCATCAGATCCCTCCTGGCACGGTTGTCGGCATCTCAGGCATCTTTGTCCATTCCTCTGCGACCATATTCGACAGTCCAGACAAGTTCATGCCCCAAAGGTGGCTGCACTCTAGCGGTGACCTCGAATCCAATCTGGTGGCCTTCAGTCGCGGTCCGAGGTCGTGTCTGGGCATCAACCTCGCGTGGTGCGAGTTGTACGTCGCCTTTGCCACCATGTTGCGACGGTTCGAGGTTTTGGAGATTGACGCAGATTCCCCGCCCGCCGACCTGAGGTTTCGCGACTCCTTCCTGCCCAATTTTTACGGCGAAAACCATCTCAAAGTGCGGTGCAAACCGGCCACGGAGTGAGAAGGCCGAGAAGCCTTAGCAGTGTGTGGCCAGACAGGTGGCTTTGATCACCCTGCGGCCGGAATTGCGGCACGCAGCATGCAGCACGCAGCCATAGACAGGGCAAACAGGAAAACAGAAGGGAGAAGAAAGGATTGAAACGAGGAAAGCCCATTTTATTTCCATCCAGAGGATAGATCACCCGCGAGAAGTCCGTACCATATAGATAGAAGCAACCTAGCCACCTTACCTGAGCAGACTCGTTTCGTTGTCAATCAAGCATACGAGTAGAGAGTCCATATACCGTGTCGTTCTCCCCCAGATTACACTGCAATTACACCCATCCCTCGCGGTGATATCACCTCACCTCACCCTCACCTTACCATACCTCACTAAATCTCACTTGTCCTACCTATCTATCTGCCTCCCTCCCTCCCTACCAGTACCTACATCGGCACCAAGTGGCTGTGAGTCTCGATCAGAGAGGAGCCGCGTAACCGACTCGTCCAGACCCGGCATGTACCCGTCGACGACGTAGAACCCGTGCAAGATGGCCCTGACCTCGTGCCAGCTTTTCAGGCCCATCTGCCGTGCGTGGCGCGAGAGGGTCGTCGCGAACCACCATGTGTCGTTGTCGGGGGCGGCGTCACAAGCGTCTGAGACGGAGGTGGATGTGGAGGCGTTGTCGTGGCCGTTGCCAGTTCCAATTTCAGTGTCCGTTCCTTTGCGGTTTCCATTGTGAGTTCCGTTGTCAAGACCAGTTCCAGCACCGCTGCTACCGCCGTCACTGTTACCATCACTGTTACCGCCGTCCTCCCCAGGACGATTTCCGCCACTGTTCCCTGCAAAATCACTGTTGGCGCTGTATGGCGAAGCAGCAGGCGGATTGTGTTTCTTCTCCGTCCAGCTCCCGACACAAAGAGCCCAGAGTATGGCGTTGCTGTGATCACCTTGAGGTAATCCCTCAGCGGCGAGATCGCTCTCGTCACCAGACGAGCCACCACTGGCGGTGGAGTCACGTGTCAGGTTCGCGGCGTGCATGGTCAGCGACAGGGCCGATCGGAGACGGGCGAGGAAATCGCGCGCGTTGACGAAGACGGTCTGCACCGACTCCAGGTTCGTGCGGTTGAACTCGAACATGATGAGAAACGTGAGCGCGAGCACCCGCTGGGTCTGCCAGTAGAGGTTCTCGCGCGCATCAGGCGTAGGCTGTTCCGTGGTCGGGTCGAAATTGAGGTGGTGGGACGCCTCGGTCTTCAAGATAAAGTCGACGAGACGGCTGTGCAGGATGGTGCCCTGGATGTGGATCCAGACTTGGACCATGGAGAACAGCTGCTCCCCCGGGTGCGATTCGGCGGGAAGACTGAACATGTGGTCCCCGAGCAGCATTTCGACGAACAGGGAGCGGAGTGGCTCCGCAGAGATGCTGCGATCGAGTCTGCGGAGCATGACCTGCTGATAGGGTTCCCTGTAGGCCTTGGACGGCTCCAGATAGGCTGCGAGCACTTTAGGGACCCATTCCTCTACGTCAAACACGGACAGCGAAAAGCGGAAGACCGACAGCTGCTTGTTCTGGTAGAGAACCCGCAAGAGAAAGCCGAGATCGACAACGCCGCCCTCGCGATCGTATTTCTGCTCGAGCAGCTTGCGCAGCGTGTTGGCGTGGAGCCCCGCTTCGTCCAGATCACCGGCAATCAGGGCCCCACGGAACAGCATCGAAACGCTATCCAGCACGAGAGATTGGGCTTGGGCGACGCTGCCTTTAACTAGTTCGCGGCGGAGCGCTTTGATGCTTTGGTGCTTGAGCAGGAGCGCCTCGTCCTCCAACCCCTGGTGAGGGCTGATTTTAATCATAAAGGCCACATTGATAAAGAGAAGAGCTCGGGCGCTACATTCGAGGCGGAGAGCTAGTACTCCGTCTCGGTATTCCTGATTTTGCAGTGCCTCAATCCGTCGGATGGCGTCCTCCGACCCCATAAAGGCCGGATAGATCATTGGGAGGTAGCCATGTTTAAAGAAAGTCAAGATCTGGTTGACGCGTGGTGTGACGTGGATCGCGAGACTGTTGAAAGGGTCCGAGTTGCCTTTTTGCAGAATCGAAACTAGATTTGGCGACACCAATGCCTGGTTCCATGCAGTCTCGCTCGCACCGGTGGGTTGTGACTCTTCGCCAATATGCTGACGTTGGTGGTTTGCATTGTCTTGGTCGGATCGCTTCAGCTTTCGCCATTTGTGTGATAGTCGCGCCGCGTGAGATCTCGCAGTAGCCTGGTAGAGCTCGCGCTCCCGTTGAGAACTCCCTCGTGCAAGCACAGGCAGGAACGTTATGTCCACCTGGGCCATGTGTTGCGGTGTTGCCGATGGGTAACTTGGTGAACGTCTTCCCAACAAAGCCAACTGCCTCGACCTTCAATTCCTTCGACTCTTCTGGCTGGGATTGAGTCCTTATTACACGCTTTCGGAGCATTCCGCCCCCCTTCAATCGGCCTCGTATCCGCCACAGGTTTGCATATGTAATCGTCTGGATTCAGGAGGCGGCGAGCCCACGTGGAAAAGCGATGCATTTCAGCACGCCACTGATTAACTGCTTGAAGTAAAGGCAGGGATACTGTGGATGTTCAAAGTCCCAGCTCAGCAAATTGTTTCGCAGAGATTCAGTGAGTCGTGGTTGATGCCAAGGGTGCGAATTGGGAAGCATCCGACGAGGTGCATCCAGCAGCACCAATGATGGAAGATGTGCTATTGCTTGGCTCCAACAGGAGGCGAAAATAACAACCTCTTATCAACGACATCCAAGGAGAAAACGGGATGGCCACCCGACGGTTGGCTAGCATATTGGCAAAGCTTACCTAACCGCCTATTTGACAGTCTAGACCAAGACTTTGAGTGGTGAGGGAATCCAGATCCCAGCACGCGAGAAGCTGTAGATTCCCGATTTCTTACCTAAGGACAGGGTTGTGTTCGACTCTGCTTCCAGGACGTTTGTCAGCGCGGCTCAGGAGTGCTGGTCTCTCTATTTCTGGCTCATGGGAGCAGTAGCAGTTGACAACCTTGTCACGTTCACATGCAAGAGCAAGAGAATTCCGACATGAGAATGGGTAACCTGCGAACGAATAGAATCAGTATATTAGAACTAGTAAGGGCTAAGGTGTCCCTGTGTGTCCAATATAGACTTGCCTTGTGATATAGAAAAGGTTGATACATTGAACTTGAAGACGTACTCGTCTTGCGTAGAAATCCACTAGTCCGACAAAGGAGTAGCGTATATTAGTGTCTTGGCATATTTAATCTAGGAAGGTATCCCTGACGCGTCTGGTTGGTGGCCCGTGCGTGTCACACACATTGCACTCACACCCCGTCTCCCCTTCACCCTCTCATATCATCCATCCTCACAATACATGATGCCTTCCCGGCCTCTGAACTATTTTTAAATATCATTCAGGATCTGCCCATAGACCTGTTTGCTATAGCGAAATGAGCTCTTCCGGCCGTACGCGTGTCTTCCCAAAAAAACACACACCAAGACCCTGACCATGTGGCTTGACCCTCCCACCATCACATGGCAACCCTTGAGCAATGTTCCAGGTCTCCTTTTCAAGGATTGACAGGTCTTACATATCATATCTCCAATGGCATCTTACTTTAGACCGGCTGTCAAACCAACATCTGGCATTGGCCTGCTGTCAACTTCACCTTACAGGACTGGTGACATGATCCCTACAGAGAGACACTCCTTGCTTGCCCAGCGTTTAGGATTTGGCCCGGGATAACCCTTCTGGGGCATTCGGGCACTCTGAATTGCCTCTGAGAAAGAGTTTATAGACCTATACCATTCATGCCTCTGTCAGAAACTCAGAACCCGACCCCTGATTCAATTTTGTTTCGATGCTTGCCGGATCCAGATTTTGCAGGCCAATTCGCAATGTCCTCCGCCATCTGGACTTGGCCTCATGGCCGAGACCGCGATCCAGGTGACGAAGCCCTATTGAAGTCGACCATCGCTGGCGCAAGAGGAAGACTTTTGAAGCCATGATATAGCGCAAGCTTCCCTGTCGTGTTTTTTTGAGATTTGTACAAACTCTTTCTACACTCATTTGCTGTCTATGCAGCTTTGGTCACTCGTTCACTCTTCTCGCACTCGTTTAGCACCATGCGTTCGTTCATTCCCCTTTCCTCACAGTCACTCATTGCCGTTTTTCTTTCCTTGCATGTCTTGTTCGTACAATATGTCGACTCTCTTGCCAGTACAGACACCATTACGTGGGGCGGATCAAACGACAGAACCGGCTACCAGAACAATCACAACATGGATCCCGCAGTGGTTGGAAGCGCTCAATTTGGCCTCCTCTTCAAGACCAAGCTACCGGGAACGTATCCCATCAACGGCCAGAACGTTCCCGAGCAGATATTCTCCCAACCGCTGGTCTATACTGGCTCAGATGGCATCCAATATGTCTATGTTGCTACAACTCAGAACAATGTGTACAAAATAGTGGCAAACACCGGGGTTATTGTCGCATCTCGAAATCTTCATCGCCCATTTTTGGTCAGCGATCTGGACGGGTGTGTCGATATCAACCCGACTGTCGGTGTGACGGCAACAGGTGTCATCGATCCGGATACAGTGTGTCTCTATTGGCCTCTGCTGATCTCAAATTCTAACCGCAAACCCAGGATACATGGTATATGACGTCCAAGACGTACATTGACCAGAGCCTGACAGGTGCAAACGGTCGCACAAATGGTCGTTACTACGTTCACGCCATCAGCACTGTTGATCTCTCTGAGAGACCCGATTTCCCGGTCAACCTTGAGGGAATGGTGGCTCGAAACAACCCAGTTCGGTCATTCAATGGTGGCATTCATCATCAACGTCCTGGTCTGCTTCACACCGGTGACTATGTGTATGCCGGCTTTGCTAGCCATTGGTATGTATGATTCCGCTTCGCCCGTTGTCGGGACCAGAAGGATTAGATTATCCGTGTTGTCGTTTTGCAACTGACATTTTCTGTCTTATTACAGTGTCCAATACAACTTCACCGGGTGGATTGTTGGCTGGCACAAGGGCACGGGGCAGCTCGTGGAAAGATTTGCGACTGAAGGTGGTAAGTCATTACGGCGTCCGTATTGGCTCTGAAATTCTTGTATCTGATGATTCGCAGCTGGTGTTGGCCCTGACGTTCCTGGCGCGGGTGTTTGGATGTCCGGTGGCGGTCTTGCAAGCGATGACAAGGGCTCCATGTTCTTCGCTTCTGGCAACGGTTATGCTTCTCAGCTCAATGGAATACCGGTCAACGGGAGGAACCCACCAACATCACTCGAAGAAGCCGCCGTGCACATGGCAATCAATGACGACGGATCTCTGACCGTGGTCGACTTCTTCATGCCTTGGGAGAAAACCCAGCTTGATGGTGCTGACAAAGGTAGGAACGGTCTCCTCGACCTGGAAACGAAGCTAACTCGGTGCAGATCTCGGTACGTCACCGTTGGAACTCCTCCCTAGTCAATTTTCCTGCGGCGACGTCAAACGGATTGGGGTGGTCACCGGAAAGAGTGGAAAAACTTACTGGCTTAATCTCGACAACCTCGGAGGCTATCAGAACGGACCCAACAAGCTGGACAACGTGATTCAAGTCTACCAGAACGAGAACTCGGTCTATGCTGGAGCTGGTGTCTACCCACTCGAAGGAGGTTACATCTATATCAACGTCATTCAATATCAAACACACGTGTTCAAATTCTCCTGCAACGACGGCGTACCATATTTCAACAAAGTGGCCGATTCCCCCGAAAAGAATGCCTACATCCTCGGAGTAGGCCATGGCACTGTCACTTCGCTCAATGATCAGCCTGGGACTGGCTTGGTGTGGACGTCGGATGTCGAAGGATCCAATCTTCGGATCTACAATGCCATCCCGGATGCAAGCAGTCTCTTGACGGAAATCAATTCGTTTGTCACACCAGGAACCACCAAGTTCACCAGACCTGTCTTCGGAAATGGTATTGTCTACCAGGGCACTACAGTTGGCTATCTGTATGCTTACGGAGCGCCTGTCAATCTACCTCTAAACTGTACCGCTCTTCAGTTTGGCACGACATTTCTCAACACATCCACAGCGCCGATGACGGTGCGATGTACCGCCAACACTGCGGTAACAGTGACCGCTGCAAGCCTGTTAGGAAATCCAAACTTTGCTACCGGTGGGTTGCCAAATTTCCCTCTCACGGTTGCTCAGGGGCAACAGTTTTCGTTTCAGGCAACCTTCACCCCACAAACCGTTGGCCCGCTATCTTCATCGGTGATTCTCAATACAACTCAGCAAGCTGCTGGATTCAGCATCAATACTCCCGTCCAGCTAAAAGGGACTGGCCAGAGTCAGGCTGCTCTGCTGATGGTCACTCCCAACACCGTCAGCTGGAATGGTGTCATTACCGGACAGCAGGCAGGTGGCGTTAACCAGTCTGTGGTGATCACCAACCTAGGAAATAGCCCTCTTTCCATCAGCAATATTCAGTATTCCATTGTGGGCGAGACTGGCCCCTGGATCTCCCCCAATGGCACTCGAACAGCAACCGTGGTCTCGGCATTCACCTTCTACAATATGCCGTCGTCAGTCCCTCCCAACAGCGCTTTGACTGTCCCGATCAATTTCAACCCTCCACGCTCCGGCAACTACGCCGCATTTGTCCAGATCGTCTCCAACGGTGGCACCAAAGTGCTTGATGTCCTTGCAGCCGGATCGGATCAGCCGCAAGCCGTACTCGAGTTCCAGAGCCTAGATGGAGGATGGATCCCGTTTGACAGCACAACCTCCTTCACCTTCGGCAACGTTACGGAGAATACCAGCCGATACCTGAAAATGCGGTTGTCCAACAACGGTTCTGCCAATGCAGCGGCCTTGTCAGTGACTGTTAGTAAGCCTCCTTTTGGTGTTGCTGGAAGCATCATTGGCGCCAATAACCAGGTCGATCTCGCCGAGGGCACCCTGGTCTATGCGGGACAAAATCTCACCGCAACGCTCTTCTGCTCGGTCCCAAAGAGTCAACTCAATGTGGACCCTTACAACGGCACTGCGCAGTGGACCATGAATCTGAACGATCCCAACTTTGGAAAGCAGCACATCCAATTCTTCTGCAATGCTGTCTCGGAACAGGCACCTCCACTAGACCCAGTCACTCAGCAGGGTATTTACAGATATGGAGGCTGTTTCAAGGAGAACAATCCTGGTCGCCAACTTCAAACTGCCATCTACAGTGGCGCCAACAATACCAATGAACAGTGCATTTCTTTATGCGCAGCAACAGGGTACATCTTCGCTGGCACACAGTATGAGCAGGAGTGCTGGTGTGGCTACAACCGACCAAAGACGGTGGTCGACGATGCCAATTGCAACTTTGGATGCACCGGCAACGTCAATGAGATCTGTGGCGGCAATGGCATTGATGGTGCTGGCTCATACATTTCCCTCTTTGGTGACATTACGCGTTGGAACGGCAATTCTACAGACGCTCCAGGTCCGTATGTCAACCCTGGCACACTCAATTACACCAGTTTGGGCTGCTATACCGAAGGTACCAACTCTCGAGCACTGAATGTGCAGCGCAATGCCAACAACACTGTGGCTTCTTGTCTCCAGGCTTGTCAAGGCTATTTGTACTCTGGAGTCGAATATGGCGGCCAGTGCTTCTGTGGGAATACATTGGCGGCGGGTTCTGTAAATGCAAGTGCAACAGACTGCGGCATGACCTGCAACAACAATCAGACAGAATACTGTGGAGGCCCGAGCCGTCTCAACATGTATATCTACGGCAATGGTACCCTTCCGAGCACGCCGCCTTCAAATGGCGGTGGAAACAACAATCCTTCCACACCATCAGGTCCAACCATTCCGTCCACGATCGGCAATTTCACCTACCAGTCTTGCTCCTCTGAAATCCCCGGCCGGGCGCTCAGTGCTTTTGCTCTTGCAGACAACAGCATTACCTTGCAAACATGTGCCAGCAATTGCACCCAGTATCAGTATTTCGGTGTCGAATATGGCCGTGAATGCTACTGCGGGAACACCTTGGGCTCAGGTAGCGCTCCAGCAACCGACGGACGTTGCAACATGGAATGTTCAGGTAACTCCAGCTTCATTTGTGGAGGGCCAAATGGGTTGACTCTGTACCGAAATCTGAACTGGACGACTTCTACTCCACCACCGCCATCGAATCCGACAGGCCCAGTCATTGTCCCCAGTGTTGGTTCCTTCCAATACGTCGATTGCCACACGGAAGTAGCTGGTCGTGCTTTGACGGGCAAGGCTGTCGCCTCAAACGGCATGACGGTGCAATATTGTGCTGGAAACTGTACCGGCTTTACCTTTTTCGCAGTGGAGTATGGTCAGGAATGCTACTGTGGGAATAGCTTGAGTGCTGGCTCCGTTACAGCTACAGATGGACGATGTTCTATGACTTGTGCTGGCAATTCGTCAACCATTTGTGGTGGACCAAATGGACTAAGCCTCTACCAGTTCGTTGCGCCCTCAAGTTCTAGTTCGACATCAAGTGCAGCAAGGACTACCACACCAGGCACATCGACCCGAGCAACATCAACTCTGGTGACACCGGCAACTTCGTCCACCTCTGCGGTCATGTCTGTAACGTCGGCGTCGGGCGGAACTTCGGTCTCGAGCATGATCCAATCCTCCACGACTAGTATTTTCAGCGTGACCGTCTCGACACAACCGGTGACCTCCTCTGTCACTTCAGGACCTTCGACGACCAGGTCAGCAACCCCGAGCTCAGCCTCGTCGCTGACCACTATTAGCTCTACGAGTTCTACAGCTTCGACATCGAGTGTGCCAAATTCGAGCTCGATCACTTCTTCCACCACACTCCGAAGCAGCACTAGCTCTGTGTCACGAACAACCTCGTCCGCAAGCACGAGTACAACGACTATTCTCTCTGGCACAACAACCACGTCCCAAACTGCTTTTACTACATCGCCGTTGACCACTTCTACAGGATTACCAACTTCATCATCAGGAACCAGCTCGGGGACTTTGATCTCGACAGGAGTGAGCACAAGCACATCCAGGTCCGTGTTGTCATCGAGTAGTTCCGGCTTTACTACTAGCTTTCTTCCTGGATCTTCGGCGACTAGCAGTACTCCGGTCTTCTCGAGCTCAACTCCTACAACCACAAGTCAACCGGGGTCTTCCACTCTGACGACTGTCTCAACTCGCCTGACCACTTCCTCCACTTCATCTAGCACCAGCACACGCACATCTAGTGTGACCAGCTCGTCGTCTTCCGTGCCGTCGAATGCCTTCTTCCCTGCCATCTACCTTGGCTGTGCGCCCGAGCTGCCAAATGGACGACTCCTCTCAGTCGCCTCCACGTCAAACTCCGCAATGACAATATCCTCGTGCATTTCATTCTGCACGGCGCAAAACTTACCCCTTGCCGGCTTGGAATATTCGAGGGAATGCTACTGCGGGTACGGTCTGTCGCCCTCCACAGTCGTCAATGCCACGGGATGTACCATGCCGTGCGCCGGCAATGCGCAGCAGATGTGTGGTGGACCCAGTCGCTTGAGTGTCTACAACAATACCTCGCTGTCCCCTCCCGGTGCGAAGGCGATCATAGCGGGCTACACTTACCAGGGATGTTTTACAGATCCTTCCGCGGCTCAGCGCACTCTGCAAGGGTACAGCACCTCCAATTCCACGTCCATGACGCAGGAGTTCTGTGTCTCGGCCTGCCAGATCAGAGGCTATAAATACGCTGGTGTCGAGTTTGGCAGGGAATGTTATTGCTCGAACCAACTTGGCACCGTGAGCAATGGGGGTAAAGGGGCGTCGGCACCAGAGGGGGATTGTTCCATGCTGTGCACGGGTGATGGTAACGAGTTTTGTGGCGGGAGTGCGAGAATCGGCGTTTGGATGAGCGCTGCTTGATGTGGTTTTTTTTTCCCTTTACAAACAGACTTGGTTCTGATTTTTTTTAGAGCAGTTTTTGAAAGCAGATCCTTCCTGCCTGTTGTTCCCTCTTGTGTGTGTGTGTGTGTGTGTGTGTGTTTGTGTATGGATAAAGAAGATATAGAATTGTCGTTCTTGCCATTTGGAGTGTCTGAATACACTATTACTGTCACTTATGAAACAGGCTTTCATCATCTCTATTTTTGGTGGTGTCATGTGTCTGACAATGTGTCATGGGCAGAGGTTTCTGTGGTAGGAGAAGAGAGCAGCGACGTTGCGCGCACAACGTTGGGGGTTAGGTGTGAACAAGTCGGCGAACGAGCCATCTTATTGAGACAAGACTCGAGAAGGAGAAACACAACAAGATCAGAGAAGGGAAGAGAAGGAGAATGCGGAGGGGAAAAGGTAAAGGAAGCCGAAGAGTTCAGGGAGGAAAGCCCACTGGCCTTGACGTTTCATTCGCATACCATTTCTTCGTCTTGTGGCTGATCATGTCGACGTACAGGTACCGCTGCGCGACGGCCTCGATCTCGGACCACGTCGACAGGTGCATCTCGTTGGTGGCGAGCTGTGTGAGTCGCGGGCCGTGGTAATTGCATTCGCTCTCGCTCTCGCTTTCGCACCTGAGATCCCCGTCGCGTTCGGCGGTGGCGGTGGTAGTGACAGCTGGATGGCGGTGCTGTTTCTGGCTCTTGCTCTGGCTCTTGCTCTGGCTCTTGCTCTGCTTCTGTCTCCGCCTCTGACTCTGCGAGCGGACGTTACACTCGGCGACGGTCCCCACGTACAGACACCACAGCCTATCCTCAGCGGTCCGCACCCGCATCCCGGCCGGAAGTGTGGAAGAAGACGTTTCCATCTGGAGGATCCTGGCGTCGAGGTCGCGCAGGGTGGTCGAGACGATGCGGCTCATGTCAAAAGCCCACGACCCGGCCTCCTCGAGCTTGGAGCCCGCGTCCATGCGCTCGTGCGCGGCCCGACGCACCCAGTACAGCGCGGCGAGGCTTAGGCAGGCCTCGGCCAGTGCGGTGGGCGAGTGGCCGAGTTCCCAGTCTTCCATACAGTCGAGGTAGTTGTTGAGCAGGTCGCCCTCGAGAACCATGATCCTCATGGCGCCATTGATCAGGATCGCCAGGTTGAACAGGTCGCGGTTGAGCATGATCACGCCCAGGGCATCGAGCCACTCACGAACACCCACGAAGACCCTACGCAAGGTCGGGGATAACGAGGGGGACAGGTTTGCGGTCGAGAAGGGGAATGCCGATGGGTAAGAGACACCATTCCCCGCTTCCTTGTTCAGGTCATCGGTGATCCTGGCCGGGAGGTTTTCCTCGGCCCAGCGGTGCAGGTCGAACGACGGCCTCGTCAGGGAAAGGCACGCCCGCGTAATGTCCTGCTGCAAGACGACCATCAAGAGCCGTCGCTCGCCGTCAAAGGTCCGTCCGTCGGGCTGGAGAAGGCGCCGCAGCATCAGCCCATGGACCCCCGCGCCCTGGAGGTTTCCGGCGGCGATCTCGGCACAAAACAGCGCATAAACGTTCCACACGTCGGGCTGCGCGTCTGGCCGGCTCCTCTTCGCGATGGATTTTCTCAGATTGTTCGTCGCCTTGCCGAGGTACTGCAACGCCATGACGACGCTCGAGCGATTATGGGCCGTAAGGGTCGAGAGGATAGCCGAAGACCGCGCGAGGTACGCGTAGCCCGCCACGCCGTCGTCGTCGAGTGCGCGCACGCTGTCCATCCAGAACCGATCGATGTGGTGTCGCCCGCCCACGACCGACGCCTCGTTGGCGTGGATGGCCGGCAGGATAAAGTCCCGCGTGAAGACCAGGAGACGGTTAACTTCGGGCGTGACGGCGATGGTTTTGGACGAGAAGGGATCAGAGTTTCCCGCCAGGATCACCGGAGTGAGGAGGCCGCTCTCGTACCCGCTGTCGTACTCCTCGGTACGCGGGGCTGTTCCCGTCCCAGACGACTGTTTTTGTTGTTGCTGGTGCCGTTGTTTCTGTATCTGTCTTTTCTCGTTCTCGACACCCCCGCCACCGCCACCGCTTCGTCCTTTGTTCTTCAGTGCCTCATCCTTCTCCCGCCGCCGTTGATGTGCCTGTCGCGCAACGTGTGCGTTGATGGTCGACTTGTTGAGAACGTTCGACCCCTGATATCCATCGAAGACGAAGGTCACTGGCCTGTCGGAACCTCTACCCATGACCCGCACGTTTCCTTTGCAAGTCCCAGTCCCAGTCCGTATCTTACCCCAGTCTGCTAATGGAAGCCTCAATCAACGTCCACCACCCATGGTACCCAGCAGGAAGGAAAAGAAAAAGTTAATCACTACTGAATCCTCCGTATATTCCTTCCCTTCCCTTTTGTCGATCGAGCAGGAGCATACAGGTACATTAATAATGCACCTCGGGATCAAGAGATCTATCTACCCGAGTACACCGTGTGTGACCGGACCAGCACACTACGGGGTTAGGTACCATCTCGATCGTCCTCGTCTCGGGGGATGTCTTTTCGGACGCGAGTTGCTCGGGTACTCCGTACCTACATACCCTGCTACCCTAGTAGGCTCAAGGCCGGGTGAAGAATTCCAGGCTGGGTGCCAGGACGTGGGTGGTTGGTTGGCTTATGTAAAGGTAACCCAGATTCATGCCAAACCCAGCAGGCTTAGTCATTTTTAGTCAATGTCAATGAACAGGAAGGTGGTTCCACTTTTTTCATCGCCAGCCATTACCGGATTAGGAAGAAAGGGGAGTGTAACAATACCAGGAGGGATTTGCTTTTCCCCTCCCCCCAGACGACGAAGACGCACTTTTCTGGGAACAAGCTCTTTTGTACGAGTGCGAGTGCGAGTAAGCTGCAAGGCGCGCACCAAATAAGCATACAGGCAGGCATGCAGCTGGGGAATCCCGTTCCTTTGTACGTAGGCACCGAGGACAAACAAGTCTTCATCGGAGCCGAGATGTAGTCGCGTACAGGTAGATCCAGGCGCGCTGGTATTCCGGATTTTCCTTACAAGCCAAGTACAAGTACAAGTATATTAGAGGGCATATGATATATCCACGGCTCATCCTTGAGGGGCTTGCTTGCTCGGTCGACTGATTCGACAAAAAATCTCTCTCACTCCTGGACGATCCTGACAAAAGGGGGGGAAATCCGAAACAAAAAAAACAACAACTTGTGTTCAAAAAACACACGCAACACAACACCGCACACACGTCTACGCAATACGAGAGTAACACGCACGCCAGGAGAAAAATGCCTTCTGGCGGCTGCCTCTGCGGCAAGATCAGGTACTCGTACGAAGGGGAGCCACTGAAGATTGTGAGGACCTCCCCCTACCTACACCACCATCCCATGATTTTTTTGGGACAAAAATGAGAGAAAAACATGATAGGCTCACCCTCTCAGCAAAGATCACCTGCCACTGCGGGCAGTGCCACAAGGCGACGTCGAGCGCGTTCAGCACGGGCGTCTTCCTCCTCGACACGCAGTTCACGCTCCTCTCCGACCCGACGGTGGTCCAGACGTACTCGTACCCGCAGACGTCGGACGCGTCGATCCAGACGCTGCACTTCTGCCCCGTCTGCAGCACCGTCGTGTGGAGGACCGGAGCCGCGGACAAGTACGCCGGCGTGTTGAGCGTGCAGCTCGGCACGCTCGACGACCCGGGCGTGAGGGACCGGCTGGAGCCCAGTGTCGAGCACTACGTGAGTATGCGGACAAAGTGGGTTAACAAGGTCCAGAGCGCGGAGCAGGAGGAGGGGGCCTGAAATGAAATGAGTTGGGGAGGATAGTGGTAGGGAAGAGAGGGGGTGAAACGTGGTCCAGGATAGATAGCACCGAGTGAGCACTCGGCTACTACTTGTGTGCGAGTAAACTTGACGAATGAGATGTTGGATCGAGATTGAGATTGGCGCCTCGGGGGATTGAGAATCTGGCTCTAGATCGATAGCAGCGCTTTGCATCGACTGCGGCCGGCGTGTTGCCGAAGGACGCGACGTGATATCTGCTGACTGCGGCCACCAACGCTACTTCTGACAGGGACAAGTACCTCTTACAGCTTCTCGATCGCTGCCCCCTTTGAAACTTGGGCAAGATACGAGCGATGAATCATCAAGGCACGAAAGCTAGCCTACGACAGATTGAGATCAGCGTGATGATTGAGAGATAAAGCCGCAATGCAAGTAACTGGCTGGCTGTCCCGTGGGCAACATCAAGGCTCGAGAATATTCTTCTGGAACCCGGCGAGCGGCTGACCAAGTCTCCAACTGGGTGACAACCAGTCCACATCCCACCGAATCCCTCACTGGATTGTCCTCTTGTGGTCTGAGTGTTGAAAAGGCCCTTTCCGTGTTGACACTCATTCCATCTTTTCCACAGATTCTTCGACATGGGTCACTGCGGGCTTCTTGTCCATGAAAGCGCCGGTGTTGACTTGAACGTCGTGCAAGGCCTTCTCCTGAATCTCGGTCTGATAGGTCTTGAACTTGAACACGCCGACCCGCTTCTCGAAAAGCTCGTCAATCTCCTCCAATGTTCTCCCTTTCAACTGTCCTCGGTCAGCCGAAGCCGTCTTCTCTCGCGGCGGTGCGTGTCTCTTACCTCTGGGATGCAAAAGAAGTAGAACAGTGCACACACAATGTTACTTCCGAACCAGATGTAACCATAGCGAGGACCCTTGACATCATCAGAGAACAAGATCGAGGATTGAAGGTCCGACGGTGCTTACCCAGTTCAGATCGGTCGGGTTGATGAAATATGGTGTGCAGAAACTGGTGAGCCACGCAAAAACGTATTGAATCGAGGTTGCCGACCCCACAGTCCACGCACGAAGCCGGGAGCTCACCAACTCTGTAGCCACGGGATAGGTCGCGGCGCCGACACATCCTGAAAGAGTCAGTAACAGCAGTCCACGCGGCGGATGCGGGTGCCCAAACCATTATAGAAGAACCCCCAAATGGCGACCATTGCCACCGTGACTTTGCCAGTCTCAATGGTGAAAGGTGAGACGCTCTGCGCAATCGCCATTCCCAGGAAGCAGAGACTTGTCACGACCGACCCAAAGATGCAAATGAATCTTCTCCCCACCAGGTGGCGCATGGCGTACATGCCGCAGTTGACGCCAACAAACCCAATGCAGGTGATCATGATGGAATACTGGAAAGCTTGCTTGATGCCGGCGATTTGGAAGAAATATGTTTGATACGCGATGGGGAACCAAGAGCCGCTCCCTGCTTGGGTCAGAATGGTACCCCAGCACAATAGTGTCCGTCGCAAATCGGCACCTGAGTCAGAAGTCAGCTACACAAGCCATACGCGAGACATGCCCGAGGCACTCACCGCGGAACATATCCAACAGTCCAACAGACTTTGCGATCCGTCTCTCTTCCTCGACGCCGCGAATGATTTCCGCCCATTCGAGTTCGAAATACTCGGGAGCCAACGAGTCGGCTCGCAACTTCTCCAAGGCTTTTCGGGCCTGGCTTTCTTTATTGTGGTGCAACAGCCATCGAGGGGTTTCCGGGACGAAGAATAGTCCAATACCCAAAAGGACAGGCACAATATAAAGGCTGCCAATTGGAATCTGATACGAACCCTTGTCCAAACGGTCCTTGGTATAGTTATCCACAATGGTCCCCAGGATCGCACCGATATTGACCCAGTACGCAAACAGTGCCACCATCACCCCTCTCAGATGAGCCGGGGCAATTTCCGCGGTGTAGATGTTCGAGAAGGTAACCAGGAAGCCATTTGAGAAGCCGAGGACAATTCGACCAAGATATATCACTCCCTTGTTTGTGGTGCCGATTTGAATGGCTAATCCAATGCAATTCAAAATGCAGGCCAACCAAAGCGCTGTTTTGCGGCCGTAAAAGGCTCCGAAAGCCCCAGCGAGGATCGACGAGAGAAAGGCACCGAGCGTCAAGAGGGAGCCGATCAGTTGTTGAAAGGTGCTGTCGATCCCATAGCCACCCGGGCTGTTAGGGTCGGGAAAGCCAAATACTTTTAGAAAGCCGGGCATAGCCTGAAGGGCACCGATTGCGGCACTGTCGAAACCTTTGCATTTCCACGTCAGCCACCCGTCGCTCCCTGGATCCAGCGCCTGATCTGCTGACAACTAACCATACTGGGTATTGGCGGTCGCGACAATGCAAGCAATCATCAAGCATTTGCGGTTGGCCCAAAGGGACGTCACCGGCACGGTGATTTGACTGGTATGTGGAACTTCCGACATCGTGGTACTGTTTGATGACGGCTGAAAGATGCCTCTCTCCTGTTGTCAGCAATTGTCCATGTGGAGGGTTGCCGAGATTCATATATCCTGTTGTTCACTCCACAGATTCCAACTAAACCTGGGGTTCCCTCCACAAAGCCAGCAGGACAAATACGATGTCAGATCAAAAGTGCAACAGGGGTGGTTTCGTCCCTTCCGGGGTTCAACGTCCACATGTGGAGCATATCGAGCTTCCTTTGATCAACCCCTCAGTTATCTCAGCCAGGGTCGAGCTCGACATCTGGATGAAAAGGGCAATTGGACTTGTCGGTGGCCGTATGCAGTACTGTTCCTTCGTCGACAGAAGTCAACTCCGCATTGTGGGGAGGATAGACATCCAACCTCGCTCTTGAGCCGAAAGGGCCAGTTGTGAGTATGTGTGCTAGTCCCGAAATGCCTCAGAATGTGGGATTTCGTCTTCATCGATACGTTCGGAAGTTAGTGCCATACAAAGACGTGACGAGGGAGTGGGAGTAGCAATAAACACTAATTCTTCCGAGCAATTGAAGACAGACTCTCGCGTATGGTATAGAGGTCATGGCTTGGCTTCTGTCGTCGGCCATGTTCTCACCATTCTTGACATTCCCGTTGTTGACCAAAGGAGCTTTTCACCTTTCTGATCTTCCACACGACTACTTCATACTGGTTTCGACAACGACGAGTCTGCCCCACATGCGGAACCACAACAAGGACAACAGGATAACTGCCGCCTTGGTTGTTTCGCGCTGGAGTCGTCTGGCCCGGGGATTCGCCGCTGCAAGAGGGACTGTGGCAGGATTGACGGTCGTTGGTGAAAGCTGCACTGGCGTTGATGACCATGCCAAAATCGGACAAGCCTCCTGTCAGTTGACGAATCCGAGAGAAGGGTACTTCCCGAGATCCTCAGTGCAGGTCAGTTGAGCGATCTTCGACCGACTCCGTGATAAGTCGACGAGGGCCACGCCTCCACAATCCCACCTGTCCACCAGTTGAGCACATAGAAATACAATGAGACCAGTGCAGAACTTGAACCAAATTCGCGGTCGCTTATCCTATGGACCGCATGGCAAGATGTCGCCGAGACGGATATCTAGATCGAGAGTTGGCGATTGGATCCCAAAGACTTTCAATTCTCGCAGCATCCAAAAAACATCCACAGGAGTGACGGGACTGGAGTGCAAAAGCAGTCCTTCGCACTCTGCTATCAGTCTGAGAAATGCCGCGCAATATCTCGTCAGGTTCCAAAAGGCTTCAAATCACTTCAATCGTCAAGGTAGATAGTCGAGGTTGAACAAACCTCCACCCTGTTGAAACCCCAATAAGCTGGGCATATCCATTATCTGAAATCCATTGACATCTTGATCTGAAACGTTCAGTTCCGAAAATTGATTCACGTTACTCCACGCGTCTCCGAAATAGTTGGCAGAGAAGTTGAAATGCTGTGCCTCGAGGAATTCAGCCGTGGCATTTCCAAAGGGCGAGGACATAGTCCTCTCATCGCCCCCGCCGCCACCCTGCAAAGCATACTGCATGACGGGTGGGGGAGGCAAGTGATCCTGCAGGCCTTCCCGCATCGCACCTTGATAGACAGAAGTTGAGAGCGGCCCACCCTCGACATCTCCGCTCGACATCGTGGTATATGGGGTACCTGGAGGTGCTCTCGTAGATAGTTGACATATTGATGCATGATTTTTGATTTGTTGGCTGGACTCGAAAGAATGCCCCCCTGCCGACATTGACCGACCAAAATGTGTTTGAACGGGTAATCCGGTACTCATTTGATCGATGGCCACCTCGGTCAAGCCTGGACGATTCATACCGAAGCTCACAGAAGAAGAACAGTTGACATCAGCCGAACTTTCAGTAGTCGGTCCACTGTCCCGTGGGCCTTGGCACTTTAGACGTTCTCGAGTCTCTGTAAATTCTGCAGGGAGTAGCGCAATCATAGTCTTCCGAGATGTTAGCCCCCGAATTGTGACGTAGAGATGGAAAGCCATCCACTCACCTCCAGAATGGTCTGCGCTCGGTCAGCAGTGTTGTTGCACTTTGCGAGAAGAGCAATAGCTTTTCGGCCAATCGATATATCCTTGAAAGACTGTTCTCTCCCTTCCCAGTCGTGGGAATCGAGAATGATGAACATGAGTGTCACGACAGATCCGAAAATCATGTGCAAGACAGTAAAACATCCACCCCGGAGCAGATCTTGGTTGTACATTTCGTCGCTGAGGCTCAGAATAGTGTGACACGCTTGCACACAGGCAGCTGCGTACGGAGGAAAAGTAAGATCGGGCGATGATGTATTTTGAGTAGTGGCTTTGGAGAGATAATGGAGGAAAGGCCTGTAGAGGTAGAGTTGAACGTGGGCATGCGACATGCGGAGTAGATATTGCGTCCTAGAGTAAGCCAGGTTAGCCAATCCTGGGCTTCCTCGCATGTAGGAAGGGGATGTTTACCGGAGCAAAGGTCTGGAAACCATATGGGCCTTCGGACGGAATCCGAATGGCAGATTCTCTATCCACCTTTTCAGAGCCCTCTCGATATCTTTGACCTTCTCAACGCGGACCAGATATGTTGCAGCCGGTGTTCCGTGCGTGGTGACGACTCCTCGAGGCGGATATATGTCCCTGACAACCTGCTCCAAGATCTTGTAAAGGGCGATGATTGCATTCAGGCCCGCTATCGAACACACTTCCTCCGGAGGCTGGGGCAAAATACATGTTTTGGTGATGTATTCATCGTTAACTTCCATCGGCAAATCTTGGTCGACATTCTCGTCGCTTAAGAGCTTGGGCATGCCACATGCCGTTGCAAAGTAGCTTCCGAGGAGTCTCAGGACCCAGAATATTCTCTTGCCTACCTCTCGTTCGATTAGATCGTCATGTTTAGACTTTGAACGATGGAGACCCATGCGGAGGGCAAGTGTCAGTGCATGGGTCACGTATGAGTAACAGGTACCAACACGGGCGTTGCAGACGGTGAAAAGGATGAGGAATATCATTGTTTGGAGTGATTGTTCATCTGTACCGTCGCCAACGTCAACAAGGGCACGGCTGGCAGCGAAGTACTGTAGTCTGCCTGAAAATTAGCTTCACAAAATGTTGTACTTGACGATGTGGCGAACTTACCCCTCGGCGATCTCGTGCTCGCGAGAGGCATGCGCAGAGTCAACCTGAATGAACATACACCCTAGGGCAAGGGTTGCATAGAGAAGAGAGAGGAATCGTAGCTGCTCGATCGGGAAATCATTGGGTGTCGTCGCGTAAATGGTTTCAAGGGAACGATCGAAGCTCGGCCGATGTAGGATGGGAAAAAGAGAATATGACTCCATCGCAGCATCTACCAAGGCACGAGCCCTCTCTCTGGGAGGAAGGCAGGCGGTTGCGGCAAGAGAGTAATCACACTCAAATAGTTTTGCACATGGTTTCCTTGGAGGACGAATTCGTGAACGAACATTGTCGCCTGGCCAATCTTTGATCCTTTCTCTCATCCGTTGGATGAACGCACGGTCTCCCGAGTATCCCTGAAATCCGTCCTCGGCTTCCTCGGTTGCGTGTCGCGTGAGAATGAATCTCGGAGCCGTCCAGGAGATGTCTTCGTCATGGTCCTCTAGAGAGTGCTCAGAAGAATAGGACAAGCTCGACTGGCCGGCCAATTGGCGCTCTGGAGAGGGTGGCATGCGCATCGGATCTGCAGGTTGTGTGAGGTTCTTGATACATGATTCTAGAACCTCAATCCTGGTCTTGAGAGACTCGACCTGCTCAGTGGTACGAAGGTATCTTCTCTTCCTCCGACGCGGTTCCGGGTAGATACAGTCTAGAGCAGTTAGGGAACATCGCGCGCCAACAATACTGTGTCGTCTCTGGCTGACCTTGAAAGGAGATTGCACAATGTCTGCAGGGATGCTTTCTGTCGCATCTAACCTTCCGTTCTCGACAGGAACTGCAGGCTCTTGAGATAGGTTGGAGGTTTTGTACCTCGCGCTTCTTCGTGTTCAGCTCGAGAGGCACGTCGTGCGACTGTTCCGAATCGCCGTCGGTAAGGTTACTGCGATTAACATCTATGTCACTCCGAGAGACGTTTCCAGCCCCATTATTTGAGGATCCAGGATCCTGGTATGAGGAGGACTGCATAACACGTCGAATTATTGTTCATTGACCTTCGTCCTCTTCACCATATATGCTGTGAGAATGTGTGGGAATATGCGAAGGGTGCTGACAGTCACAGGAGGGATTGAACATGGGAGTGATTGTGTTGTCAAATAACTGTCTGGGGTTGGCAGCTCACCTCATATGGCGCAAGGTGTGAGCATGAAAATATTTGGTTGGATACTGATTGATGGATCAGCGGTGGAGGATATATGTACGAGGGAGTCGGGTGGTCACTGGGTGGGAGAAAAGAGGAGATGCGAAGTATTATTACACGCATTGAACAAACAGGTGACTTCATGAGTTGCCTCGAGCAGGTACTTTTTAGGGGCTCCTGCAGCCTAAAAATTACGCCCGCTAAGTCCGGGGGCTGTTGATGGGTGCCACTTAAGCACAAATACTGCTTATTTCCGCACTGCACGGGGATATCCAATGACTGACATTCTAACCCCCAAAACGCCTGAGAAACCTGCCTTTACAAATACACCGCGAACCCAATCCCTCCAACCGATATATTACCAATGAATCCATCTATCTCCACGCCACCCATTGCAGACATCATCCGTCGCGGTCGACAACTAGTAGCCCTATCACCCCTGCTATTCTAATTTTACAGGATAACGTTCTCTCAGATACCCGCCATATCGGTGTAGGAGAACTGGTGCTGGGATCAAAGCGAGCGTAACAAAGCCCAACAGAGAATTTCCCCACTGTATTCGATGTCAGCACACTCGTTGGGCCTTGAGTAAGAGTCAAGCTGTAAAGAGACTTACTCCGTATCCTAGACTCTGATATAGCGAAGGGCCCGCAAGTGGAAGAAATGCGCCGAAGAAAGATCTCGTCACGGTCACCGAGGCTATCCCGGACGCTGCATACCGAGAATATGAGTCGATAATGTACGTTTGGATGGACGTGAAGATCCCAATCATTCCAAAGCCGAATGGCAACAGCCCAATGATAGGGACAATCCAGTGTACTTTTGCTTGAATTGACCATCCGTACCAAAAGAAGGATATGGGGACGAAGAAAGCAAAAAACAGACACATTGTCAGTCGCATCTCGGGCTGGTATTCTCCGTTGTTGGCGTTGGAAAGGCGGACTATGATCTTGTCGCTTGTGAGACCAAATAGAGCCTGTCCGCAAAGCAGACCGAGTCCTAGGCCAATGTAGGCGAGACCTGTCAAGTCTGGAGTCCAGTGATACGCATCCTCAAAGACAGTGGTAACTGTCGTGAAGAGCAAGTAGAGGCAGCCGTATATCAGTGCAACGTAGATCGCCAATAGTCCAACAATTGGAGACAAGAATAGCAGCCTCAGAGGCCTTATCAAGCTGCGACCAAGGAGAGCCTTTGCGGAGCGTTTGCCCAAGACTTTATCATAGCAACTTGTCAGATCGTCGCGGTTCAACTCTCTTGCAAGTCGACGGGTCTTGTAACGGATGAGGACAGTGTGATTAGTCTCGCGATAGAAAACGAGAATGAATCCAGTGCAAGTACCTGCAACGATCAAGAGAGTCCAAAAGACCTGCAAGGGGGCAGACAAATTAGAATCATCCACAGATTTTTGATCAGAGAACTTACCCATCTCCATCCTGCGCCTTGCGCTATGAAGCCCCCACAAATAGGACCGAGGACGGGGCCAAAGAGTGGCCCAGCGGTAAAGATGGACATGGCCAGGCCACGCTGTTCCTTCTCGAACATGTCCGCGATCGTGCCACCGCCAATAGTCAAGCAAGCAGACCCACCCATGCCCGTGAGCAATCGGAAGACGATCAGTGATGAGATATTGGGAGCTAGAGCGCAGCCAATCTGCCACACCACGAAATGAAGCGATGCTATATTCAAGACGATGCGTCGACCATATATCTCACTGAGAGGTGAGAGAAAGAGTGGGCCAATCTGTAGAGAGAACTGTCAGACATAGACGGAAACAGGAGGCATTCAGATTGGAGAACGATACCGCGTAGCCAAGAACGTATGCTGAGACAACGAAAGTGCTCAGGATGGTTGAAGTGTTGTTGAAGTCGGCATCGGCAAATCGAACGGCAGGTGCGAAAACCGAAGACGCAAACGGACTGTAAACTTTGAGCATTCAACCAGAGGCGCAAGTAATTCTGAACTTCCATGCTCACCTGATCAATGTCATTGAGCTCACGAGAGCTAGAATGGTCCATTTTCGCAATGGGTTGTAATTCCGTGGATTCTCTGGATCATCTTGCCCTTCCCATCCGACGATACCTTGATCAAGATCCTGCTCCGGGAGCACATCCCTTTTCAATAGGTGTTCTTTTCGTTGGTGTCCTGATTTTTCAGAAGGCCCATTCTGTGATGCTGCCTCGTCCTTGGGCAGATTCAGTTGGTTGGGTGTTTGCAGGGTTCCTTGCTGTGCGTTGAGGGCTATCGGGACCTCGATGTCCCCATTATTTTGGTCCCTAGCTTTGGTTGAAGCCATGATTCTTGTCCTCAAGAAATAGTATCAGGCCTGCTGGATAATGATATAGTGATCGCCAACACATCAGCATGTCGGAACCAATCCTTTCTTGCCTTAGCATGAAGCTTTTATAAACATAAGGAAAAAAGAAGGCATCATCCTTAAAATGACGCTTAGGCAATGTTGTAGATTGAGGAGTCGTAATGAGGCCAGCAGTCTACTCGGTGCAATGCTGTCAGTCTCCACATACTCTGCAATTCACGAGAAGAGGTGCTCTCGGGCCTTCCATCACCATTTCTCCGTGATTCGGGTTAGCGTAGTCTAGAAAAGGTGGGTCTCTGGACTAGCGCCCCACAAGCAAGACCAATCAAGCCTCGACTCCCGTCTGGGGCAAAACCTTGACATGTCTACAGCCACCATGCTGAAGCACACGACCCGCCGTACGAGTAGAAACAACTCAGTGTTCGACAATCAGGTCTCACTGTAAGATGAGAGCTTTAACCTAGATCACGGCCCGGATCTCCCTGCGCACCGACTCTTTGCCAGGAGAAATTACATCGATGGCCATATTATCCGGGTGGGATCCACCAGATCAGAGGAGAATTGGGTCTGTAATCTTCGATCCTTGAATACGAGTCACTTTCCGATCTCAAAGTCCGTCAAATATGGATGGAGATATCGGAGACAGGCGTGGTGGTTTGCATCACTGCAGTCACCGCACCTCCACACAGCTCCGTCTCAAAATCCACAGCCGCAAAATGCCTTTTAAGCAGACCTGGCGCTGGAGAATATTCTCGACCAAAGGGTCAGCTGCTTGCAAAGGCAACCATATCCATTTAGAACACTACCGGTCCTCAATTGACCAGTTTCCCGTCCAGACAGGGCCAAGATGACCTCCAACAGACCGGATACCTGCTGTTACAAAGGTTTCAAGCATGAAGGCGAAGCAACGGGTCAAATGGAACAATGGGGCGATTTCGAGGTCTATGTCAAATACCCCGAGAACAAGTCGACGGAGAGAGCGATTCTCTTGTAAGTTTACTGTCGACTTTCAAAGCTGCCGATCCAGCCCTGCCCAGCCCATCCTATCCAAGCAACAATGTCGCCCCCTCACTGACGTGCAATTGCCAATTCAAAACAGCTTGACCGATGTAATTGGCCACCGCTCCATCAACTCTCAGCTCCTGGCCGACCAATTCGCTGCCAACGGATACTTTGTCGTGATGCCTGACCTCTTCTACGGCGATGCAATCGAGTTGAACCAGCTCGGCGAGCTCGATATTCCCAAGTGGTTCGGAGGTGGATACAGCGCCCGGGGCATTGGACACGACGCGTCCATCGTCGACCCGATTGTCGAGACATGCTTGTCTCAGATGCGGCTCAAGCACCACTGCAAAGTATGTGAAAAACCAAGTCTTTTGGGCGAGAATACAAGAATCTTTTCAACTTCGGCAAGATCTCTGACCGAGAGCGACAGAAAATCGGCGCTGTGGGCTACTGTTTCGGGGCGAAATACGTCGTCCGCTTCCTGCGGCCAGACCAAGCGAAGATCGACGTCGGTTACGGCGCACACCCAAGCCAGATCGCAAGGGACGAGCTGCAAGCTATCAAAGGACCCTTCGCCATCGCCGCGGCGGCCCACGACCACGTGTTCCCGCCCGAGAAGCGCCATGAAAGTGAGCAGATTTTGGAATCATCGGGCCTGCCCTACCAGATAAACTTGTACGGCGGGGTTGCACACGGGTGAGTTTTTTTGCTCTGTAATTTGAGTCTAGAGCATACACACACACACACACACACACACACACACACACACACACACACACACACATCCACACAAACGCCGGGCAAAGCTAACGAGTTTGGGGCCGTTTCACCTTCCAGATTTGCGGTGCGTGGAGATCTCAAGGACCGCGTGCAGTTGTACGCAAAGGAAGCATCTTTCTTACAGGCTCTGCAATGGTTTGAGGAGTATCTAGAGAAGTGAAAAGAAATAGATAGGTAACATCAGTCACCGGCCTTTCCGTCCTAATAGGAGCCGATGTGACGCCCGCTAGATTACATCCTTTGCCCTCGGTCTCGACAAAGCATCGGATACATGAATGATTGCTGTGTCTGCCTCTCTCAAGGGCCACATTGGACTGTTCTTCCTTCAATAGTACGCTCGTTGAATTAGCACTTTCAGAAGACAGCATCTACGTGCGAGTCCGTTTTCCACGGATGTTCACCTTCTGGCCACTTCCGGTTTCCCCCTATCTGAGGCGCAAATCGTAGGCCTTCTTGATTAATATCAAATGGTGCTGATGCAATCCTACCACCGCGATCAAACCATCACAACCTCATGATCGAGCCACGTAGAGTAAATCCTAATGCGAATCGACGAGTATCCTAAGTGATTAGTACCTCTCGAACGTATCTCGCCAGGTCAAGCCATGCTTCAGTGGCCGTATCCAAGGCTGGGTCACTCTTCAGCTCTCTAGGGACAAGAATTTACGACCAGTGAGATATAGGAAGTTCGTTTACCGTCGGGTTCTCCACAAAGCACATACCTGGCCCTCGTTCAGCCGTAGAGCCTACCGCGGGCTTATTTGGTCGTGTCAATAGTCTTCGTATTGTATCTGACACCGAAGCGAGATCTTTTGCGAAATTGAGGAAATCGAGAACTCGCTCAGAAAACCACTGCTGCGGCATTCTCTTCCAGACGAGGGATTTTCCCGAAAAACGCTTTATGGAAGCCAGGTACGCTAACCTGCCCATTCTCCTTTCTCCTCATACTTTCCTCCGTTCAGCTGATAGGCAGTAATGACCTTTCTTAGCTGGTCGGATCAAAGATATTCCGTTCCTGGAATCAAGAGTGAAGCTGTGCGTCAAAGTACACGGGGAGCGATACCTGTTTCCTGTCGCAATGGAGCACCATTCATAAGGGTACGCCCTCGAATTCACCCCGCGCATGTTTGGCCAATTTTCTTACCCCTCATGGTGCGGGTAGCCACCATGGGCAGACTGTCTCTCCGGCCTACCATGTAGCCGGTTTGGTAGTCCCTCGTGGGCTGAAGTGTCCTGGCCCTGGCCCTATCCTTGTCGGGCGGCGGACGGAGGCATGACTAAAGAGGTTCAGGGCATCCACAAAATCGCCCTTGGTTCGCCTTTCTGGCCATCACCTGTGACGACCGGAACTGTCAGAACCTGGTCGGCGACGCCCTCAAGGCCATCTCTGACAAGGCGTGGATCACCACGGAAGAACGAAGCTCCGCGATCGGCAAGATGGTCGACGTGATAATGGAGGCGCCTGAGGAATGATGTTTGTTTTCCCGGCACTTCTCAGTGACGGAGCAGCTGGCCCAGGAGAAGGTCGTTTACAAGTTCTTGCGGGTACGTCTGAGGGAAGATGTGCTTGGTATAGGTCTCCCAGTCCGAATCATCCAAAGCGCTGAAGAATTTCACGTACTCCCAATATTCTGGATACCAGCCGGCGTTCTCCCAGTCCAGAACGGCGGTGATCCGGCGGTTGTGAATGATGATGTTCCGTGGATTGATGTCGCCATGGGTGAGCAGGATCTTGTGGGTCGATGTCATAACTTTAGAGAAGGTCGAGGAAAATCTGCGCTGTGCCGCCTTGATGAGATCAGACTGGAGGAAGTCGTTGAATTGCATTTCAGTCGCAAAAGGACCACCGACGAGGGTGGTTTTCCGAGAGTCAACCGCAGCAGTGCCTCCGATACCTCCTATATAATTGCCTCGCTTCTCTCGTAGATTACCGAGGATCTCTCGTAGCTGTCCGCTAATTTCCAGTTTTTCCTCGTTTGAGAGGGTCGGCCATAGTTCGGACAGTGGTTCGCCCTCGACGTATTCCATGACAATGACGTGAGTACCGTCGGATTGAGGATAGTCGTCATATACCTCTGGCACAGGCACCGACGTATTCTGGCGAACAAAGCGAAGAGTATCCGCCTCCTCCCTTCTGACGCTGGATCCGGATTTGATGACCACGTTGCCTCGACGTAAGACTGTGCGGCGCGAAGTGGAGAGAAACACAATGTCAGGGCCATCACACTGTAGGTCAACGATCGTGAGATTCTTCATGTTTCCGCGAACGTTGAGGTAAGGGAGAAAGGTTTGGACCTTTTCGAAGCCTTTTCCAAGAGTTTGTGTAGGGCCGAACGAGGACCAAGAGATTCCTGATTGTAGCCAGGGGCCAACCGGGAGCCATCTAAGTGTACGACGTAGAGACAAGACAGATCACGTTGTGGTCACGTGCCCACTAGCGCTACTACATTTGGCGTTGTCGTCTTGGCAAAAGGCTATTCCTCATGAGCACGTGACTGTTACGGCTCGTCCCAGGCGACCACCAATAACTGTTGAGACCCAATTTTGGACCTTTTGGAACCGAAATCGTGTCACACCCTGCGGTCTGTTCATACACAGAGGAAAGGTCAAAGGTCCCAGATCCTGAAGTGGTGATTCAAGACCATCGAGAGGGAGGAGAGAGTGGGTATGGATACACAATCAGACTATGAGCGGGACATCCCGTCGACCGAGCCCTCCACCCCAAAGGAGGCCTTCTCGATCGAAATCCTTGATACAGAGGGTGGAGGAGTTTGAGCGCAGGGACTATCTGGAAATGCTCGACAGACTCACGCGCGACAATCTTAACCTGCAACGAGATGTTCTGCACTATCAAAGAGAGTGGTGCGCATTGCTGGATCTACTCCAATACGTGAATGAGGCTTTGGTGAGACTACAGAATGCCCTGGCCAAATGCTTTCAGGAGCAAGTAGATGCTGAAGAATACTGGCTTACATCCTGGGGAATCGAAGACGAAATCACCAGAGGTGCGGGATATAATCCAACCGGATGGGTCTAGCATAGTCATCAGCACCTCCACCGCAGAATGTGAACTGTGGTAAATTGACCGAGTAGGCGAGACGGTCAAGGTGAGGCGACTGGAATAGTGTAACGAAGAATGTTGTTTACAAAGAGAGGCAGGAGAACCCCTACTGCATGACAAAGACCATTCGAGGCAGAGACGCTTTCGATTCCTTATCAACATTTACTCTCCCTTAATCTGTACACAGAATCCCCCTGGAGCTCACTCGACGATCCATCCCAAGTCAGCTCAGAGCATATCCGTATACCCAGGCACTCGTTCCACCAAGTAGCTTCATCTTTACATTGCCGTGCTCCCAAGTCAATAAGACGGTCCCGAGACAAAGAATGGTTTGATTCGAGCCAAGAGCTTTGTGTGATTTGAATTGCTCGTATCCAGTCAGTATTCGAGGCATTGAATAGGTACTTATCGGACGTGAGAAGAAACAGATCAGGCCATAATTCTAGATTCTCTTTCAAGAAGACTAGAGCAACTAGGAATCGCAGTCGAGAGAAATCTAAGCAGTTATTTACCTCAGCTTTTAATATGACATCCCTAATATTTGAGGCGGGAAGGTCGCGACTCTTACGGAAGAAGTTAGAATGAAACCAGAGTCTTCCAGGCATATTTTGGTCATACTACGTAGCTTCGGCGCCCGAGACGTATACAAGTCGTACTAAGACGGGTTTTCCTAGCGAGGTTTCCAAAAAATACTGTTGATATCTCTTTCTATAGTAGTCTTTCGGGTCTAAGATTCGAGTATAAGATCCGAATACACTCCCGAAGGTTCGTAACATCTTTATCTCCGAGGTAACCCGCGATTTGTGTAAGTAGTTCGATAACCTCGAAACTTTCCAGATACAGAGGGCAACATTCTGCTAGTCTCGTTTGTGCCACGTCTTGCTATCAAAACTGTCTCCATGACCGGCAACTGCTGGATAAGCCGAGACCTTGACTCCCAGTCGGAGCAATATGCTTGATGAAGACGAGAAGGACCTGCTTCGCGGCCCACAACCCAGAACTGTGCAACACCGGATGATCCCAAACCACGCCGGTCCAACCAAGCGTTTATGCAAACGTAAGTAGGAAATGGTATCTCAATGGTCAAGGCATCTCAATCAAACACAAATGAAATGAGCTTCATCAATCTCATACAACCAACCCCACGTGAACATCGTACACTGCCACGACTTCGACACATGCCCCATACCATGGTGATTTGGGTGAGTGGGTTGTCACTCGGGAAGGGTTGATATCTTTCGTTTTTTTTCTTCCAAATTATCGACGCTCATATCTTGAGAGCAGCCTTTTCATCAATAACAGTGAATGGACTGGTCTTCTTTGCCACAGGCCGCTTTACACGGAGGACGGCATCTTGATCTGACATTCTTCTGCCCAGTGCGCGCTCGACTTTTGCGCCCAAGCTCAGTTTGCTCAAGTCATCAGACTTTTTCTGCGAGGGTACGAAGCGCTGTTGCGATAGACGCTTGTTTTCCAGCCTGTCCAGACCCTGTGTGAGATGGCGGATTTCGGCCATGCCCGTTTCGGGACTGACGGTAATATTGGCAGTGCCAGAGCCGGAAACGAGAGTCTGTGCATTCGAGTAGTTGCTTGTTGTGGTGGCAAAGGAGGGAGAAGCAGAGTAGGTTGAGTAGCGCTTGGAGGTACGCTTCGATGTGAGCTGTTCATGTTGTCAGTCAGTAGCGTGACGCTGCGAGGACTGAATAATTTGGGACTTACGCTGGGGGCCATAATTGGCCTTTGGGATTCAAGAGATCGGCGAGACATGACTGCGGGAAGAGGCGGTTGTAGTTGCGAGTTGCCTTATTCACCCAGTTCTGGGATCAAAGTGAAGCCAATGTGCTCGAGGACAAGGTCGTTGGTTGTGCTGGCCACACACCCGTTTTCTTGCCCCAGTGACCCAGATGTTGCGGTACCAGGATGCTGGGGTCGTGGGAGGGTGATAGAGAGAAATAGCGGTTTTTCCAGAATAAGTGTGCGCCAGTAAAGGGTTAATAAGTCTGAGTGTGCACAGAATGAGTCCAAAGCAGCGGTGACGGTGGAGTGGGAAACGAGCAAGCGTGGCCGAAAACTGCAACTCCGCTGGTGATCAAAGTCAAGTCCGGACTAGACGGTCTAACTGCCAGTGCTGACGCCAGCGAATGGAGTTCAATTTTTGGTGGCTCTGGCAACCCGGGGAGATTGGCGTTGACCTGGTATCTTGAGTCTATAGCAGTAGGAAGAGTCGCAACAGAGGAGGAGAGATAGTGAAATCTGAGGGGAGTTGGAGTAGTAATAATAGCGACGGAGGTAGAATCACTCAGGTGGATGAGATTGGGGCGACGCAAGAGAGAGTCCGAGTAAGTCAGCGGTAATGCTAGGGTAATTGGACAAGGCAGATTTGTGACTCCAAGGGATTGGACTTGGAAAGATCCTGGAGCTTTGTCGAGAGAAGAAGAAAAGGATGGATGCAAGAGATAAAAAATAGGGAAAAGAGGGATGCAGGTGTGCGCATGTGTAAGAAGGTGTCTCTGTCTGGTGATGGCTGATGGCAGCGGTGGTGGTCGATCCGCCCCGAACGGCTGGGCTCTCTTGGTACTGTTAGGGCTGCCTACCCAGGGTTAGAAACAAGCTTGTTTAACCCTTGGTGGGCTCCCGGGCAACTTACTGGGTACCTGTTGTTTTCCTTTTGGGGGTGCAAGCCTCCGGAATCTTCCCCTTGTTCAATCTTTAGGGTCTCATGCCCGGGCCAGTCACAGCCCGTTGTTTCTCCTGGTACCTGGTGTTTCTCGTATCCTCCTCTCCTCTTTCTGCGCCCTGCAGCTTGCCCAGTCAAGCCACTGCTTCAGATTTCACCCCAGAACCCGGTTCCTGGTCCACCACGTGGCGGTTGACGGACCTTGACCTGCATGATGGCCAGTAACCATTGACCACCACAGCCGTTACCACAGAACTCAGAATTGGGAACCCGAGGGGAAGAAAAAGGTAAACGGTTCATGGGTGCGTCCAGCCCATCAATCATACCACCACCGACCCGTTCATCCCGTTATTGCAAGTACACTTCTCACCGTTTTTGACAGGTGTCTACCGATCGCGTGCTGCCCTCAGAGCCAACGCCCGTCCGGCCTTAGCCCGTGGGCGCAGATTGCAAAGACTGTCCGTCCTGGTCATGCGCCCCCTGACGAATCTGGCTAACCAATGGTGCCAATCCAAGATAGGTGCTTGGTGTCCTGTTTTGCCCTTTTGCTTGTCTGGCACCAGCTATGATCAACAAGGATGATCCTTTGGGGAGAAGGCTAGAAGAAAACCAGAAGGCCTGGTCAGCTTTGGGCAGTTTCCAGGGAGGGTCCTCAGCTCCATCATATCCCTAATGATCCTCCGTCTTTGGAATCGGATCTCGACTATGCATACCAGTGTTTCACAACGTCTTGCCCGGCGTCACCTCGACCAGGTCAAGGTCCAGATGCAGGTCTCCCACTGTCCGGTTGTCCGTCAACCTGCATGTGGCCTGTCATGAGCATGCAAGGGCGACAAGGGTTGCTTTCCGAGGATGGCAGATGGCAGATGGTATATGGCCAGTCACGCCAGCGTTAAAGTCCGAATAATTCTTTACATCATGCCTCGTCAAACACGCAGCCAATCTCAGCTCGCCTTGAAAGACAAGGCCTTAGGTAAGTGGGACGCCCGCCTGTCAATCCTGAGTCTGGCCCTCGTGGCTTTGTCTTCGGGCACAGAGTACGAGGTACGGGTAACGCAAGCCACAAGTTAATCACCCGGCTAATGCCACTTGAGCATTTTCCTTGTGCAAGAAGAGGAGACACGGGATCCCTGGCAGCCCTGGCTACCCGGGGTTTCCAGCACGAGAGAAGCGGGCTGAGGTCAACTCTGTTACAGGCCAAAGCGCTCAAAGTTGTAAAAGAGGGAACAAAGGCTGTTCACACACGGGCTCATTGCATACTCAGGTTGTAATAAGCCAGGTCCCATTAATCGGCACGCACCATCTGATGTTCGCTCGTTGGTACTAAAGAAAGGCACCAGTAACTGGCGACCCTCATTGTCGCCGACTTCGCCATCGTTATCGTCATCCATCAATCATGCCAACCAAAGTAATGCCAGCCTTGGATCCACCATTCGTTAACACTCCCAGTCACACCAAAATGCTTCGCCAACCAAAATGCTAATCCACCAACAACGCCGAAACTGCCCACAATTTGCAGTGCAATCCATCCTCTCACACGGATGCTGTCCTGCCATCTCAACAGTCCTAGCGGGTCCTGCATTTGATAGCTGGGCAAGACGTCGACGCCATATAAAATGCCAGCTTTGCCGCCCTTTCTTATAAGCGCCTGTGTACTGTCTCCCTGCTGTAGAGGCACGATCGTGCCATCGCGGACTTCCTCCCCCATTCGCTCCACGAGCCAGACAGCCCGTTCTCCTCTCGCAAGCCGCTCATACCGCTCTCTTTCTCTTTGTAAACTCAATTGCAACTCGCTCGCCCACTTGCTCAGCCGGATTTGCGCCAGCCTTTCTTCTCGTTGCGTGTGATCTGCAACTTTGGCCAGTGCCCAAGAGTTCGATGTGTTGAGTGAGACTTCTGACCCTACAGGAATCAAAACGCCGGAGTTTGAAGGACTTAGCGGTGTTTGTAGTGGAGAGGTGAGCGTTGAATTCCTCATTGACGCGTCATACGATTGTGACGGGAGAGAGGGTGATGGGACAGAGGTTAGTCGAGGATGGGCCAAGTGCCAGGCCACGAGTTTCCGGGCGGCAGTATGGCGTAGGAAAGCGACGGTTTCAGGCTCGAAGATTGATTCAACGAGCAAGGTGAGCTCGGAGGGCAGTAGAGGCTGAATGTACTCTGGGGACATGAGGAGGGAGGCGTCCATCGTGTCGAGGTCAGGACCATTTGTGGAAGTTACAGTGTAAGGTGCGGTTGCTGGCGCTGCAGGTGTGGGTTGAGAGACTTCTGAGGTGGACGCAACTGATTCCGCTGAGGGTAGGGTTGTTGGGAGTTGAGGTAAGGTGGAAATGCTAGGGTCTAGAGTCTGTTTGATATATTGCTGATCTTCGAGAGTGAGTAGATCCGACTTTGCTATGAGAGGAATGATGTTGCATAGTTCGGACAACCGGCGAATAGATCCGCAGTCGTCTTGTATGGTATCTGCAGACCACGATGATCAGTCCCCCATCAGCTCTCGAGATAAAACAACTGGAATTGGACCAAGGCACTGGCTCACCTTTTGAAATCAAATACAACACAACATCGACCTGGCTTGCACCTCGCCCACTTAACAAGCCCGAGAACTCGCTCGTGAGCTGGTCAACACTTACCATCGCGTTCACGAGTTGTTGCTCTGCATAGTGGATAAGACTCTCCAGCTTGACAGAATCAGCGGTATCCACAAAGCAGACGTTCCGTTCAAGCACGGAGTCTCCCATCGATTTCCGTCGACGCAGGATGCGCGACTCCTCGATTGTAGACCACCACATTGGATACGGCTTTGTTGACGCATAAACTTCGTTGATTGGCTCCGAAATGCCAGCAGAAGTCCGATGGGAGGTGTGAGACGAGTTCGTGGTTATAAGTGGATCGACATGGACAATGTCTTCACAGAGTTGGACGATGGACTTTATAAGAGAGGTCTTTCCCACGCCTGCACTCCGCGGAACAGTCAGTAAGGCTTCGTTCGCTCCGCTTTTGCATGTCTCTTTGTGCATGGGAGAAGGAGGACAACTACACGTACCTTTGCGTCCAGCAACCATAATCTTGAACCTGCCCAGCTTCTTTCCCCTTTCTGTAAAAGGCCGTCTAGACGGCATCTTGATACTCGGCATGATAAGTTCCGGCTGGCTGTCTTGTACTCCTCGTATTGAAGACATCATCTCAAGTCCGCCGGCTTGCCCACCTGCACCCTCATTGTCATCTTCGTCGCCACTGGATAGTATTGCCTGACTGCCCGTCTCATCTGCATTAGTCAATAACTCATCGTCGGAATTGGCGGACGATTTCGTCTGTACCGATCTCCGCGAGGCGAGAGATTTCGGACTGCCGGGTAGTGAAATGTCTCGTGAGGGTAATGGTGAAGGAGTAACGACTCTCTCGGGAAGGGGTTGAGGTGAACTACTTGTAATGTTGGTCTCGGGGTTCACGCTGGAAGAGCCCCGTCGGAAGCGTTCGCAGTTCGTCCCCGGCTTGATGGTTGAGCGTCGTCGACTCCCACTCCTTGTTAGACTTGTAGCCTCAGCTTGTCGGGGTGTGGTATGCTTAATTGAGGACCGGTCACGGTCGGCCTCGTCAATGGTATCCTGCAGGCTACTCAAGGGTGATGTAGATAAAGGCGGTCCGGCACTTCGATCGGACTGGTGCGTCTTGACGGAGGCATCGGGATCTCGTGAGAGGAAGAAAGTAGTAGCAGAATTGCTGTGGCGTTCGCGATCACCAACTATTGAGGGCGGGTGCGAATCGGCATTGGACGACTTGCGAGGGCGTGGTGACTCTGCTGTACTGTTATCAAGACTTATCCCTGGCCTCATGGTGCAGTCATCAAGGGGAGTCGAGAGAGCGAGCGGCGATGCAGTCGACGAGGAGGAGGATGGCAAGGAAGTTGAGGGTTTCCAGGTCAAAGGAACAGGACCAACAGCTGACAGCGAAGCAAGCACGCAAGGTACAAGTCAGTCAAACAGGTCACCGATGTCGCGGCCTGAAGTTACTCCTCAGCCTATCCCAGATTTACCCCACGGCAACCGCAGGCAACACTGGCGGAACTCGTACTGAACACGCCGCACGGGGCGGAATTTCTTATCGCTCCTTTCACCCACTTCGCGTGTCCAAGACATCTATAACAGCATTGACCCAATTCCCGACTTATCACAACATTTTGGGAGTTTTTGGAACCAACCCGCAATCACTATTAGGTAGGATATGTCTCATTCACAATGAGGGACTACTGTACAATTCCTTGCCCACACCGGCGCCCATCCTATCTTTAGGGAACCCAAGGCCTTGGATAACATGTTTCCCCTTCGTACACAGACAAATACATGACCTCGCTCGAAAAAGACACCCTTGCCTTGGACCATGACCCTAGTGAAGCCGATCCGAAGTCATTGCTGCCTTGCTCGCTGGAGGTGACTGGAGTCCCACTCTCTGTTTCGTCCTGGACACTTCTGAAGCTGGCTATGCGAATAACACTGCTGAATCGTGAAAATATGTGTAATGTAATGGAAAGTACTTTTCCAAGTACGCCAGTGCCAGGAAAATCGTTGAAAACAAACCCCATCACTTTTTTGTCGCTCCGCTTGAACCATGGGAATGCAAGAAGCAAGTGACGAAAGATTCTTTCAGTGACTGATGCAATGTTTCAGCATCCCGCACTCGAGGGGGCTTCAAGCAGTCTGTCCTTGGCCACGCCCCTTCGGAGTGACGGTGCCAGTGCCAGGCTTTCCACCCCGTTGGTAACCACTACCACGGCCTGCGTCCTTTGGAAAGTTGGTCTGACTTCCGGAACGGCCACCCTGCATGCCACCCCGGCCACGGTTGGTGGTTCCACCGGTACGGTTAAAATTAGTATTGCTGCCGCCATATGCGTTTGGGCGGGGTCGACGCTCTTCAACGTGAATCTGCTCAGTACCGACAGTGTGAGGATTGGCAGCAACAGCAGCAGCGTATCCGGCAGCATCAACAAACTCGACAAAAGCACAGTTCTAGATTCATCAGTAAACCTGAAAAGCAACCAATGAGACTGGAGACATACCCTAGGTCGTGACACATCGAAATATTTGAGCTCACCGTACCTCTCGAGAACCTCTCGAAGGATTCTGGCGTCGACTTTGTCGTTAACGTTCTTAATGTACGCCATTGTAATTCCCTCTGAGACAGCTCGGTTCGGTGGTCGGTTGCTCTTCTTGCTGTGATCTGCAGTCTGCCAGCCATTGCTCTGTGAGGTCGGGGTGCTGGAAGTGGTGTTTGTGGCGGTTGGAACAGATTCAACGGGAGCTTTGGGGGCCTGTGTAGGTTGCGACGGCCGGGCAGCCTTTGGCTGCGGCGGCGGAGTTAAAGGAAGGGCTGGGACAGCTGGCTTTTGGACGCCACCTCCCAACATGCTGGCCCAAGTCTTCTTTGCAGGAGGCGCTTCAGCAGGAGTTGAAGCTGGTGCAGCTGCCTCTGGGGCGGGCTCAGCAGCAACCACTTCGGGTTCAGCAGGTTGCTCGGTTGCGGCAGGTTCGGCAACTTCATTGGCCACAGCCTCGTCCTTAGGACCTGAGAGCTCAGGAGCTTCCTCAGCTTGTTCTGCAGGAGCGGGAACGGTATCGCCATTGACCTCAGCTGGTTCCTCTGCTGCTTGTGCTTCTTCTGCCTTTTGTTCCTCCAGTTTCTCGTCGACCTTCTCGACTGCGTCTTCAGTAGCAACGACGTCGTCAACGTGAGATGGGGTATCGTTCACACCTGCAGCAGGGGTGGGGGGTTCTTCCGCAGGGACTTCCGGCTGAGGTTGTTCGTCTTCAACAATCTCATCCTCGTCGTCACTGAGGTAGCGAAAGATGTCGTTGAGGACAAAATAACCATTGGGTTGTTCGGCCAGGACAAAAGTCTGCACAAACTTGTGATGCGGCTCTGATTTATTGGACATCTCGCCGATAACCTGGACTACAATATTGTTGAACGAGGCCTGAGAGTCGACATTGAGGACGCGCACTTTGCAGTCTTGGAGGTCAAGGGCTTTGATCTTCTCGCTGATTGCCTGTGTTTCCTCTCAGTCAGCCAGTTCAAACCCCTCAAATTGGATGCATGACAACGTACCTTTGTCCCAACAGCTGGAACAACTTTCTCAGCCTCGACGCCCGTGACCAGTTGTGACTTCTTGGAGTAGAACAGATGAATTTTTTCCGGGCTCTTGGACAGAGTTGTATAATACTGCTCGACAAAATACCAGCCAATCTCTTGAGGGTCTGCCTTCTGCTGGGTGGTGGAGGTAGTAGTACTTTGAGAAGCGGAGGTAGCATGAGTTGGCGCAGAGGGAGTAGAGGCGGCAAGTTCAGCAGGCTGGCCGTACTGGTTTGCCCCGTACAGGCCATTAACAGGAGTGGTCTCGGTCGCCATCGTGAGATATCAGCGTAAGAGGAGCCTAACGCGGTGCAGCGTCGTTGTTCTGGACTGAAGGCGAGTCGCGTCGCTAGTGGAAGGAACTGGATAGGAAACTAATGAGTTTGGTTGCGGGTGTGAAATAAGAAGATTGAACCAGCGGCGCGGTCAATCAAACGTGATAGATGTTGCAGACTCTTAGTCGATGATCTAGCACGCAGGCAAACAGACAAATGAGTCCTCCTATGGGAGAAAGCAACAAGGGATTTGAAGCACAGGAGACGCGCAACAAAAAGAGGATGGCGAAAAGGGAAATTATGAAAGGCTGGGGTATGTGATGGGCGATTGTGCGATGTGTGGTGGATGAATCCTTAGGTCAATTGATATTGCTGGTGCAGATGTGGCCGTTCTAAGTATGAAAAATATAAAAGCGGAGGCAAGTTGGAGGCACTTTCGCAGCCTTGGCGGGTCGAGATCGCTCTCCACTGTGCCGCTTTAATTGCAAAGCGCAGGTGGTCTCTTGCATCTCACTCTGCTACTGTCATGATTGGCCATCTAGCGAGCTACCGAGGGAACTGCAGAGCCTTTGTCTCCTTGCTGTGACGTGCATCATGCAATCCTAAGTGCGGCTTGACCTGCATTTCAGTATCCTCCCTCACCTGTGCGTGGGCGAGAGCCAAGCAACGTTTCCTGATGAGACGTCCGACTACCTCCTCGACAACATTCTTCCTCAGGATGACCTGTCCAAGACGGACTGAAGAGGCGGATCAGTGGCATTCCCACTCCAGTCCCGGAGCACAGCCTCTACAAGAAAAGGAATGTACCTAGATATTGTCGTGACAGGAGAGTTGCGAGATTGAGTTTCACTACTATCCCTTAGATACCTGGTATTTTAACACCAAGGACGGGTGAGAAATTGATAGAGATACCTGCCAGATGCCCGCCAATATAGTGTCAATTTGCTGTTAAATGTTGGAGAAGTCTACAGGAATATAGTTGGCACGGATTTGCTGCTAGGAGAAGTGTAGTTGGCACACGTTTACGAGGCCTAGAGACCGAACACAAGTTTGTAGCATCTCACCGACCTCCATGGATCTGGCAGTCAATTGCGTAACTCATCCCCCAAACATTGCGCTCAAGCTAATCGGAGATTGTAACATCTCTAGAAAAACCACATTAGCATCAGCACATCCGAGGGCTGCGGGTGGTCTGTTCTGCCGTCCAGATCTTCTCTCTGATCTCTCCTCGCAAAGAAGATCCCCTAATCCTTAATTCGTACCGAAGGAGTAGAATGCCCGGAATCTTGGTCAATGTGTGCAAGAAACCACTGCCCAGTCCACAAGCAGAGTTCTTCAAATGTTAGACGATGCCGAGAATGATTTTCTGGTGGCGCGGCCTGTGGATTCAAGGAGATGAATGTTCCATTGCCGATGTCCGCCTAAGCTGGATGGTTACAGACTCTGGACGAACAGGCTGAGCCGGGTAAGTCAGCCAAGGACTTTCCAAAGGTCCGCGCTTGGGTCAGCAGACTTCTGCAGCACACCGAGGGGAACGATGCCGAGAAAATCAGCTCAGAGGGCCTAAGGGAGAATTTCCTGGGCTCGAGCTATGCAGCGACAGATATCGGCATTGATCCAGCAGCCCAGGCCCCTCCAAAAGTAGCGGCACATGTCTCAGTTGGTACCTTTGACGAGTAAGTTCCACACTCGACTGCGCATACTCCGTGGATTGAAAGCCCGCAGTGCTAAACCTAGCGGGAGACCGCAGGAGGGTAGACTCCTAGGCTTCAGAAGGTGATAGGTGACCATTGAGGTGCGGAATGGTGTTCACAGGCATTTCCCTGGGCTTGGCTCTTTCTTGAAGAGGGTACGACTGGAACTTCAAGCCTCGTTGCTCCCTTGAAAGGCACACAGCAGAGTGTACGGCAAGCTGAGCTTCTGCCATATGCGAACCTCAATCGTGTTTCTTCCCCATCGTTCCTTGAAGCGAGCTCAGCGTTATGCATCCTCCCCGCTGGCACTTTGTCAATCTTTCTTGCCAAAGACCAGCTATACATATTGTGCTGAAAAGCTCAGTAGAATCCGGGACTTCGTGGAACAGCATTATTAGACGATGGAGATAACGGATCAGCCGCTAGAGCCCTTTCTTGAACGTCGTTGACGGGATTGGCGTCTTGTTCTTCCTTAGCCAGGCGTTCTTTCACTTCGCGACTTTTCTCCTTGTTGCTTTGCCATACTCTGTCCTCTCTTTGCAATTCTTCCAACACTTCTTCCCATTCGCGCTCTTGTTTATCATCTCCTGTGCCCAGGATCTTCTCCACGTCCACTTCTTCACCATTCTGTAGCCGTTTGACGACCTCTCTAAGCTTTTCTATCTTGACATCCGCTCTGCGAGAAAAGGCCATGAATTCGTTCTTGACACCAATGATTCGAATGGCTTGAGAGCCAATCAGGATATAGATCCATATGAAATATGTCGCCGGGTTCGAGGGTTTCTTGTGCGCGGACTGCTCATGGGATAGCGATCTGTCTCGAAAAGCTCTAGGAATGATCGAGTCCCATATGGAAGACTGAGCTATGCGAGGAAGACGGCGCTCTTGGGACGCGGTATGGCGGGATCGGCACAGCCAGCGCAACCGGGACCAACTTGGGTTCGGTAGGTTTGTTCTGAGCAGACGAGGCTGAGCTACGCTGCAGGACAGGAGGGACTTTGTGCAGCTCATTTATATTCAAGGAATGAGCGGTGTGCACGATCTGCAATATATTGTCCGCAATCCGAATTCGATTCTTTGTACCAAGTAATTAGAGACACTCACACTCAAGTTGGGCTGCGCCAAGTTTGTTAGCGCCGAGGCCTCGCCAGTCTTAACGCCGGGTCTAAGCGGCGGCGACAGTCCCTTGTTTATTTTATGGCCGAAAGAGGCCACTACGCGCTTCCAACCACCAACACCAGACATTAATCATAATCCAAATCCAAGGAATAATCAGACCGATAAAACGGTGCGTTATGCACTTAGTCACCATACCTATACAATGACACCTCTTCAGGATCCTGTCGCTTCTGCACCATCTAACTGGGTTCGCACGCACCTCAACCTATCAGCGCCAACACCACGAACCTTGAGGTTTTTGCGAGCTGTTCTCGGTCTTGCTTCCTTCGACGAATGCGAATCTAAAGCCACTTGTGCTTCGACCAAAAAGGCTAGACAAGTAAAAGGCTCCAGCATAAGTCGGCCACCCATCAGGCACGCAACTAGAAACAGACAAAAGCCAGGCGCAGTAATCCAGATTCATGAGACCAATGACGAGGAGATACCGCGTCTCTCGGAGACTGAGCGACGAAAGATTGCTACTGACACATTCAATTCCACATTGAAGTGTCTTGGAGAGACCGCCAAAGCTCTTAGAGAAGCTCCAGCAAGCAAAACTGAATCGTCTGTCAACCCCAATGATGGACCACTTCAAGAACGGTCACCGAATAAGGAACGCAAAAAACCCGCCCTCGACTCCAAGAAGAGCACCATCTGCAACGCCCCAATGGACTCGGGCTTACTGGCGGATCTTTCCTACTCCGCATTGCTGTTTTTGAGACGATCTGATCACAAAGATGTAGTGTCCACCGCAGGCAACAACGCGGGGCTGGAGAACGCCGCACTGATCCTGCTAGACAGAAGCATCTCCTTGAATCTCATCGAGCAAGCACAACGCCAGCTCTGCGATATCCACGAAAGATACTGGGGAGATGAGGTCAGAAAGAAATCTTCATCTCAATCAAATATCGCGAGGCTTCTGCTAGGGCGACCAGATGCTGCAGATGAAGATCGAAGGTTCCGATTCACAGCATCGTTGCAGAGTCAAGCTCTGCGCCTTGCTCTACTGGTTGGACCCAAATGCATCGACTCCGAGCTTCTTAAGTCACTTCAGCCGGACGCTATTGGGAGTCCAGCCTGGGTTACGTCAAGAGCACTGGAAAAACAACTCCTGACATCAGAACAGTCTGGCTTACAGCTTCGCACCATATCTCTTGCATTGTCTAAGCTGTACGCTCTTGCCACGAGCTCAAAAGGAGAGAATTCGTCACCCCTGGATCTTTTCAAACTGTTTTGCTTGTCGTTACGTATCAAGTTCGAATCGTGGGTTCACTCTGGTCACTTACCAGACCCGCCGACAGAAGTATGGCGCCCGCTTCACAGAGCGATCAAGCAGCTATTTGCGACCACCAAGGACCCAAAAGCGTCGGCTGCTTACACGTTTGAGGCACTTGGTTCGATTCAGAAGCTCACAAGGCGAATCAAATGCGAGTTTCACACACCCCCAGACTTGATTGGCACTCTGTTACAAATCATTCGAGATCCAGACGAATATCCTCAGCTCATTGCTTTGGTGGAAGAGCGCCTTCGGCAAACAAGCGGCGCTTCGCATCTGATATTGCGGTGTCAAATCACATTATCACGCCTACGAGCTTCAAGTGGGTCAACAAAGACACTGGAGTCATTAAAGAGCATGGGGAGTGCTCTTGCGGAGCCAGGAGAGCTACCTCCAGCTGACCTTGACAAGTTCCTATTGCTGCTGGCCCAGCTCCGCAAAGCCGCCGCCGAACTCATTTGGTTTGACAAGACACGACCTCATATGGAAGCAAATGGGCCCTCGATAGACTTTCAGACAACTCTGATCCGCTTTACCTATTGTTCCTTCAACTTCTTACGCCGCCACATCCGTTCAATTCTGATATTGTCTTCAGAAAATTCGAGCGTCGAGAAGCGCAAAGCCTTTCTGACTACCTTACTGAAGACTATCGATGCCGTCTTGTCCGCCGAACAATTTGCTATTACGCAAGACGCAGATATGGTAGCGGCGGCTTCAGAGGCTCTCGAAGACTGCTCAGCGGCAGTCCAGACTCTTCAAGTCGAGTGCGCTGCCTTGATGACGCAGTGTCGACTAGAGACGTCGCTAACCCAGCTTAGAGTACGGATATCTCAGTTATTTTGGGCACGGTACTTGGAAGCCGTCAAAGAGAGCAAAACCCCGTCGGAACAGTCGAGGATTCTGGGCATGTCACTCCTCGGTCTGTTGGACTTGCCGCTGGCCGATCAAAAGGTAGCACATGTCGCACTCAAATATGAAAGGCTAGCAGCTTGCTACTTGGAAGAGCGTGACTTTCGACCGGCCGAAACCGCCCTTCGTACTGCCATCGAAATCAGCATTAAGGACGGCGTTCTCGGTGATGTTGCCCATCTGCTTCTGTCCGCGTCATTTCACCGGGCGTGGTCACATTCAGATTTGGGATGCAAAGCCTTGGGAAGAGTTCTAACCACCTATTCTAAAGCAATCCTTGACCATACGTCGATAAGCGAGAGCGGGAGCGAGAGTCAGAGCTTTTATGACGACCCGGCATTGCCTTCATTACACCGTGCGGTGCTGCTTGAGAAACAATTACTTGCAATGGTCGACCTAGGCATGAATGATCACGGAGTCGATCTATGTGCGACAATGGCGAACACCCTGCTGTCACTGTTGCCACAACCGGTATATCAGGTGTATAGCATGAGGGTCATCAATCAGCTATTGCAGCTCGCTTTGAAGAAGAAAGTGCCAGCTTCGACCTCTGTCATCAACTCCTCTGTCATTCGCAGAATACTCGATGCTGACCATGCGGCTGAAAATGTCTTCCTGTCGAGATATGAGCCAGAACTTCGTTCGCTCCTCTCCCTCCAATACGGGTTTTTGACCGGAGTGCTTTCCAACCAAACGGTGTTGCAAGGGGTAAAACAACTGTGCGAGATCGTTCAGACCTGCAAGACTCACCAAGAGACACATGTGAAATGTCTTGATGTAGGAGCATATATCGCACCGCTTCTGCTCTCTGTGGAATACGCGGCAATTCTCGGAAATTATGATGTTAGCCTGATGGCTCTGGAAGCTTTACAACATTTGGTGGAACTTGGAGTTCCCATTCAAGAGATATCATACAAGAGGATCCTCCTCCGCAAAGGCCAATTCCACGACTTGCTCAAGGACCCTCAGTCCGCCCAGAAGGCTTTCGCCACGATCGAGGATGCCACTCAGGAAGAGAGCGACCCATTGTTCGAAACCGAACTGGCACTCACGTACTCGGAGCATCATCTGTATGCGGAAGATCTTGATGCAAGCAACAAGTGGCTGGTAATTGCTCGAAATGCATGGCAGGCTCGGGAAAGCTCAGGAAACTCGAAATCGACCAAGGCCAGGTTGCGAGAACAGATTATGTGGTGCAGAGCTGCTCATTTGGCATCGCGGCTGGCTTTTGAGTCAAGTCAGCTTGTGGACGCCATCGTTCTCGCACGACAATCGGCCAAAATCTCAGCCACTATCTGGTCTTCAATCGAAAGGGTCTGTGCTTCCACGGCTCCCGCGCATTCGAATGGATTGTTGGATCATGAATTACACTGCGTCTCCTTCGAACTCTCTAGGCTTGACTTATCCTCCCCACCTTCGGTACGATTGACGTCGAGCGCAGTCGTTCTTGGGTCTGAGGTCTCATTGTGCTGCTCAGTGTTCAGCTACATGGCATTTTTAAATGCACATTGCGGGGTTTATCAAGATGCCGTTATGTTTTATGAGCAGACGCTGAAGATTGCCCGAAGATGGGGGCATTCTATTCATACCATTATTGCACTGAGTGAGCTGGGTCTTCTGCATGCACGAGCTGGCCAGATCGAAAAAGCACAAAATAGCCTTCAGGAGCTGCCACAGATCGCCAGGGATTATCATGCGAGCTGGATACGGGGTCATGTGGCACTTAACCAAGTTGAAACGTGTCTAATCCTTGGGGACGGTTCAGCGGCCTCTCGGCGCTTGATCGAGGCTAAGCAGCTCCCAGTTGACAAGGAACCCGCGTCCGTGGAGCTGACTGTGAGCGGTCCTCTAAAGGACAGATCCGTCTGCGCTTCAGCAAAGCCCACCGGGAGAAAGCGCGGCGTCAAAGGACAGAAAGGAAGTGCTCAAATCAAACGTCCACCCAAAGAGTGCCCGTCAGCTTCCAAATCCACTTTGGATCTGAGCGGCTTCAATGCGAGAATCTCATTTCTGGAATCTAGACTTCAGATATTCCTTGGAGGCGCAGACCCGGCGGATCGCTTCGACACCAGCTTGCTGTGTGACAAAGACGACGATAGCCGTAAAACCACATCAATTGCTCTCAGTTTGGTCCATTCTGCGCTCAGAAGTTTCTCAGAAGATTCCATACATAATGTGCTGGCCGAAACAGCCGTTGCCATTCCAGTAAGGTATCGATCAGCGAGAAAAAGTGGCAGGGTTTCGTTGATACAAGGTGGAGCCTCTCGGACTTTTGGTGAAAAGGACCAGGACCAAAAGAAGAGTTCAAGGCAAAAACAGGCGGCAAAGACATTCAAGGACGGAACGGCTCTGTTGCTTCAGGCCTACGACATCCTCTGGGAAGTAAGCAACAAGAAGCAAAATCGAGTACCTTGTGACATTGTTCACACTTGCCACAAGCTGCTTATCCAGATCAGTCTGCTGTCGTCGGCTCTGAACCAACCGTTGGTCAGCTCTTCTTCGAACGTCGTGTTGAATATGACAACTCCACTTGATGTCGCTCTGACGCGTGAACGCTTTGTAACTTTAGGCGAGCTCAGTGCAGCCAAGAAGATGAGCACGGAAAGTTGGCCCAGTACACACAACAGTGACAACAGCCATATATGTCTGATGTCAGATAAACTGCTGAATTATGACACAAGCCTCCTGCCTGCATCATGGTCGGTCATATCCCTTGGGCTCAACGAGGACGGAAATGAGCTTTTTGTCGCGCAGTTGGCGTACCAGAGGTCGCCGTTTGTTGTCAGAATTCCCCTAGCACGGCCAGATCCATCAGAAGGAGACAACGAGGAACTTGACCTGAAAAGTGCCAAAGCAGAGATTCAAGAGATCATCATGAAGGCAAATGCTAGTGCCCACGATGCGAGGGGCTCTTCGGTCGATAAGTCTGTCAGAAAGGAGTGGTATGTTGAGCGTCAAGCCTTGGATCGTCAGCTTGCTACTCTTCTTGAGAATATCGAGAACATCTGGTTCGGCGGATTTCGAGGTCTACTCTCCGCAGGCCATATCGAAGAAGGTGAACTGAGACAATTCGGACGATGCCTCACTTCAACATTGCATCGACACCTTCCCTCGAGGCAGAAACCGTCAAAGTCGTGCGAACACGTGGTTGAACTCCATGACCATGTGCTGGAGCTCTTTGTGGCGCTCGGACATCCTCGAGCAGTGGAGTTGGAGGATGCAGTCACCGATCTACTATACTTTGTTATTGATATCTTGCAATTCAACGGTGAGCGCAACGCATATGACGAGATCGATTTTGACGCCATGTTGGTGGAAGTACTGGACGCACTACATTCTTACCACGATCGTCAATCATCAGCCTCGCGAGACAAGCGGGGCCATGTGATTCTTGTCCTGGACAAAGAGTTGCAGGCGTTCCCCTGGGAGTCGTTATCGTGCTTGAAGAATCAAGGTGTTTCCAGGATGCCCTCCATAGCGTCCGTCTGGGAAAAGTTGAAAGCTATTGAAGATCAACGGCACGACCTCAAAGGTTATATGATTCCGAGAACGGATGGTGCATATATCCTCAATCCGTCTTCTGACCTAGTGGCTACTCAAGAAACCTTTGGCCAGATTTTCGAGAATCAGCTGTCTAACTACCGAGCCATTGTGAATCGGCATCCTGAGGGAAATGAGTTCGAGACGGCTCTGAGAGATAGCTCGCTCATGCTCTACTTTGGTCACGGGGGCGGTGGGCAATACATCAGACCTCGCACTATCCGTAAGATGGACAAGTGTGCGGTGACGTTGCTGATGGGTTGCAGCAGTGCCAAAATGACTGAATGTGGAGTATACGAGCCTCATGGGATGCCTTTGAGTTATCTGAGCGCAGGCAGCCCGGCAGTGGTGGGAACGCTGTGGGATGTTACCGATCGGGACATTGACCGTTTCGCCATGGAGCTGATGGCGGATTGGGGATTGATCGACGCCGATGCCAACTCAGGCGTGCCGACCCTCAACAAGAGCAGGAATCCGAAAGCTGGCAAAGAAAATGCAGCAAGGCACCAGTGTGGTAGGCAGAAGTCTGGCCAGAAATCTCTTGATGAGGCTGTGGCACACGCCCGCGATGCGTGTTTACTGAAGTATCTCAATGGGGCTGCGCCTGTCATGTATGGGATACCCGTCTTTTTGGGTTAGGGGAGGAAACAGGAGGAGATCGGAGTGGCTGTACGAGTATTCTGGCGCTTGTGCTAGCATATATCGACTGTTTGTGAATAAGGCTGAGACACGAGATGGGTGTGGGAGACAGCGCATGAGGTACAAGGCTGATGGCAGCTGTGCCCACTAAACTATAATTGGACTAGCCGAAACCTCTTAGGCGCTCCTGGCTCCTTAGGCCAATGGCTGTCCAATAGGCGGCCACTATACATTTATCGATTACGCACTATTACTCGTAAGAATTTTAGGGCCGACGGAGCTCAGATGGAGCCGACGCCCGCTGGTGCAGCCCCGAAGTTGGTTGGACTTGGGCCTCCGTCATCTGCGTAACAAAAGGCAACAGCCATTTCACAGCCTCCCAACTCCCAGCACCTCAGCCCAAATTGATTGTTCTTCATCTTCTTCCCTTCTTTCGTTCAGACTTCTTCCCACCCCTTCATTGTTTGCAAACACTTGCCTCATTCTTTCCAGGTCGACGTCTCTTCCTGGCCGATGCAGCTTGACTCCCACCGTCGTCAATTGAGCATCACCATGCCCTGCCCATGGTCTTCTCGTCGCTGCTCCTCCCGGGCAGCTGACGACACCGTTGTCTCCAATGCCCTCCCCTCTCCCAGCACTACAGCCGATGTCGAGGAATGGAAGAAGATCCGCAGATTCAATCTTCGCATGATGAGGAAGCAGATCCGCTGCATCGTCCTGCTCATGGCTCTTATGGAAGCCCTCCGGGTTGGGCCATTACAGATCGTGTATGCTGGCAAACATGATTATCCAGCCCCCGCAGAGGAGGACTATGGTGTATGTTTTGCCTTTGTAACTTCTGGGATATGGTAATAGATGCTGACACAATGTCTCGATCAGATTGCCTACACGGTTGGATACTTCGTCAGCTGGTTGTATGTCTGTATCTTCATGGTCATCTGGATGCCGCTTTTCGATGTAAGTCCCTACATCATTCTTCTCTAGACTCTTCGTTATTGACTCTTGTACTCACAGTGGTGGGTTCCAAAAACCCTTCCTGGTTCTGACGACCCTTCCAAACCGTCGATTGCGATGAGAATCATCTGCCTGCTTAAGAAGCTCAACATGATCCTTCTTCCTATCTCCATCGGCGTCTCTCTCGTCACATATGTCTACTACTTGACGCATACCTTCATCTATGTCGACTCCCGCACCCGCGGTTCCACCCGATTCCCCAAAAATACACGCAAAAACTGGTTCGTTCGTGCCTTTATGCTTCTTGGGATTGCCATTAGTACGAGCTTGGGTCATGGCGCGTTGCAGACACTTGACAAATTGGACCTCGCACGAGTGAAGAATGTTGAGTACCTTTTGATCGTGCTGCCCGTGCAGATCAACTTTGGTATCCTCTTGGGAACGGTTATGCAATTCCGTATGGAAAAGAGACTTGCCCGCAGACAGGCGTCGAAGTTGCAGGCTGCGAAAGTCGAGGACGGCATTGTCGAGGAGAAGGCAGCCCTTCTTGAGGTCTAAATGGCCCTCGAAGCGGTTGGAATAGCGCTGATGCCTATGGTTCGGTCAGACTGCTGGTATCTCTCTCCTGCCTACCACAAAATAGCGATAGGCAATTGTTACACAATCACTCGGGCGTGGTTGCTAGGCAGTGTGATGGGCGGTGGCTATGAGTGAAAGGCAGACGGCCGAGATTTGAGTTGTGGACTTTTCGACCGCATTGGTAGGCCGCTGCAGCATCGGCTGAAATGGAGACATTGGGGAGGGAGAAGGTCGAGACACACAAGCAAGCACCCGGAGGAAATTGGGAGCTTGTGTCCATTGGTATGAGCTGGTCTTGTTGTAGGTTGGACAGGCACGGTTTCCATTCATTATTAAATATGATCGGTCAATTGTTTCTATGCCTGTTGACTTTGAAGATTCCAGACCCAGTAGTTGATACAGCACGACACAGCACCGGTTCCCCGCTCTATTCGCCTCTTCTTGACAGCCATGCTCCATGATCTGGCAGTTAGTCGGCTTTCCAGTGTGTGAACCCTCGACCAAAGTCCAAGGGTTGGTAAAGCACATCTAGAAGAGTCCAGAATTGTTCCGGCGTCCCTATGTCTACCAATGCCCTCACGACTTAGGAGTTCTACGGAGTCTATTGACGGACGGGGGTGGTCAAGCTTCGTAGGGATTTCCAACCAAGATAATAGATACCTAGCTTGCTCACTCACTGACAGAACTTCCTCTCACCGATACACAGGACAAAGGGAAACCTCTGGATCTCGCCCTGGCCCTCGGCCCTGCGGGCGTCGCCAAACTCGCCCTCAAACTTCTCGACGTACTTGTCCATAGTCCAGGCGGTTTCCACGCGGACATTGACGAACCCGACCTCGCTCAACAGGGCCTGCATGGTCTCGCGGTGGATGCCGTGTCGTTCGACGCCGCCCATCCGCGCGCGCGGGTGGAACCGCTTCGACTCGGGTCCCGTGTCCTCGAAATCTGTCAGGGCGACGCTGCCCCCGTCCTTGAGGCAGCCGAGCATGGTCGTCAGCACGGCCTTCAGGTCCGGGATGTGGTGCAGGACCAGGTGCGACGTGATCAGGTCGAACTTGAGTCTCTTGCCGTTTGGGTCGTGTTCGTCCGCGGGTGGGAGGTGTTTGTCCTCCGGGTCCTCCAGCAGGACCGCGACGGGGACGACGTTCCGCAGCGGTGGCGCGGAGGATGTGTCGCCTTGTAGTTTCTTCTTGAGAACGTCAATCATGCCCTCGGCGGCGTCGACCGCGACCAGCCGCTTCGCGTACGGCGCCAGCAGGAACGAGAGCAGGCCCGTGCCGCACCCGATCTCTAGGACATCCAGGCCGTCGGGTCCAGGGGGGTTCTTCAGCGCCGGGAACCGGGGGATGATGGCCTCGGCCGCGTGTTTGCTGGCCGTGTGGACAAACGGGTTGCGGTCCCAAGAGGCGGCTTCGGCGTTGAAGCGTTCGTTGCCTGACCCGGCGTGCAGGGAGGACACGGCGCTGGCCATTGAGCCCACGAGTTTGGTCGATATATCCCTCAAAAACCTGAAGCCTGGCGAGGGAGCGAGCGAGCGAGCGAGCGGGGATGAAATGGAAAATCTTTCACGAGTCGGTCGTGCTGTTGCTCTGTTGTCGATCCCCCTTCGCCTGTTTGACAGCAATGAAATGGGTCAAGCTTTTGACATTTCTGGCAACTCTTTTCTCCCTGTAGGCAGGCAGGTACAGTAGTACTTTGAAATAGCATCAAGCTTATCCCTTACCCCAACAAAGGAAGCGAGCGCATTGAGCCCTGCCTGGGGAAGTCAATGACAACCTGCTGCGTGGTGGTTGGTCAGATCCACGCACTTCTGCGGAGAACAAGGACAGGCGTCGCTTCCGAAGTCGGGGACTCTGAGTGGTGGTGCGTCAGAACCTCGTCTGTCTGTCTGTCTGTCTATCTGTCTGTTCTCCAGGGATCGATCGACCTCGGTTCCCCCGCGCCCGGCAAGTCGTACAACCACAGCGGGTGGTGTGAGGGGCGTCGACGAGGCTGTCATTTTATAACAAGCATACTTTGGAGGATGTTGAGTGTTTCCAGCAAGAGCAGGAGTATCGTGGTCAAGGTGTCAGATCATGATTTTGGACGGGTTTATCGAGAGGTATCCTTGACGACTCATCTCCTTCATTGCCGAGATACTTTTACAGAGTCTTGAAATCAAGTAAGTGACTTACATGGTTAGTTGTGTAGCTCTGTCGTTACCTCGGGTCCCTCTGATTGTTCTTGCGATAGACCCTGGCACCCTGGCACCCTGGCACTTGGTCCTGACGTCCGTCCATACTTGTACAAGGATCTTACTCTATTAGTTACTGAATAGACAGACACTTACATACTTCTCCGCTTTCTCAACGAGTCGGGCAAACGTACCGAGTATATCAACTATATCCAAAGCAAGGAACCAGGACACTTGAAACTTGAAACTTTTGCTCTGTCTTCTCGGTCTTCCATCTAACATTTTTGACCTTTTGAGAAAAATCCTAGGATTGTTCTCAGGGTCCAGCCAGATGTGATCTTGCTCCCGGACCTCCCTTCCTCTCCACCATCGGGTATCTACATACTCTGAGTATACACGTATACATATACATATACCACAACCCTGCATTACTTACTTACCATATACTCTAACCCACCCAACTCCTTCCTGCCCGAACTTATTACCTCCAATTCCTCCAATCCACTCCCTCGCGACAATGGACTCATCCTCACCCACCGGCGCCAAAGTCATCGCCCGCGCCCTCCACGACCTGGGCGTCACGGTGCTGCACACGCTGGTCGGCATCCCCGTGGCCGACATCGCCGAGGAGGCCATCGACCTGGGCATCCGCGTCGTCGGGTACCGCAACGAGCAGGCCTGCAGCTACGCCGCCTCCGCGTACGGATACCTCACGGGCAAGCCGGGCGTGTGTCTGTTGACGGGGGGGCCGGGGGTGTTGCATGGTATGGCTGGGGTGAGTTGTCTCTCTTTGTTCTGTTTTATCTCATTTTATTTGAGCATAGACATAGAGGGAGGGGAAGGAGAGGGGGAGTAGAGCAAGAAGACCAGAGCAGGAATCTATATTTCTCTCCCTCCTTGCCTCTCTCTGACACTGGTCTCCCTCTCTCTCACATCTACCCATCTGATTGATCCTTGGTCGTGCGTCTTTTCTGTGCCTGTCCCTTCTTCTAGTCGAATGACGTTTCTCTCCTCGTGCTAACCACTGCATTCTTTGGACCCCATAACAGATCGGCAACGCCTCCGCCAATGCATTCCCCCTGCTCGTCCTCGGCGGCTCCTCCGAGTCCAGCCTGGCCACCAAGGGCGGTTTCCAAGAAATGGACGCCGTGGCCCTCCTGACGCCGCACACCAAGCGAGCCATCCGCCCCACGGCGCGAGATCCGGCTACCATCGTCGCCGCGATCCGCAACGCCTACCGCACCGCCTGGTACGGTCGGCCGGGCCCGTCGTTTGTCGACCTCCCCACGGAGCTGATCATGGAACCTACGACCACCCCGGCAAAGGCCTCAGACGTACACCCACCAATCACGGTCCTGTCTCCCCCCAAACCGGCCGCGGATCCGGCCCTCGTCGTCGCGGCAGCGAACCTCCTCAAATCGGCGGCCGCGCCGCTCGTGATCGTGGGAAAAGGCGCAGCATACGCCCGGGCCGAGAACTCGATTCGCAGCCTCGTCTCGACCCACCACTTGCCCTTCCTCCCGACGCCCATGGGCAAAGGTATCGTCCCGGACTCGCACCCCCTGAATACGTCGTCCGCCCGCTCGGCCGCGCTCAAGCACGCCGACGTCATCCTCCTCCTGGGCGCCCGGCTGAACTGGATCCTCCATTTCGGAGAGGCCCCCAAGTACCGCCCAGACGTCAAGATCATCCAGGTCGACATCTCGCCCGAGGAGCTGGGCCGGGCCAACAGCCTCGGCGAGCCGTCGCTCAGCATTTTCGGAGACATTGGATTCGTCGTGGAGCAACTCCGGCACGAACTGGGAAGGGAGTGGAAGGCGTTTCCGACTGATACCTTCCGCTCCTCTTCGTCGTCGTCGTCGTCGTCATCGCCGCAGCCATCATACTTCTCTCTCCTCTCGGCCGCGGCCGCGAAGAACGAACAAAAGTGGGATCGTCTGTCGACAACACCTACCAAGCCCGACGCTCTACTGACGTACGAGCGTGCCTACCACATCATCAAGGCTCAGCTCCACGCCCTGTCCCCACCCCAGGACGGCGGCATCGTGTACGTCTCTGAGGGCGCCAATACCATGGACATCTCGCGCAGTGCGTTCCCGCTCGAACATCCCCGCCAGCGCCTCGACGCCGGCACCTACGCGACCATGGGCGTCGGGCTGGGGTACGCGATCGCCGCGTGGGCCGCACACAACATCCCGCGCCGGGGAACCAAGAAGATTGTCGCGCTCGAGGGAGACTCGGCGTTTGGGTTCTCCGGCATGGAGATCGAGACCATGGCCCGGCACAAGATGGACGTCCTGATCATCCTCATGAACAACAGCGGCATATACAAGGGCGACGCGCCCGACGAGGCCAGCTGGAAGGAAATGCAGGTGCAGACCGCGCAGGACGATACGAGGGTCGCCACCGACGCGCCGCCTCGCACGAAGGGTCTGCGGAGCACCTCCCTCCTGTACCAGACGCGGTACGAGTGTCTCGCCGACATGGTCGGTGGACGAGGCTGGCTTGTGCGCACCGAAGACCAGTTGGCCGAGGCGACCAGGCTGGCTTTCCTGGAGCGTGAGAAAGTCTGTATCTTGAACGTCATCATTGATCCCGGCCTAAAGAGCGCCGCGAGCTTTGGGTGGCTGGAGACCAAAGAGAAGCATGGCGGTGGAAGTGAAAGCAAATTGTAAACATCCAGCGAGTTTCCTTTCTATCGGGGCCATAGTTTTCCTGTGTTGGGGACCCCCAAAAAATCCTTTCCAATGCTTCTGGGCCAAATTCGAAAAATATGACGATATTTACTTTCTTTGAAAGTATCATCCGGTTATCGCGAGGTGAAAGAGGTATGCCGACACATCTGTGCGATGTAGACGTTCCTCGGCGCAAAGGAGCGCTGGGGCTTGACGAGAAGCTTGAACATATGAGCGTCAGATGTCTTGTATATAAAGGATTTGAGAATGGTTCATGATTTCGTAATTTCTGATCTTTGCTAGAAAAGTGTGTAAAAAAGTATGACTTTTGCTGGGACAAGATACCACATAAGCAGGTAAATGCAGGTGACGCCGCCTGGTCAGCAAGATCTTGTGACGATACCCTCAATCTTCCCTGTAGCAGATAATCCAATTGAGATAACCGATAGGCCAGGTATGACAAGCTTGACCACTCTTGAACTTCCAGTTTGCCAGCTTTTGACTCCCTACATGCCGGTGGAGGAGAGCCTCGACTTCCTCGGGCGTTCTTGTCCTCAGGCACGAAATGTAGCCATCCCAGACCCAAATAAAAGGAACAATGGGAACGAGGTAGGTGAAGAACAAATGCCCCGGCGAGCGAAGGAAATAGATTGGCGCGATCAGCATAGCCAGCGGCCAAAGGAGGCTGACAAGGATGAAGGAGCTGAGATGGCGAGATTGGAGCTCGAAGATGCTGGACAACAACCATTCAGCACGATCCGGAGCAGACATAGAGAGATACTCACCAGAACCCATCCGACGTCTCTACGGTGTTCTTGAGAATTTTGGCGGCAAGGTCGTCGTCAAAGTGGTGGAATGCCAGGCTGAACAGGCGCATGACCTTCTTTCCTTGTGTGTCGGGAACGTCCTTGAGCAGATCTTCCTGGGTTGGAGCATTCGTGGCATCGACACTCTGGGCAATGTAACTGATGTTCTTGCTCTTCTTCGCAGCCGCCTCCCAAGCACTAACGTGGGGGCTGATGTCGGTGAGGACAAATTTGACTTCTTCCTTTTTTGTGGCACGAAGCTCGCTGTTCAAATGGTTCTCGATGTATGGTGTCGGACCACCCGCACCGGACGCGAAGTCGACGTAGACATACTGTGCAAGTCGAGGACCAAGGACGCTGGAGAGCACGCGAGAGACGAGTTCGGCCGGGGAGGTGGACTGGATGATGGGCAGTCTATTGATCCAACCAAGGGTCAAATAGTCTTGCACCTTTTCTCTGAGGGTTTGTGGGAACCTGCAGTGTCTTTTAGCACCTGTCTCCATCAATGAGAACAGCAAAATCGGCATTACCATGGCTGGTCGTTGACTTCGAAGAAATGCCTCCTCCGAAGCCAGACAGTCTGGCTAGCGGAAGTCATTGAGATGCGGCACACCTCTCAAGAGTCTATTCTGACAGTCCATACCACTGCCAGACTGGTGAATATAAGTCCAATGTGCCCGTACATTTCAGGTGCGCTTCGACCTTGTGGGGGGCGGGAGGCGTTGAGTCGTAATAATCATAATAATATTTCGCAGTTGCAGTTAGTGAGTTTCAGCCTCGAACGACGTCATGTACATACGCGTGTGCCTCGTACTCTGTGTATCCACGTATCTTGTGTCGGACGGGAACTGGGCGAAACAGCGATCAGCTTCAATAACCTTTCAACGCCAGTGGCGGTGGATCATGGCTAAACTTGGTACGGAACGCATCTGGCCATCGTAAACTTATCTGCTTTCTATCATGCTGCTGTCAAATACTCCCCGCCTGCCTCCCGAGTGCTTCATTCGGTCCTGGTCATCACCTTCATCCACCATCTCTAGCCTCTCCTAGTTCATCAGAATGTGGCCATCGCCACCGTCGCATCTCGGATTTCTCGTCCACGTGGTCATCGAAATCCCTGCATGCCTCTCGTTCTACCTCTTCCCATCTCGCCAACTGGGAGTGCACACGCCTCATGCACATGCTGTTATACGGCAATACGCCGCCCTTATATTGGCCTCTGTTCTGGTGGCGATGGTATTCGTCAACAAGCCACTAGACGATACCTCTGGCAAAGTCGCCGGAGCGCTGGCAATCTACCATGTTGCCCCTTCGATCCGGTCTGTAAACAGGTTGGTCACACAGGCACAGTTGCAAAAGCCAATCATCATCTCCGAGGCGTTTCTCTACCTGGTTGTACATGTCATCTGCTTTGTTGCTCTACTCCGTGACGCCTGGTGCGCCCTATACAAGGAAAATCAAACTTAGAGCATCTAACCGCACCCACGCCTTCAATCCCGCACCCTCAGTCCACGTCCTCGGCAACCAAAGTCTCCGTTGGGCTGTCGGACCCTGGGTCTGATCCTTGATTGCTTCTTTTGAGCATCATCATCTCGACAGCAATTCCCGGGCCAAAGGCACAAGCCACGATGTGGTCTGTCGTTTCACCCTCCAGCAGCCGATTCATGACGCTGAAGATGGTGGCGCTAGAACTATTGCCGTGAGTAATGTAAACCTCATAGCTTGCACGAAGAAGCTCGGGTTTCAGATTCATTGTTCGTTCCACCCCGGTGATGATTGTGGAGCCACCAGGATGAAGCGCCCAGTCATAGTCAGAAGCCTTGAATTTCCCCAGATCGACGAGCTCTGGTATTGACCCTACCAAGTCCTCAAACATGCCAGGAACCGCAGCTGAGGCTAATTTGGGAACTCGCTGTGTCAAGACCACCTTCCACCCTAGTACCAGAGTCAGCAGCTGCATTCTTGGAGATAAGAGTCTTCTTTTGCTTACCAACAGGGTCAACGTCGAAGCCCAAATCCTTTTCGGTGTCTTCAATAATCTTGTGGTCCCAGCCTAAGAGCTCCAGGATTGGTTCCTCGTCATAGCGATCACTGAAACCATTACCGAGGACCACAGCTGAGGCACAGTCACTGAACAAGGTGACGCCTATCCTGACCTCCTGGTTCTTGTGGATCGAGTCCAGCTCAGATCTAACCAGGGTGCTTGAGATCTCGCAAGCGAATACCAGAATGCGTGCAGGCTTTCGTCGGAAACTGGAACCAAGCGCGATGTTGGCGGCCGTTCGTAACGCTCCGAGACCGCCAGAGCAACCCACTCCGTGCAAAAGGACCTTTTCTATGCTTGGATTGAGCCCGAGTCCCTTAATGACATAATGGTCATAGCCTGGATTCGCCGAGTTGGTGCAGGTGGTCGCAACTACGTGGGTGATCTCAGAAAGATCCCCTCCCCATTGCTTGAGGGCCTTGCGACAAGCTTCTATTGACAGCTTCACACCATAGTCGAGGAAGAGATCGCACAACTCTGCTATTGTTGGGGGTTCAGGCGCATTCGCTATGGGATGATCAATATTGCCAATCGCAGAACGAGAGTCAATCCCAGTATACTCATTGATCTTCAGCACCTTTTCGAGTCTAAATGAATTGCGTCAATGAAGGTCAACCCTCGAGAATCGAGGGACGGAGGCTTACGCTGGGGTACTGGGATAAAAGCGTCGTGCAAGAGTGGCTAGATGTTCTGGCTTGATTTCATAAGGAGGGTATTCAACCCCAATGCCATGGATATAGAGATTGGGCCTTTGGTATGGCGGGGTGACCTTGGTGTGGATTGCTGAGGGCGACATGGCGGCGGTGGTGGTGGTGGTTTCGTCGCAAAGAATACGAGCCCCAACAATTTTTGGCGAGTGATGACGTTGGGATATTATTGCATGGATGAAACACAGCTGAGACAAGAGACTCTAGAGAGAGAGTTGACCGAGAGATGCGAAATGAGCGACAGTGGGAAAAGAGAGAGCACGAGTCTCTGCCGTCGATTAAGTGACTTTGGTAAATACTGGTGGGGGAGAGGGTGTGTGTAGACTTGACCTACAAGTATGTGAGCGGTAAATGCTCACAGAAGTGCCATGTAAGAAGTTGGACAAGTGCCCCCAGAATGCCTCGTACTAGTATCTCAGGGTCGGTGCTCGTGTGCGTCGGGAGTCGTCCATGGAAGGAACCCGCGAATCACGGGCCGAGGAGATGGTAACCGCATGATGCGACTGGGGCGATCTAATCAGGATCTGAGGTGCCAAATGTGCCAATGTGCGTGTTGCAGAAAATAGTCATGGGCGAGGGTGCGAGGGTTACGAGGGTCAGAGTCAGGAACATTGCACTTCCGAGTGGCTCCCGCTTGAGCAGCCTGCGTCCTTCATCCACATCAGCTATCATCACCACCACCACCACCATCATCATCACTACTACCACTAATACTACTGCCACCATCGCCATCGAAGCCCCCTCCATCTCAGCCATATCTTCCGCGTCATGGCCCACATCGACAGCCTCACTAGGCTCGCCACCTCAGCACTGGCCATAAGAATGACCTAAAGACTTAAGTGGTAGGTAAAACGGTCGTTACTTTACGGCCGTTCATCTGCCATTCCCGGATGGGATTTGCTGCCGACAAATCAGCGATGATCTGGCTCACCACCGCCATCGCACTCTTGCTGGGCTTCACCTTGTACTATGCTTGGGCGCGAAAGACCAGAATACATCGCCATGGTCAAGTCTTGAGGCAAGTTTTCCTCTCAGTAGCATCAATGATGTCTGCTAACCAATATCACAAAGACATGCGCCAGACTCCTTGCCGCTCCTCGGCAACGCCATCCAGTTCCTCAAACCACGCCATGTTCTTTTCGACTGGTTCGTGAAATGCCAGCAGAAGTTTGGTCAGGAGACATTCGAGATTTCCGTTCCTTCGCTACCTCCTGGCGTCGTGATCAACAGCCCTGAAGTTCTGGAGTATGTACTCAAAAATGAGGCAGCCATCACCAAGGGCGAGTTCTTTCGAGACCGATCTTGGGATCTCTTTGGTAAGTCACTGCGCACTGAATATGGACCGAGCCATGGCTGACTTGAAACGGGTAAGGCTACGGCATCATCAATGCATCGGGCGAGCTGTGGCGCGCTCAACGGAAAGCCGGGTTGAAGTTTTTCAGTGGTACAAATCTGGACATTATGATCGAAGAGGTCCTTCCAGAGATTTATCACGAGTTCACAAGGGCCAGCCTTTCTCAAGCTGCCGAGGATCGATCTGTGGTCGACCTGCAGAAGATTTTCCATGATCTCACAACCACGGTGGTGGGACACATGGCGTACGATGTAAGAACTGTCAGCCTGCCGTGGGTGACTGTGAATGAGACCTGGTAGCTGATTCTAACAAACGATACCCGAAACTCAGATGGAAATAGATGCCACCTCTCCATTCAGCAAAGCCTTCGACCACGCCTCCTCCCAAATTGGCCTCCGCTTTCAAAACCCTCTCTACAGTATCACCGAGTTCTTCACGGGTTCTTCCTTCCGCGCATCTCTTCGCGAAGTAAAACGCTTTGGACGTCAAATTGTGTCCGAAGCGCGGAAACGGCGTGCTCGAGAAGCGTTTGAGAGTCTCATCACCAACACCGACGAGGAGGAGACTGAGCTCATGCAACAGCGTCAACAACCCGAAAACAACGAAGGATCCGGGTTAGGATTTGGAACGTTGATTGATTCACTGATAGAAGCATTAAGCAATCCGAAAATTGTCGCCGATGCCGCCCTAAATTTCCTGTCTGCCGGTCGAGATACCACGGCTCAGAGCCTGACATGGACGTTCTATGCACTACTGAGGCACCCTGAGGCGCTAAAGCGGGTGAGAGAAGAAATTGACCTTAAATTCGACGTCAAGACCTCGGATAAGACGCCTTTCAACAGTTCTGCTACGACGAATTCTGATAGTGAAGAAGATGTTAACATCGATGTGTCTGACCTCCAACCTACCAATCTCCCCTACACTATGGCGGTCTTCTACGAATCCCTCCGCCTGCACCCTCCCGTCCCCTTTGAGATAAAGCAAACCACCCAACCCGTCACACTCCCCGATGGTACCTCCTTACCCGCAGGGGCCGTCGTGGTATGGTGCATCTGGGCGCTCAACCGCTCTTTTTCAACATTCGGCGAGGATGCCCAGTTATTCCGCCCAGAGCGCTGGTTAGAGGTGTCGAGTCCTGCTTCACACGCGAATTCCGAAACCGATACCGACACCCATGTCAATACCGCAGCCCACAAGCCGAGCCTCAGGTTCACCGGCTCCAAATACTCGGTCGGCGAGTTCCCCGTCTTCAATGGCGGCCCACGCAGCTGCCTGGGCAAGAAGATGGCCGAGCTGATGGGTGCGTGGACGCTGATGCGGATGCTGCGCGAGTGGGATTTTGAGGAGGTCAACGACGGCTTGAACATGGACTCGTCGTCGGGCGAGCGACGCAGCGCCAACTCCCTGACCCTCCCCATGGAAGGCGGTCTGCCTGTGCGGGTCACCAGGCGGCTGAGGAGGGTGTGAAATTGATTAGACACACTCAAAACTCCATCCTGCAATCAATGCATTCATATACCACACGTCTTTCCAACGTGTAATCTACTACAATCACACTAGCGCTGCATTTCATACCACGTTGCACGAACATTGCATTACGACCAATAACGAACTAGACTGGGATGGTGTCTATGGTGTATCTGGGCCTCAAAAAGCATTCAAAAGGCGAAGTGCAATACTTGAAAAGGCAAAGATAAAAGAGCCCATCTAGAATGGTGGGAAGAAGGGACATGAGTAAAATCCGTTTCGGGGCATTTGTGCGTAATCTACATCTACATAGAACCATCCAAACTGCAACTGGCTCCTCCAAGGCAGAGCAGAGCTGGACATGTATCCCTCCAGAGAGGTCGGTGTCCGCAGTGCCTGTCTCGGAGCTAGTGTCGTCAAGGTGCCGGGAGAGAAGTCGGCGATCGCCTGCCCCAAGAGACAATGAGGCTGGTCGGACCAAGTAAGTTCTCGACTTGCTCTACCGTAGCAGGCAGGAATCATATCTCGTCTGCATCCTCCCCGGCAACACTTTCATATCGCATGCCCCCACCCCTTCTGGTCCTCAACTTCAGGGGCACCTCGTACATGTGTGCATAGTCCACCACCTCTCCGCCTAGATAGCCCACTCCGTTCTTCCTCCTGCCGAACACGGGGGCCGGATCACACCAGAAGTCTTGACAGTTGCCCACGATGCCGCGGCTGAAGGGGTTGGAGTTCCGAGATTGCAAATGACCGTGAGATGCGTCGCTCGCAGTCACCATGAATGCATCGAGGCCGAGGATCTTTGTCCACCGTGTGAAACAACCGTCGGGTCGGCGAGGAGCCGGCTGAAGGCGGGACGATGCGGCAGCCGTGTCGTTCAGAGAAGTTGCGGCTGCAGATGCGCCTTGGGTGATGGGGTGATTGTGAGTCGGGAGTATGGGTCGATGGTGGTCGTGTACTTTGTCGTGACGCTTCATATTTTCATACGTGGTTTGATTCTTCGAGATCTGGATCGTTTGAACCACGATCAGCATGACTACCCAAACAAGCTGGAGACAAGTCCAGAATGTGAGTGCCACGGTCCAGGGGTCCCGCAGGACGAAGGTACATAACGAAGGAGAGAGAACATGGCATTTAGCGAGGTCGTCGTCGGTAGGTGGTGGGAGGAGGGTAAGGTAAGAGAGGACGAGGCGGATGTAGAGGATGATCCCAATAGCCATGCAGAGGATGTAAATGTAAAAATGACGGATGTTGTTGTTCCCCACGCAATTGTCAATCCACGGACAGTGATGGTCTTGTTTTGCAACGCATCGGTTACACCGGCGACAGTGTTTTGAGCGCAGGGGTTTTCGGATCATACACTGTACGCAGAAGTTATCTTCGTCAAATTTCCACAGGGAAAATAGCTCATCAATCGCCGCACGTTGTTGGTTTCGTGAAGATAGCTTTGGTATCCACCCAGGATCTTCAATCATTGAGAGGAAGTAGAAGTACGCTGTGGCGGCGTATAAGATGATGAAGCAGATGGATGTGAGCGGATTCGTTGAGAACGTGACCGGGAGTACCGACATAACGTAACTGACTCCCACCCAAAAGAGCGTTCCCGCGAATATGCCAGCCAGATAGGGTGTTTTGTGGATGGCTCGAAATTCTAGAGGTCCGATCATTGCAATTCGTTGCGCAGCATACTGCATTCCCAGGCAAACAACCAAAAATAACGGAACTCCAATGTAGACGCTGAGGTGACTGATAATGTACAGGCCGACCATGATGATCAAAAAAGGGTACAAGAAGAAAAATTTCGACATTTTCGAGCGATCTCTGATCACGGTGTGGAGTTTCAGTGGGAGCGTCTTGACGTTGCCAGAAAGGTCATATCCATGGTCAGATAATGAGCGTTGGTATACTCGTTTCGTGTTCATTTCCTCGGCACAGATAAGTGGCGTCTTGCCTTCGTTGGTCTTTGCGAATCTGTCCGCACCGTACTCGATGAGTTTGTCTAAGCAGGCTTTGGAGCCTTTCACCAAAGCCCAATGTAAGGGTGTATATCCATTGTCGTCTGTAGCATTGACGTTGGCTCCCCATTTGAGGAGAAGATCCACGCAGGCTGGCCAGCCTTTATATCCTGCCCACATCAGAGAAGTATGGCCTTGAGGATCGGGAATATCGACGGGGATATTTTGTTGCAGAAGAAGAATCAATAGCAGCGCGTTTCCATCAATTGTTGCCAGGTGGAGAATGTTGTAACCCTGACCGTCGGTCAGAAGAGGATCAGCACCGTTCTGCAACAGAAGGTTGACGATATAAAAGTGACACCTCTGCGAGGCCCACATAATGGCGGTGGCATTGGATTCTCCTCCTTTTGCGTTCACATCGGCACCCTGCTCGATGAGGTATTTGCATACAGCATATTGATTGTTAATAGCAGCCCAATGCAGCGGAGTGATTCCCTCATCATCCTTATAGTTGGCGTCGTGTTTGCCAGATTCCACCATTTTCTGGATGTGTTCGAGGGCACCTATTCGGGCGCATTGCATGATATCCTCTTCCAAAGGTATACTGGGCACCGCCTGGCCATTTTGGACAGGACCCAGTTCGACATCCTCCGAGGTCACTTTGGGAGAGGCCGCGTTGGCTTTGGAGGTGGGAGGATGGGAAAGTTTCTGGGAGATCGGAGAAGACATGGCGGTTTTTGGTCGAGACTATTGTCGCAGAGAGACACATAGTGGATTTTCCATCATGTTCGAGTCCAAAAGGTAGTTTCCACGTGAATGCACAGCTGAAGGAAACGCGGCCTGAACCTCCTGGTCTCCTGAATCGTCAGTTCGTCCGCAGCTGGCCCTAAGCCTGAGGAGGCGGCGTCTTGTGGCGTTGGAGTCGTCGTACTCGTATGAAACGGGCCAGTCACGTGAAGATAATCGCCAAGATGGCCTCCTCGGCAAAGGTGCCTCACCAAGTCGGGTCCGTCCTCCTGCGACACCCGGGATTATTTCGATTGAAGCTCCCCTTACAAACTACTAGCTGGTGTCCTCGACTTCACATCAAAATTCTCCTCTCCACTCCCTCCGACCTATCTCAATACACCTTTTCCTCCTAGGAAGTTCCTCATATCAGCTTCACGGGTCGGCAAGATGATGTCGAGGAGCGTCTTGCGCCAGTCTGGCCGCATTGCTGGTGCCCTATCTGCATCGGGCAGAATAGCTGCAGTAAGCTTGAAACCCCCTTCAACCAGCAGTAAAAGCTTCAGCATCACCAAAATCAGCGCCAATGAGACCTCCGAGGCAGACTTTGAGCTCAAAATATACAACTGAAGCTCTATCAACGCCTCGTGGTTGGATTCCGAGCTAATGAAAATCTTCGCAGTCCCGTGTCGTCACCCCTGCACCTCTCAATGCTGCCTCAAAACAAGTCCGATCATACGCTGCTGATGCCAAAGCATCTCCCACCGAAGTTTCCTCCATCCTCGAGCAAAGAATCCGTGGTGTGCAAGAGGAAGCTGGCCTCGCCGAGACCGGTCGCGTCCTGTCCGTCGGTGACGGTATTGCCCGTGTCCATGGCATGAGCAATGTCCAGGCCGAGGAGTTGGTCGAGTTTGCCTCTGGTGTCAAGGGAATGTGCATGAACTTGGAAGCCGGTCAAGTCGGTGTCGTGCTTTTCGGTTCGGATCGTCTTGTCAAAGAAGGAGAAACCGTCAAGCGAACTGGCCAGATTGTGAGGAGAGGTGAAATAGCTGGGTGAAACTTGATCAGCTAACAGCTTCCAGGTCGATGTCCCTGTCGGTCCGGCTTTGCTTGGCCGTGTTGTCGACGCTCTCGGCCAGCCCATCGATGGCAAAGGCCCCATCCAAGCTGCTGAGAGACGTCGTGCTCAATTGAAGGCTCCTGGTATTCTTCCTCGACGATCCGTCAACCAGCCCGTCCAAACCGGTCTCAAGTCTATCGACGCAATGGTGCCTATTGGACGTGGTCAGCGTGAATTGATTATTGGCGATCGTCAAACCGGAAAAACTGCCGTTGCTCTCGACGCCATGTTGAACCAGAAGAGATGGAACAACGGCAATGACGAGACCAAGAAACTTTACTGCGTTTACGTCGCTGTTGGTCAGAAACGATCTACCGTTGCCCAGCTTGTCAAAACCCTCGAAGAAAACGACGCCATGAAGTACTCTATCGTTGTCGCTGCCACCGCCTCCGAGGCAGCCCCTCTGCAATACATTGCTCCTTTCACTGGCGTAAGTTCTTCTGTTGACCTTTATGGACCTCTACTAACTCCATCACCTTAGACTGCAATCGGAGAGTACTTCCGCGACAACGGAATGCATGCTCTCTTGATCCTGGACGATCTATCGAAGCAGGTAAGATCCCTTTTCTTTCACTTTTGGTGTTGGAGCCACTTTGTCAGCGACATGGATATGATAAGCTGACCAGCAAACAGGCCGTTGCATATCGACAAATGTCTCTGCTGCTCCGGCGTCCTCCTGGGCGTGAGGCTTATCCTGGTGATGTGTTCTACCTCCACTCCCGACTTCTGGAACGAGCTGCCAAGATGAACGACAAGCACGGTGGTGGCTCTCTGACTGCTCTGCCCGTGATTGAGACCCAGGGTGGTGATGTGTCTGCCTACATTCCTACCAACGTTATTTCGATCACGGATGGGCAGATTTTCTTGGAGGCCGAGCTGTTCTACAAGGGTGTCCGACCTGCGATCAACGTCGGTCTCTCTGTGTCACGTGTGGGCTCTGCTGCGCAGCTGAAGGCCATGAAACAAGTTGCCGGTTCCTTGAAACTCTTCTTGGCCCAATACCGAGAAGTGGCTGCATTCGCACAATTCGGTTCCGATCTCGACGCCGCAACCAAGCAAACTCTCAGCCGTGGTGAACGCCTGACGGAGCTCTTGAAGCAGAAGCAATATAGCCCCATGGCTGTCAACGAAATGGTTCCCCTCATCTATGCTGGTGTCAACGGTCACCTGGACCCCGTCCCCGTCGGCAAGATCTTGCAATGGGAAGCAGACTTCCTCGCACACTTGAAGAGCGACCACCCCGAAATTCTTGCCAAGATTGACAAGGAGGGTCAATTGAGCAAGGACCTCGAGCAACAATTGAAGGAGGTGATTGTGAACTTTACCAAGAATTTCTCATAGGTAAATTCTCTCTACAGTTCGGTATACAGCCTCATAGCTGACATTTGCAAGAGGTGTGGTGAAGAAGTTTGAAATGCTTGTACAATGTTCTAGCTTGGTCAAAACTGGACGACACCAGTCGAGTTGAGACACTAAAAAGGTTGATTGCAAGTCTTTGCAGTTGCCAGTCAAAGAGGGAAAGTGTCTCATTGTAATTAGATACATAACAGTCCTCAATCAATTCCATTTGTGCTTTAGGTTGTCGCGGACATTGACAGTCTCAGATTCGTATTGCGTGACACAATCTTCCAGCCTCTACCACAGTTGTGTGAGCACGGGTAGAGGTGTTTTGAGGACTAGCCGTACGAGATCTTTCTATGCCCTCATCTTGTGCAGGAATGAAGTACGCCGCCACTGGCATAGCACGGCTGTTGGCATTTGCTATGGTGATGCTGTGGTGCTGCGGTGCTGCGGCGCTGTCATAACCCAGGACTGTTGGTTGGGTTACTCCTTAGTCATCGAGGAACCTGTTCGCAGATTACATACCTCCGTACAAGGAGAAAGAACATTCAACGTGGCATTCCTTTCCGGTCGTGTGCTATCCCGCCAGCCTCGGGGGGCCGCTCGAGCGGAAAAGGAAACGTGCTTGTTTTGTTATCCGGCAAAAGTGATGATAAGAATGTGAGTACCGAGTACGAGGTACTGTGGAGCAACTACAGTAGGTACTGGAAGTACTCGGTAGGCTTCTGGAGAGGGCGTCGTCGATCAAAAAGGTCCTGTCTACGATGTTCCAGGGTGGGTAGATAGGTAGGTAGGTAGGTAGGTAGGTCCATACCTCCGGACGATGTACCTACCTCGTCCTCCACGCCACGTAGAACATTTTCTCTTGCGCATCAGGGACAGGTCTATCTAAATACTTCATGCATGTACTTGTACTCGATTCGGGTAAACGAATCAAACATCCATGAGACTCCGTGCAGGTACAAGTCCCAGGACCTCGTATACTGGACCTCGTACATGCTCACTACTCGTAGGTATGACCGAGAGACCGTGCACAACTGTGCGGCGGGTCCACCACGTCCCATCACACATCACATCACATTGACATCCTTCATATCCAAACTTTCCTATTCGGGTAATTTTGCATCTTCTCCAAACCCACCCAAATCTGGACTCCGGAGGATCCCTGGTTACTTAGCACCCACTGCACCCTAGCTGATTTATTAGCATTTTCTTTTGCCTTTTGCCCCGTGGCATGACATTGACACTGACACTGACACGAGAGCCAACGACCGGGAAGCTTTGGTCAGGAAACGCGCCTTGCTTCCTCTGACATGGCCTCTGCTACTGGGCACATAATGAGAACAGGGATCGACGGGGGGTCTGGGAATAAAAATAACCCAGCTAACCCCCAATAAAGACAGACGGATATCTGTGAGACTCCCCCGGCTCGACTCGACTCGATTCAACGCAATTCCTGCCCAGCCAGGCCCAGATCAGCCCAGGTCACTCATGGCTTTTCCAAGGAGAAGCTAATGTCCAAGACGATGGTGATGATGCAAGGATAACCAAGTTCCAAAGCGGGAAACGCACTGCTTGAACAGATCAATCAAGGCCCTTTAAATAGGCCGTATTGTTCCCTGGCTGGCGCTGGTGCTGCTACGGCGGCGGTGTAGATATCAAGGGTACAGGCGGCATTGGTCGTTTGCTGATATTCTTCTCATACCAGTCACTGTATGCCTCGTCCATCATCACCTGAAAGTCTGGACTGCTGAGGTATTCGAACGTCTTGGACGTGACCCCCGCACTCTGTGCCTGTTGTGGCTCCGGTGGGGAGCCGAGCGTGGGATCCATATCCTTCTTCGGACTTCCATGGCTAGCAGCCTTTCCCTGCGACGATGCCGATGGTTCTGAAGTGCCAGCTGTACCTTCAGCGATATGGGAAGACATGTTCTTGGTGGTAGGAGGGGAGGAGGACTCTCCATTCTTGCTGGCGGCTGGTTCTATGCTCTCCAGTTCAGCCTCGTCCTCGCCTCTTTCCCCCTCACAACCAAATAACCACGACGACAATACGTGGATCAATTTCTGCTTCGACTCGTCAGTGATCCGACTGAAAATCTTCAGAGCATCAATGACTGCTTCGGTCAAGAACACCTCCTTCTTGGTCCCACTGTCACTCCTCTTGGAGACTTCGTCCGCATCGACCCATGACTTTGCGAGCAGCCACACGGTGATCTCGAGCCTCACCCGGGCGTTCTCTGCGTGGGTGGAAAGTCTCTGCAGAAATAATACAGCACCATCAGGTCGCTCAAGCAAATCCCACAATATGAGATTTAGCAGATACAGATTGAGGAACAAAGAAAGATCCTGCTGGACAGACAGGGTTGTCCTTTGCAAATTTGCCAGTGCGCCCTCCACAGCGTGATGTATTGTCGACTTTCCCATCGCAGCCGACCAGAGGCTGCTCGATACCGAGGTTCGGGACCGATTGGTTGTGGTTGCTCCCACTCTTTCACCTCTGGAGACACCGTTGTCACCGCGGTATTGGATAGCGTCAGACTGTGACCTCCGGCCGTCGTTTTGCATCGAGTCTAATGTCCCGAGGAACCTGTCGCTGGCACCTTGCACATCCAAGAAGCTGGTAGCTTCAAGCTCGGCCATCGCAAAATACGCCAAGGAAAACATTGGGTGGAACATGAAGCACACGGCTGAGAACAGGGAGTCCACTCCACGTTGTGAGATCATCTGTGCCAGACCTTTAAGATGGGCTCTATTGATCTCAGGACTCAATGAGCGGGCGTCGGCTGACATTGCTAGACAAACACAGAGCAAGGCTTCGTCCGAGGCCTGCGTCTCGGGGTCTCCCAACAAGCTCGCGATATATTTGTACGCCATGGCTTTCCGCCGATGCATCCTTTGTGGCAACGGCTGTCGTCGAGACAGGGCCAAGAACATGTCGCAGATTATCAGAGTCCATGGCAGGCCGCCGGCGGGATACATCTGGATACCTCGCCACGCAATATCCCGACAAGGACAGAAAGCACCAGTAGTATTGCTACTCCACGACGCAACGCCCTGGAATTGTAGCCACTTGATGACGAAGTTCTGTTCCTCAACAGTGAGTGAGTGAGGGTGCGGGCGAAGATCCTCCAGAATGGCATCCGCCGCCGTTGATGTCCATGATTGACGACTCTCAGCCTTCACCATTGGAGGGATGACCTTGGTCGACTCGGCTCTGAGGCTTGCAGTGTTCATCATCTGACGACTCTTGCGACGTCTGTGTGCCGTGGATTCCTCCTCTTTGACATCCTTCTCGCTAGAAGATGTCAAGCTCGAACGCTTCTCTTTCCTCGACTTCCCCTGTTTGGCGACGACCGATGTGGCAGGCGTACCGCGACGGGGATGTGGAGCTCTCGCTTTCTGCTTTCGGAGGATCCAATCAGCCTGACCTTTGGGAGTAAATGTTCGAAGTTGAGATGCAAACGTTGGAGGGGGAACGTCAGTGTGGTCGGACGGGGCCTTGACGCTTGGACCGGGCTCATCTTGTCGGTCTAGCTTTACACGAAACCGATTTCGAGACATTGATATCGACGAGGTCTGCAAAATTTGGACCACCAAGCCGTTGGCGAGGGGAAAGGGGACTCAAGTGGTGAAAAGGAATCTGGACCTCGTTGTTCTGGCCACCTTCTCCGAGGAAGCGAAGGGTGGTGAGGGGCCAGACTATCGGTCGCAGACGACGAGCGGAGTCAGTGGTGTACTGGACTCGCTCATGAGTCCTGATTGCATTCGTGGTACTCGGTGCGACATACCGGATTGGCACATCTGCCACGAGCTTGTGGATGCTATGCTGGTTTATCTAGAGTGGACGACCACAGATATGAGGTACGAGGGACGAGGTACTCCGTAGACAGCCAGTTGGACTGCTACAAGTTCTGGTCCCAGGGAGTGGCCGGGGTATTGGATATGCTGTCCGGGGTCGAGCTGTTGGACTGAGATACGAGTAGAGCTAGGACGCCTGCTGATCGAGCTTGGGGTTGGATCGACCAAGTCTTCGGGCGGATGAGGCCTCAGGCTCGTCAATACAATCTAACATGTTGGCAACCTGATCGTGACGAAAGTGCAGATTCGGCACGGGCCTTGCCCTGTTTGGCGTGGCTAACATGTGTGTGTGTGGGCGAGAGCAGGTGGCACAGTCAGTGCTGAAAGTGAAGATGTCAATGGCTGCTGAGAGAAGCCAGTCCGATGGAGGGTGCAGACCTGAGGCCATTGATGGTTAGCGGGTTGAAGGCCTAATAATGGCATTGTTGATGGTGATGGGCGAGGGACGCCAATGACGGGGAGAGGCGGACGTTTGACTAGGCTTTGAAATTCCGGCTTTAGCATCCGATGGAGGTGGGAGATGGAACAAAGCATACGAATTGGAACCTCAAGGATGCTGAATTATCTTTTCGATACGTCGGTCGGTGGTCACGCAACCAAGGGAGCGGAGGGACGGTGTTTGGTCACCTACCATATCGCCTACATAATCCTGCGCCGGACAGGTAGGTGCCTCGAGCATGCCCCCAAACAAGTACCTACCTTCACCTACACGTATACTTAGATAGGCGGCCTGGAGCATTGCAGAGAGGGTAACACCTTCCTCGAGCTCCCTACAATAGGTACTGAACCGAGTGCTTGTAACACCCAGCCTTACCCAGAGGTGCCAATTAACCGCCGCCGCCGCCGAGAAAAAGCACTGCCTATAAAAGCAATGCACCCGCCTAACTTTGGGGATCGAGTACCTCGTTACGAGGTACTGGTAGTCGATCGCACTGCCACCGCCACCAGATCTGGGCATGGCAGCCCCCCCCCCTTCCCAGAATTGTGTCATGAAAGCCTGACATCCTCGGTTCTATACACCAGTCTTGACCGGTTGTGATGCTTCAAGCACGAAGCACACAATAACACCCATGTTGCAGGAATAGCAGACGGCCTAGATGATATGTACGACTCGCACGCACAAAGTCGTGAAGATATATTGCCCAACACCCCACTTCTCGTGGTATCCCTCCCACTACTAAAACGCAGAAGAGGGGCAGGCAGACTTTACCGGTAATGCGTTCGACAAGGTGGAGGAATGGAAAGGAGGAGAAAGGGATTTCCATAACTATGATTTGCCGAGCTTGAATAAGTTCCTCAATGCAGAGATAGCATTAATAATGTGAGAGCAAAATCACGACATCCCCAGCAACGCTCACCACGCACTCCCATGACTCTATGATTCTATACTTTTGCTCTACAAATACTGCTGCTCCTTTCAAGAGGCTCTCCCTTGGTCGAACCCACTACTGCTTTCGCCACTATAGCCACTATTATCACCATCACCACCATCGCTGCTACCGCCCACGATTGCTGGTTCCCTCGGCACCAAATTCTCTTAGTGTAGCCTCGCGACGCTTTACACCCGCTGTATCAGCTTATAAATCCACCCATAAGGCTACCGGTGCGACCACATCTCCCATCATGAAATCAGCCCACGTCTACAAAAAGGGGGAAGATCAGCTCGATGTCCAGATCAAGGATATTCCTGTCCCCAAGCCCGAGCCCAATCAGGTCCTCATCAAAGTGGTTGTCTCGGGTACAAACCCCAAAGATTGGAAATACCCCATCGTCTTCAAAGGGGCTCAAGGACTTAACACGGGCGACGACATTGCTGGCTATGTCGAGGCAGTTGGTTCCAATGTCAGCGAATTCAAGGTTGGCGACCGCGTGGGTGCCTTCCATGAGATGCGCACGCCTCATGGATCCTTCGCCGAATACGCCATCGCCTGGGAAAAAACCACTTTCCATCTTCCTCAACAAACCTCGTTCGAAGAGGCAGCAACCATCCCCCTGGCTGCCATGACTGCCGCCGTCGGTCTTTATTGCCGTTTGGGCTTACCAGAGCCGTGGGTCACCGTGTCTCAGGCCCGCAAAGATGCTCTCGCCGGGGGCGTGGTCGTCTATGGCGCTGCTTCCGCCGTGGGAGCTTTCGCGGTCAAGCTTCTGGTCCGCTCCAAGATACACCCAATTATCTGCGTTGCCGGCCGGGGCATCCCATTTGTCGAAGGCCTGATTGACAAGTCCAAGGGCGATACCGTCATCGACTATCGCAAGGGTGACGAGCATGTTGTTGACGGCCTCCGCGCTGCGGTCCCTGCCGGGCAAAAACTCTTGTACGCTTTTGATGCTGTTAGTGAAAAGGGTAGTTACCAGAACATTATCAAGGTTCTCGACCCTTATGGACATATTAGCTTGGTTCTTCCGGGAAAGAAGTACGAAGAGATCCCCAAGACGGTCAACCAGACCCTTACCACTGTGGGCTCTGTCCACGGTGTGCCGGATGACCTGAGCGACTTTGGGTATGCCTGGTTCAGACTATTCAGCCTCGGTCTAAAGGAAGGCTGGTTCAGTGGGCATCCGTATGAAGTGGTTCCTGGGGGATTAAATGGCGTCCAGACAGGCCTGGAGAATCTTCTTCAGGGCAAGGCAAGCGCTGTCAAGTATGTTTATCGCATTGCCGACACAGAGGGTGTGGAGAAGAGCAAGATTTAAAAAAATTTAAGTGGAGGTTACGTGATGCTGGGACATCAACGCATCTTGCCAACACACAATCCTGGGTGACTGATCACATCGAATGGGTAAACAGCCTTGCAAAGTACCCAATGAAAGAGAGTGTAACTTATACCAGTCGCGTCATTGAATCTCTGTGCATAAACCACGTCTGACCGGTTCTCGAGTAATCCTTGCGGTTGAAACATGCTCAACTGTTGAACCACGTTGACAATACCTCGCAAGCGTGCAGGTGACCTGTTTGTTAGCCCATGCTTCCTCGATGTCCTGGCTAGTACTCGAGCTCGACCCATTTTCGCAATCTTGGCTTTGATGGTGAGGTGAATACTGGAGGCGCGCACTGCTTGATTGTGCGTGTGACCATTCATCCAGGGTGCCAGGGTCGCAACTTCATGCTTGTCAACATTGAAGGAGAGACTCGGCAGCCAGAAGCATTGTCGATAAAGGGCTAAGCCATCCTGCCCAATGTTGAATTTGGACATTATCCCAGGATGTGCGACACTGTTTCCTAGCAAATAGGCGGTGGCACAGAGAAGTAGATTTATTTTCCGATAAGGAGTCCGTTGATCTTCAGCAGGGATGCGTGGTCGGAAGGGAACGGGAGATATTCCTGTTAGATTTACTTTGCCTCGTGTGACCAATTCTACTTTGTCACTTACCTACCTACTCTAGCTCCAAGTGGTGTCATTCACAGCTTGAACCAATGGCTCTGACCTTTGCGTCCACTTGGCTTGCGACAACCATGTACCTATCGCCTCGAGCGCAGGGAGGAGGCTCGGAGGGAACAAACTTTGTGGAAATCGTCAAAAAGTGGCATGAGATCGACCTCCAAGTGAAGCCACCCCATTCAGTGAACAAGGGTCTTAGGGCGCCTTGAGTTAGGAGCACGAACAGCTCTCCAGCTTTCCTCCAAATATGTTTGAGAGGCCAAAGTCAATCATGTCAATAGGCTGGTCCTTCTCAATCTGGATATGATAGCGTCAGACCAATTTTAGGGTAAGCATACATGATTTGCTTACAGCAGAGGCCGCTGGAGGCTTGTCCCCGCAATTACAGAGGACAATTATGATGTGCTCGGGGAGAACCTAAGGTAGCAGGGTAGGTAGATACTGGGCGGCGACAGTCGAAGACCCCATTTCAATATGCGGTCAGCTGGTCCAGCTGAAGCAGGGTCGATCTTTGGATGGAAACATCCAGCCCTTCCCCAGGGATCCGTGCATCCAGAAATGTGAAGATGCTGTAGAGGAGGTGCCGGCAATTGGAAAGCCGTGGGCCTGCGGCGGCCATCGAATCCGTGATCGACGGATAGCGCAAGTTTAGAGCAGAATGAAGCCTTGATGAGGGGTAGGACAGAGATTGGCAGGACGCACATCATGAGGGATGGCTTGCCGTCCGGACGAGTCGGCAACAGTCGGCAGCTGGTAGGGTCTTCATTTTTTTTCTGTTCCTCGGAGGCTTTAACTTCGCTAGGCTGTCATCCTGCGCTGTGTATGGTGCATATGTCGCAGCTAAGAAAGGCTTGGAAGGAAATCTCCCTGTCAAGGCCTTCTCAATGACCTCCCCTAAGGATTGACAAGCTTAGCGGGCTTGGTGGTGCTCGAGTCTCGGTACTCCACGTAGGTCTCTGGGGGCCCGAGGGGCGCTGTTCAACCAAGCATCGGCGGTCAAACCCTCGTCCAGTAGCCGGGATTTAGTGGGCGCACGGGGTGCTGCGCAATTGTGTTTCAGGTTCCTCCTTCACCTAGATGGGCGAATGACAGCTCTCTTAGGCCATGGGGGCGTCTGCGAGAAGCCAGGGGAGGGTAAGAGTAGATTGAGAAAGTCCCTCACATCTGCTCGCAACACCCGACGAATCTTTGTATTTTCCTTTCTCTTTTATGCAGCAAATATTAGCCATCTTCGGAACCGAGCAAGGGCTGATACCGGGTATGTAGGAGAGATTGGTGGAGGATACTGTTGGCGGTTGTATGCAATCAGTTTCTTCTGAGAATGCGCTCGAGAAAGATGAGTAAAAAGAAACCCACCCCTAGTTGCCATCGCCGAGTTCGATTCGACTCGACTCGTCTGCCCCTCTTCCAACACACTACCTCTTTAGAGTGTTACCTCGGTGGGGTGCCGTTTTCAGGTGTTTGCTCTCCGTCCGGACAGTGAGTAGTCCGTAGGCTGTTCTGGGATAAAGATGACTGGCAGAAAGGGGATTTTCCCAGGGATCTGGCAAGTAAGAAAAGGGCTGACTGATGACGATGCTGGGATCGCGTAGAAGCACTAAACGATTTCTGTCTTTTGGGGGGGCTTGTTTGGGCTGCACTCCGTACTTGTTAAGTGGAAGCGGCCACTGGGGGCCACTGGGCCAGAGCACCGCAGCCTACCCACGGCTACCAACTATGTCAGTGCGCCATCCAAATCCACATCCACCATCCACATCCAGATTCTGACTTGGCTCATGGAGCTTTTTCACTTCTGTTTGCATTTCTTCACTCCCCATTTTCCACCTTGCCGGCAATATCGCTACCACGACATTCGCGAACCATTTATCCACCATATACGTAGACGCCCTTATCCTGCCTTCACTTCGCTTTCCCCAGCAGTCTCTCCTTTTGCCCACCCGAGGCCGACCCGGACTTTATATCCCTCCAGTTGGCTTGCTGACCTGTAAGGAGTCACCAAGCCGACTGGAACGGAGCCCACCACCAGTCTTCCAGACCTTCATGCCGCGAAACCCTGCGGCGAAGAAGCATCAGCACAATAACCGCCATGAAAACGGACTTGTAGGTCCCGGGAAACGTGTCACCAAACAGAAATCGAATGGTCATCTCAATGGCACCGCAAAGGGCCCTGTCCCAACCGAGCCTGTTCCCCAACCCAACCCGCCCGGCAACTCCTCGAGCGCAATAGTCAACGATAGATCTCTCGCTGCCACCTCCGAATCGCCGCAGGACTCCAAAATCTCCTTGAATTCTCAACCCGCAGCCAGTGAACCCGACTCAGGCGCCGTCAAAGAGAAGGACATCAAGTGGGAGGCGAATGGATCTGCCATGTTACATCAAAGACGAGGCGATATGGTGTCTTCCCGAGCCAGGTCCTCCCAGGACATCAGCGCCCTGCATCTGGCTTCGACAATTCTGCGCTCCCGCCCAGCTTGCGACACTGTCTCTCTACTGATTGTCCTTCTCGCATTGCCGTCGATGGTGTTGACGATTGTTCAAGCCTTATTCGCGTCTTTGACATTGATGCCAGGAGGTGGCACCCCGGCTTCGCTAAATTCCTTGCTCGATATCTTTCAAGGATCGGCTGGCGTGCCCAACTTCAGCACTACTGCCATTGTAGATGCCATCGGCTTCGGACTATGGGTTGGACTGTGGACGTGGGCTCAAAATTTCGCGCTCGACCTGGCTCAGATACAAATCGCGATTACACTTGGAAATGGCAGTTCGGGCAAGAACAGTAGGGTCAACACGTTCTGCGTGGCAGGGGTGCTGCTGCTGCACCTGGCGCGGAGCCGAGATGTTCGTCGATTCCTGTATTCGAATCTGGTTCCTGTCGACCTCCTTTCCCAGACTGGACTGTTGGATCATCTGAAATACCTACCCTCGGACCACGACTTTGGCGACAGTCCCGGCCCACCGTCATATTTTCGAAGTTTGTTCGCCATACACATAATCGCACAAGGTGTCATGGCGAGCTTCCGACGTTACATCTCCTCCTATACCACAGGAACAGCCAAATCGAAACGTATAGATACAGAAGCCTCGGCAGGATCTGTGTCGGACGCTTCGGTGTTAGATGGATCCGTCCCCACGGCCGTGTCGTCCTCTGTCGATTACCAACCGCCACCAACACCAGGGTTCAAAGATGGAAAAGATAGTAAGGGTATGAGTGCGAAGAAACGCAGGCGTCAGGCGAACCACGTTAGAAGCAGACAGCCATTTTGGGCCGCTCTCGCCAGCACCAAAGTCCACGTCTTACGAGAGGTCGAGCACAACAAGGCTCTTCCAAGCGTTGGGAATAAGGAAGGCAGCCCTTTCGAAGTATCCCACCAGGACCTTGTTTGGATTGTGAATGTGGAACCTTCGTCGATTTCTTTTGAAGCAACCTACATCTATGAATCAGAGCATACCCAAAAACCCGCGCAAGGAGCAGATTGCCGGCCATTCTACGTCCGCATCAATGGCGCCAAGTGGCACGCGGTGTCCTTAGAGCCGCTCGAAAACTCCTCCCGCCACGATGGAAGCGGTGCTCAGTGGGCGGGCACGATATCTGGACTTGCGCCAAATTGCACTTACACATGTACATTCATCAGCTGCGAAGGAGACGAAGGCTTCGCATCTATCATGGTCAAGACGCCAATGCTCCTGGACAAAGATTTACCCGCTTCAATGGCTCCTGCGTCGGTCCGCCAGTCTTCAACGCCCTCTTCACCTACCACCACCCTGAAAAATTCGATTTCAACAGCCGAAGCTAAATTGAATGAAGCCCGCAATCGCCTCACCAAAGTTCGGCGTCAACACAGAACTGCTTTAGTCAAGGTGGAAAAAGAAGTGGACAGCTTCAGCACTCGACTGAAAACCGCCAGCGACGACACCAAGCAAAGGCAAAAATTGCTGCAAGCTGAACGAAATATACGACAGACTGAGGATGCCACTCAGGAGCTCGATGCGGCGCTCGAAAATCTAGTGTCCACTCCCGACGACGAGAATGACGACCACGCTGCAGCCAAAGAAACGCACGATGAACAGCAGAGGCTCCTCACTGAAGCCAATGATGCTCTGGCCAAGGCGCGTTCTGCTGCACATGATGACAAGGCTTGCGTCAACCAAGAATTGAACGCCATTGTCACGCGAAAAGAACGGCTTATCGCCCGCAATTCTAAGCTGACCGAACAGCATGATAGGATCACCCATGCCAATGCTCAAGGACTGAATGAGAAAGAGAGAAGAGCTGCCGAGTCGAATGCCAAGGGAGCTGAACAACAGAAACGCGAGGCCGAGCTCAACCAGGAAATCTACAATCTGGACAGGGATTTGAGGAGCGCAAGACTGCGGTGGGAAAGCAATCTGCGCGAACTCGACATTTTGGAGAAGCAAGAAATGGCTCAAAGACAAATGATGCTCAGCAACAGCGGTCCTCTCACGCCAGAAGGCGAATTGCCTGGTACTCGGCCTCCGCCACAACACGCACGTCCGTATGCGTTTGGCAGCTTCCAGGCATTTCCCAACAGTCCTGTCATCCCCGAAGTCCAAGGCTCCCCTTTCGCTGCCTACGCCAAGACCCTTCCTTCAGGTGACCAACGACGACCGAGATCGGATACCAATCGTTCTGCTGGCGGGATTAGCAATTTCTCAGCCGACTTTGAAGATGCCGATCCGATACCACCGATGCCGACAACCACCGAGTACGATATGAATGGTCGCAAAGGGAGTGGCAGCAGTAGGGGAAAGAACAACGGCAGTCCAGCAGCTGGCGGGGTTATCGGCGGTGCATTGCGCAGTCCGCAGAGAGGCAGTTACAGTCCAGGGCATATTCCGGGTTCAACTACGTGGTAGGACCGCAAAAAACGTCGTCATTTGGATGATTCAGACTTCATGTTGGCTGGTTCTAGGGCTCTGATGTAGTCGAAGTCGGCAGTGGCTTCTTGCCAAAGAAATATTCCTGATCTTTATGCACTAGATGCTGCGCCTCACGCAGTGTCCAGGGGTAGAAGCCTCAGGTCTAACATGTCTTTTCTTACAGCTCCGCCCTATAGAGCTCGGGAGACCCCAAAGAGTTTGCTACAGGGGCTCCTTTAGACCTATTTACGTCTCAGCATGGATGCTAGATGCCTGCAAAATGAGTCAGATCGTCTGGTCACGTGATATCATGCGCCCAATAATTTCTACGTTACTTGCGCCTCACTTTCTGATATGTTAGTCGAATGCTCGCCTCGACCTCTCTCTATACATGCGCAGTCTGCTACGAACGTGTAGCACGAGTCTGTCCCTCAATCGCCGCATCTACCCAACGTTCTCGTCCTCAAGTCTCCGCTATCATCTACGGTACTGTGCCACAATGGCGAAAGACAAGAAGAAGAGCAAGGAAGTGGTGAAGAACCCCAAGGGCACGCGTGACTGGTCTGGTGAGGATATCGACTTGCTCAAAGCCATCAGAAGGCAAATCGAGAAGGTCTTTGAGAACTATCGCGGCTTGGAGCTGGACACCCCAGTCTTTGAGCTGCAGGAAGTTTTAAAGGGAAAATATGGCGAAGATTCTAAATTAATTTACGACCTGCAGGACCAAGGCGGCGAACTCCTCTCACTACGTTATGATATGACGGTCCCCTTTGCTAGGTGGCTGGCTATGAATCCGGATATTGAGACTTGGAGGAGATACGCAATAGGCAAAGTCTACAGGAGAGATCAACCGGCCATATCGAAGGGGCGAATGCGCGAATTCTGGCAATGTGACATTGACTTTGCCGGCGAGAGTGCTCCGATGTTCAATGACAGCGAAATGATTTCGATCATCGTAAAAGTCTTCGAAACCCTGGAGTGGAGCGGGAGGTACACGATCAAGATCAATGACCGAAGAATATTGGACGGACTGTTCGAGGTCTGCGGCGTTCCGGCGGAGAAGATCAGGACAATATCTAGCGCGGTCGACAAACTCGACAAGCTGCCCTGGCTGGAAGTGAAGAAGGAGATGGTTGAGCAAAAGGGGCTCGAAGAATCCGTGGCAGACAGAATTCAAACGTACGTCACGAGAAAGGGAGGGAAAGAGTTGCTGGAGGAGCTGCAGAAAGACGAGGCTCTCATGAGCAATCCCAAGGCCAAAAAGGGCATTGAAGAGATGGACCTGCTGATGCGCTACCTTCGGAGGTGGAAGGCTCTCGATAAAATCTCCTTTGATCTGTCCCTGGCGCGGGGCCTTGACTACTACACTGGTATCATCTACGAAGTCGTCACTGAAGGCTCTGCCCCTACCCGCACACCTGCTCCGGCCACCGACTCCGCGCCTCCTATGCCACCTGTCGCTACCAATGGCGGCTCCAACGGTCTTCCCAGGAGGGAAAAGAAGCAAGTTTCTGAAGACGATGACAGATCCGAAGATCCATCCGTGGGTGTGGGATCAGTGGCTGCGGGTGGTCGCTACGATCACCTCGTCGAGCGATTCCGGCCTGATGCCAATATCCCCTGCGTTGGTGTGAGTTTTGGCATTGATCGGATAATTGCCATCACCAAAGCAAGAATTGCAAAGGGAGAAAAGTTCAGCTACATTGCCCGTAACAGGACCGATGCATATGTTATGGCGTTTGGTGGTTCTGGCTTTGGAGGAATGTTTGAGGAACGGATTGATGTCCTTGTTGCTCTGAGAGATGCTGGTATCAGAGCGGAGACTTTCTGGAAACAGAAGGCGAAGCTGCAAAAGCAATTCAAAGAGGCGGACCGGGCTGGAGCACCGATTGCAGTCATTCTCGGAGAAGATGAACAGGCAAGAGGCGAGGTGAAGGTGAAGCAAATGGGTCTAGCGGAGGGCGACCCGGAAAAGGAAGGAGTCCTGGTCAAGGTCGAAGATCTCGTCGCCAGAGTCCGAGGGCTGCTGGCAAAGATAGACGAGTAAAGAAGATTCGGCAGAGGTCCGGAAGGGGTAAGGGGCAGAGAGGGATCTAGATCATGTTTGGAGTTGAGATGGCGCTCCGAGCCGGCAAGGCTGAGATCGTTAGAACATCGCTTATGTAGACAAGGCTGGCCAATCAGAACCCAGAAGAGCCGGTCGTCTCGCCTCCCGAGCCAAGCGCCCAGGTTGAAACAACCCCTTTGTCTCATCAACTGTTATCTGCTACAATTGACCCTCAACCTGATACGCCCCAGCCACTCGGAGCCTCAACTTCGAGACTGTGATGAAGAAGAAAATGTCGCAGATGGCGTTTGAGATCCCGCTGGGCCAATCGCGACCCGATGGACGCTCTCTGCAGCCACTTTGCCTCTCCTCGCCTGTCTCTTACCCTGTTCACTTCGCAGCATTCGTCGTCTGAAGCCGCTGTCCGGATGCTCATCACACCGAGAACAGTCAGCTCCCTTCAATTTGGTCTTTGTAGGTATCCCCCTTTCCAGCTGGACTTCAAAATGTCCATTTAGAGTCGCAAGTTTCGCACCTTCTTCTCGTCCTCCATCCCCCATCTTCCTCATCCTCCGCTCAAAAGAGTCATTCGTTCTTTGTTGCTGGATCAGCATCTAATTTTCTTTCCCTTATTTGCCATTCCTTTGTGAAAAAGCTCACATTCTATCGCGATGCCGGCTGTCCGCTCCTTTTTCACTCTTTCTCTTTTGGCCGCTTGCCTGGCGCAAGTACGTGTCCTCTGCACCTGTCCGAGTCTTGTGTTCCTTGGCTGACGAGAAGACAGGTTTCGGCAGGTTCCATGGGTGGTGATGGTGGCTCTGGCTGGGGTGGTGACGGGAGCAACCAAGGAGGCCAGTACGGGGGCGGTGGTTACGGCGGTGGCCAAGGTGGCTCTTGGGGTGGTGGTGGTGGCAAGGACAACAATCAATATTCCTCCTGGGAAGCCGCGCCCACCACTGTCCAACCCCAGAGCTGCCCTCCTCAGAGTTGCCCAGCCCAGACTTGCCCGCCCGCCATGACCAGTACAAAGACCGAGACGGTAAGAATTCTGGACTACGCCAAGTTGCGCCAGGTTTCATATCACTGACACTTGATACCAGTCCACCGTGACGGCCGTCTCCCCTTGTATGGGAAGCACCGTGACCGCCTACGTGACTCAATGGATGAATGCTCCACCCGGGTGCTGGTGCGGTGCTGGCAGTCCACCTCCTGCGGCCACTGGATGGGGATGGGGGGCAATGGGCGACGCTGCCGTTTTCACCTCCAGCAATCCGTCATTCACGCCTGGCCTTTCGTCGATCCCAGCCTCTGAAGCCGTCAAGACCGGTGTGACTGTCGCGGGTGGTCCACCGGCTGCGGCCCCGACAGCTGCTGTCTCTCCTGGCGGCTTCTTTGGAGACTCATCGAGTAAGTCTTTCTCACGTCTCACCAAACAAGGCAATTCGAGATCATACCGCTAACATTGACTTTCTCCAGGCTCTGCAGTGACGACATCTGGTACGGAACCTTCTGGCCCTAGTAGCAGCGTCCCGTCTAACATAGCCGAGCCTACTAAAACAGGGGAGGCTCCTGAGCCAGAAGCTTCGAGCTCGACTGCCAGTACAAGCTCGTCGGCGGCAGCACCTTCATCGACGACCTCAACCTCAACAACAACAACAACAACTTCAAAGACTTCCACCACATCAAAATCCTTGCCTTCATCATCCTCATCAACGACAACCTTGTCTTCAAGTGAATCCGCCGCAACCGCGGTGGCAGCCTCAGCGACAAGCGGCGGGTTTCCGGTCGGCTCCTTCAACACTATCGACCCTGCAACCCTGACGCTCAAGAACGCCTATACGCTGGGCATCGGAAGAAGAGCACCTGTACCGACTATGTTATCATAGACTCGCAGAAGAAACGAAAGAAAACCGCGCAGCATTGAATGAATATACCCCTTGATTTTGAGGACATGGACGACATTGGATCGGACAGAACTATTGCATTTCATTTCTTGTATATTGGAGAAGCTGGACTCTAGGCCAGACGCCCCGGGTCTCCTAGCTTTTGAGAGGCACTTTCTTATCGGCAAGTGTCTCGTGTTTGATAGGAAAATTTGACGCAGTGGTATCCTGGGCGCAGACCATATCTGCGTCGTCGGGCCCTGCTTTACTACCATCACCACTTTCCATTCGAGTCTTTTTCGCTCTCCTCTTCATCTCGCGCTTCGAAAGTGGCTTCTCTGCTGTAGGCTGTGTGTCCTGGTCCGCGGAAGTCGGTAGGAGTGATTCGGAAGCTTTGCGTTTCAATCCGTTGGGTACCGTTTCCTCTTTCTTTCCTTTGGCCATTTGGTTTTGGATTGCTTCGTGTCGAGTACTATGCTCCTTTCTTTCCACTCCAGTCTTGCCTGCAAGAGAAGAACTTGCGCCTCCGTCCACGAAATCGATTACACCTCGAAAACTTGTTCTTTTGATACCCGCTAGCCTCACGATCTTCGCGGCTTCTTCGCACAATGCTTCTTTTCCCCTCTCTTGTCCCAGCCCCCAAATCATTGCCAGATTAACCACATCGTGAGGGCCCCTTACTCCCAAGGCATTTTTGGCTTCGCTGCTCAAGATTATCCCCTTGCCCCTCGTTGCGCGAATCAACGCAGTTGCGCCACTGATCAAGTTTCTCCTCGCCTCATTATTGCCTGCCGATTGAATAGAAGGCGAATAGCATATCTCAAAACGGATCCCTCGCTGTAGTGCTCCGGAGACGGTTTTGAACTTGAGGGGGAAGGTGAGTCGTTGAGAGAAGTCGAGGGAGATCAGATCGCAATCGAGGGACGCACAGCAGAGTTGGAGCGTCTTCTCTGTTGTCGGGCGCAGGGCTAGCAAGGAGTATGCCGGCGAGAACTGAGCGAGGCGGTGGTTTTGCGTGGCGTCAGAGATTGTCAGTGTCAGTCGTGTGAGGACGGTGCCGACACTTGCTGGGATGGTGATGGACGATAGAGGGATGGGCTGAGGTGTAGGTGGAAGTTTGCCTGTGACGGAGAGAGCAATGGCAACCACTGAATAACCCAGTTCAGCGTGGAACGCGAGGGTATGAGAGAGGTCTACATGGTTAGGAGTGTACACCACGTTAAGGTCGTGGAAAGGCATATTGTTGGCTGTGAGAGACGCAACTCTGCGTCGGGTCGAGAGCAACGACGAGCATATTGTTACTGAGCCGCGCCCTGGTCGAACTTCACCACAGTATTTCAGCGGTGGTTTTCAGGAAGCTTTGGTGCTGAAATAATGTTAAATGATGTTGAAAAGACCGAGTTTGGCGCTGGCGCAGTGGGAGGTGCCGGGGAAAATATATCCGCCAGTAGTGGGAGTCAAAGGTCAGATCCCTGCCTGATGTGGGATGGCATGCAGATCTGAAGACTTGCCGCAGCACAGATCGCTTTCCGTGCCACAGCTACGGTTCTCTGAATACCACCCACTCACTGCTCCATCTTCATTCTTTGGCCCATTGGCTTGAATCACTTATTGGGCAGTCACCGGTCGTCTTGTTGTGGCTGGCCGTGCTTTTTCTTTTCATTCCATAGTCACTTACGACGACGCCGCACAACTCTAGCCTTGTCCTGCCCTTCCTCCATCCTCCCAACGCATGACCCTGCCCCACGGTCTACTCGTTCTATCGCCGACGCAACCGCACCGCAGCCATGGCGCGCGTCTACGCAGATGTCAATGCCAACATGCCGCGGTCATACTGGGACTACGACTCGGTTGCCATCTCATGGGGTGTTCTGGAGAACTATGAAATCGTCAAGAAAATCGGTGAGGCTTGTCATCAGGTACACACACATCTGACGAGGCGGAATTACTGACGGGAGGGCGGACTAGGTCGCGGCAAATACTCCGAGGTCTTTGAGGGCATCAACATTGTCAACTACCAGAAATGCGTCATCAAGGTGCTCAAGCCGGTCAAGAAGAAGAAAATTAAGCGTGAAATCAAGATACTTCAGAACTTGGCCGGTGGTCCCAACATCGTGGCATTGTTGGACGTGGTCCGGGACAGCCAGAGCAAGACGCCCTCTCTCATCTTTGAGAACGTCGACAACACCGACTTTCGGACCCTCTATCCCCGCTTCGTGGACTACGATGTGCGCTACTATATCTTTGAGTTGCTCAAGGCGCTGGATTTCTGTCACAGCAAAGGGATCATGCATCGAGATGTCAAGCCGCATAACGTTATGATCGATCATGCGAAAAGAAAGGTGAGGAAACCCCATCTACACATGTGATTCGGAGTTTCGGGCTGTGGTTGGTATGCTGACGATGCTGGGGTCAAAAGCTTCGACTTATCGATTGGGGTCTGGCTGAATTCTACCACCAAGGCACAGAGTACAACGTGCGTGTCGCCTCCCGCTACTTCAAAGGGCCTGAGTTGCTTGTCGACTACCAGGAATACGACTACTCGCTGGATATGTGGTCACTCGGAGCAATGTTCGCCTCCATGATCTTCCGCAAGGAACCCTTCTTTCACGGCAACAGTAACTCGGATCAGCTAGTCAAGATTGCAAAGGTTCTGGGTACGGATGATCTGTTTGAGTATCTGGATCGCTATGACATTGAGCTGGACGCGCAGTACGACGACATACTTAGCAGGTTCCCGAAGAAGCCGTGGCAGAGTTTTGTCAATGCAGATAATCAGCGCTTTGTCAGCCCGGAAGCTATCGACTTTCTGGACAAGCTGTTGAGATATGATCACCAGGTATGCGACATTGGATTTGTTGATTATCCTGTGGTTGGACGCTGACTGAGTTTAACTAGGAGCGACTTACTGCTCAGGAAGCAATGGCACATCCCTACTTCGCACCAGTGAGAAATGCTGCGGCACAGCAACAACAGCAGCAGCAACAGCAGCAAAACTCCCAGAACCATGTGTCTTGAGACAAGCATGACTAGAAGGTGCAACCACACATCTCCTGGGATCTCACCATGAAGGACAAGAGACCGAGGCATCCCACGGGGATTTCTCTGAACGAGTGATGAGAGACGACGATGATGCAAACTCCACAGCGCCGCGGCAGTGCAACAAGGTTCTGTTCAAGATGTAGGCTCAAACATGTGGATTTTGAAGACGAGTGAAGGCCGGTACGAGGAGATGAATGAAGTCTGCGAAATTATCTTCTCGGAGAGAGGAACGAGGAAACGAGGAATGAGGAACGAGGAGCTGTGGAAAGGGGCTTGTGTTGCAAGGAAGTCAGGAACTCAACTCACTTTTGACACGGTAGCGTAATACATTTTCGTAACAATATCGTCCCCTGGACCTTTTGCGGCTCTATATTCGTCTGGTGAAGCTGCGAAAAGGATGAGCCCGGTCGTCCTTCAGCCTGGTATCCTTCGGTTCTGAGGGAGATGATGCAATGTTGTGATTCTGACCAAATCTCGCGACCAGAAGTTATCGTGACAGCTGGTCCCGGCCTATACCACACTTCTACGCCTTTTTCCGATGTTGTCTCTCTCTCTCTGGTTTGGCTACAGATCCCTGTCTCCACACGATTGTTCACTTTGTCTGTACTCCAGGTCTTCAGCAGGGTTCGTTGGATTACCTCTAAAACGCCCTCTGATCAACATTGTGAGCCGAGATACTTCACTGTCGATTATCGAAAGGTCCTTGAACCAGATTTGTTCGGGGTATCTCAGGGAAGAGATACGGGACTATTCTCGACTTCGCCCTCGAGTAGGGTCCTCAGAGTCGAGGAATCTCTGATCTTGCCTTGTGGTATTTTTGAGCCTTTCAAGAACCTGTATCAAACTTTACATTTGTCGATCGAGGTCAAAGACAACAAAGATACTGATTACGGAGCACCCCATCCGTCTCGCGAGTCTCTCATACAACCCGATCGCTACTACTGTGGCCACATTTTTGACAGGTTTCCCTGGGCAAGCTCGGATGGCCTTCTTATGAATCATGCTTGCTCTGAGATCAACTTCTCTGGAACTCCAGTTGGCGACGCTGCACTTCCCACTCGACGACAGCCGCTGGAATGAAAGCCTGGTGGTTCGACTTGTTGATGTGTTGATGTCATGGGTGCCAAGGCGCTAATGGCGAGGCTGCATCGACAACATATTCTACATCTTCGGCTGTACATACACGTTGCATTCTTTGGTTCTTGTAGGGTTTCCTTCCAGCGGTCGAGACTTTGTCAATAGACCACTCAATACATCAAGCAATTCTGCATCTTGAACATTGTCAGATCATGTCTTTCCCCTGGTATTCCGGGCTGCTTTGACATTCGTGGCTCTGTGCCTTCTTCCACAATCCGATTGCTCCCTTCCATATACACGGTATATTAGTAGAAAACAGTAAGTCTGTCAGCATTCTTGAAGATTACCGAAGCGTGAATAGAGTACTCAGGATGCTCGTGACCTTTTGGTCCTGTTCCGGATTGCTTTTGAACGCCATGAGCATGCTGGGATGTGTTGGGTTGAAATCGACGCCGCTACTGTACTCTGGGGGTGGTGACAGAATGCATACACCAAAGGGCAACAGTCTCATGTGAAAAACCACAACTACAAAAGTCACATGTGACACCAGAAAAACCCCACTATACAATTTAAAGTCACAGAAATTCTTCCACAATCGCAAAGACCCCTACTCAGGAAAGAGACTTACAGAGTCAACAAAACCTAAAAAAAGTGAGAAAGAGACTTCACGAAGTCAACAAGGTGGAATTTGGTTCTAGTAGGCGATCCTCCGACCTCCGACCTCCTTCCTCATCCTCCTCCTCCGACCGAGCGAGAAGATATATCAGGAACCTGGCACCGGGCCAAAAAGGAGTCAATATATCTCAACAACGGAAAAACCTGCCACGGCGGGTTTAACTTCCCACCACCCCCTTCGAAAGGGGCTTGGTGGAAAAAGTTTTTTTGCATTTTCTGGGGACGTGGATTTTGAAAAGGGCGACTGATCTTGTGTGCGTGTGTGGCATTGACTTGTTGTGCCCTAACCGGCGTCGTTGATGGCGGCGGCCTCCTTCGACTTGGCGATTTCTGTCGGATGTTGCGCCAAGGATGTTGAGAGTGGCCACAGCTCAAGATGAAGTGTTTTGTGATCGATTCTACTCTTGCTCGGTCAATACAAATACAACCACAGTGTCTGATTGTCTGACTCTCTAGGTTGGGCAGGGAGATATCCGGAAGAACTAAAGAGCACTTTGCCACTACCACGCTGGGCGATGTTGGAGCGAATGCTGAAGATGCTTGGAAACACGAGACACGAACACGAGACTGGATATTGGAACACTAGACTTTGAGACACATGACTCTCAGTCCTCACTGCAGTCGGCTTCCAGGCTGATAACAACGCCTCTCAAACTGTCCAGCTGCGGTCGCTGTCCTGTCAGGATCTCTGCCAAATGGGATTTCGAGGAACCCTGAAATGCGCCGTCTACTTCTTTCCGACCAGGCCAAGTCCACTATCAAATGCAAGGCACGGACATCCCTCGTCTCCGCTTTCCACTGCATACACCTGCTTGGACTTTTGGATATCCACAAATGTCTTCAAATGACAGAGCCCCCAGCAGGGCGTCATTCAAGGAATTGTTCCTCCAGCAGCAGAGGACAGCCCCTTTCGGGAACGGAGCTGGTTGTTGCGTGTTTGCAGCCTCCACTGGCAATTCCAGTGCTGGTATGGTACCTATACTGGTCAAATCTGGGCAGAGTGGCAGTCAGTTGAACCCGTTGATTCATGTGAGTCTTGCAAGATGACATGGATGCCTGAAAGAATACGAGTCAGGCTTCAGCACTGATCAACCGAACCTTACTCGTTCGGTACAAGATATGGGGCGACCAGAGTACCTACCTACCTAGGTAGGTACTTGGACGTATTTCAGACCTAAGAGACCCACCCAAGTCCTAACATAGCCCTGGCAGAGCCTGGCAGCATCAGCATCGTTTCGCACCCATTTGATCTTTCTGACGCGCTTTGACTTCTTCGAGGTACCTGGTACCCAAAAAGCCAAACTTGAGATGCACAGCCTCGGTAACCGATACTCTCTTGAAATGGCTTGGTGTCAGGGGGCCAGATACGGGGGCGGGAGAGTTTCTTTACACTCTCTTGGCGTGGGATTCCGCTGACCTGCATTAGTCCTTAGAATACCCAGACACGGTACCGAGTATATGTCTTGTCTTTCTGCTAATGTCGATGTTGATACGCCACATGGGGGCCAACTCCCTCAGGGCAGAATCAACGTCAAACCTCTGCTGACCCCGACAAGAAACATCCGTGAGAACGGTTCCAGATTCTGAGTCCAGCCCTATGTCTTTCAGACGTACGTCCTCTAGCCTACCGAATGGATCTTGATGTTCTGTAGGAGTGGACGTTCGCCGACGCCACACATTTCTTGCTATTGCAATCCGTCCATCCATCTCAGGAAGGCGTTTCATGCCTAAAAAGGGGGTTTCCCGCTCCTTGGCGTGGTCAGCAATAGGGTGTTTATAGGATCTAATCCCGTTCTCAGGCTCGTATGCGAGTCCTTTCACATTAAAGGAATCTCTTAAAGGTGTCTCTCACTCTCTCCCCTGGTTCCACTTGGGTCTTTGGTCGTACCAGTACTCGTGTACTTGCCCTGCCAGTCTTTGTCCATTCTCTTCGAACAACCAACTACGCAACACACCAAGGTTTGGCGGGAGAGGCTCGGTTTTTCAGCGTGTCTAAACTTGATCTCCAAGAAACTCCTCGTGTCTGGTGTTACACAAGCCTCTCTCCTCCCCCCCTTTTCCCGGCCAATTATTCCGCGTGGAAATCAAGAAATCACTACGAACTACTATATTCCCGGCCTGTTTCGGTCTAGCCTTCTTGTTCTCTTTGTCTGGGTTTAAATTTATTAAAGGTCTAATAACGACGAAGATACATAAAAGCAGACCCAGGACTGAGGCGACTTACAAGGCCTGAGCAAATAATGATGGCGGCCCCAGCAGACAATCTTACGGCCCTGCTCGCCTTACGCGACTCCCTCAATGCGTCGATTGATGCGCTTTCTGCCCTCTCGCCCGAGGAGAGAACCCAGCCGCCCAAAGTCAATCAAGTCCGCCAGCAGATATGTTCCACCGCGACGCGAATTGCCAGCGAGACGGTCAATGCTTCGCAGGAAGCGACTCGGATCGCCTTCATGGTGAGGAAAGATTTCTTTTTCTGGTGCAAAATCATCCTTTTGAACTTGTGCCGCCTCAAAGCTTCGTTCATTGACACTGGGTATCTTAATAGCCATGGCTGAATGCGGTCGTGCGGACCGCGTTGGAGCTGGACCTCTTCAACCTCCTTGGACAATCTACGACTGCGTCCGAGCTGGCGCAAAAGACTGGAGCGGAGGTGACCTTGATAGGTATGCCTCATTTTCGTGCCGCAGGGGGTGTAGGGAGGACTCTTGAGAAGTTGTTCTGCTGACATGCATGCCCTGGTCAGTGCGCCTCATGCGAGTCTTGACGGGCTTTCATATCGTCGCGGAGCTTGGGGAGGAAACATATGCGGCGACGCCTGTTTCGCGAGCGCTAACCATGCCGGCCACGGCGGACTTGAACAAGCACATGTATGTTCCTCCTTTTCTCCCCTTTCCATTCATCCTATGCATTGGCTCTTTCGCTTGCCATTCCGTTGTCGAGCTTCTCCGTCAAAATTGAGCCAGTCGGGGCAACTGATGTCTCCTGTTGTGGATTACCAGATTCGATAGTAGCTGGGGCTGTATCGGAAAGATGCCTGCTTACCTTGCCGACCTGGGCTACAAGAACCCCGACCAGCCTGACAAGACCCTTTCGCACTATGCAACAGGGACTGACTTCTTTGCGTACCTACGCAATGATCCCGGGCGCCTTGCTCGCTTCAACTCGGCTATGAAAGGTGCTGCGACCTTACTTACCAGCCCTGTTCCGAGCTCCCTGGTCGAGTCTGGGGCAGGTGAAAGTGGCGTCGTAATGGTCGATATCGGCGGAGGCCATGGTCAAGTTACGCAAAAGGTCATGGAAGAGAATCCGCATCTCAAAGGACGTTTCGTCGTCCAAGACCTCGGCGCTATCATCGACGAGGCACGGGCCAGAAATCCCAAATACGAAGTCATGGAGTACGACTTTTTCACTCCACAGCCTGTTCATGGTCAGTACCACCACCCTGCAATGTATTCTCCGTGCAGTTCGATATCCCGGACACCCTGTTCGAAAGAGCCCTTCCCTTATCTCACAATAACCGCGGCCTAACGTTTGCATAGGAGCGCGAATCTACTTCATGCGTCGTGTACTGCACGACTTCCCGGACTCCAAGTGCCGCGAGATCCTGACGAACCAGATCCATGGCATGGTCAAGGGCCAGTCGAAATTGCTCGTCTGCGAAACCGTCCTGCCGGCAGTAGGGTGCAGCGGCTTCGAGTCGCTCGCGGACATCAGCCGCACGACCTTCAGCTCCATGCAACGGAGCGAAAAACAATGGACGGCGCTGCTGGCGAGCGTCGGCCTCAAAGTTGTCAAGATATGGCCTTCCAAGGGAGGCCCGTTTTCTGTCATCGAGTCAGAGCTCCAATGATTCGGTGACCATGGGGCGGGTGCCGTGTCTGGACACAGATAAAGCTGTGAGCAGGAGCAAGAGAAATTTAGAATGAGTTTCTTCGTTGTACCGCCGTACGTTCGTCTTGATCAACGGTTTCGTCTGCAAAGCCGAGCAACATTCCAAGCTCAAATGCTGTACGAGATACTCGGTACAATACATGCATTTGGCAAACTGTCACGATGGACAAGAAAGGAGACGCTGGAGAAGCTAGTTAAGCATGCGCCAAGGATTTCCCTAGTGGATGGCCAAGCACAAATCACGTGGAACCCCGTCTCCCTGCAGCGTAATTGCGCCTGTGCTCGTCTGTATCCCCAGAGTGATGATTCTGGCGCAAATGTTCAACCTGGGACTCATAAATCTCCCATTAATCGTAGATTGTTGTCCAGTCTTACAGCAAAGCCTCTTTTGACTCTCTCGATCTATGACTCTTGATTTCTTCTACTCGTCGCCTTAGAATTGACCTGAAAAGCAGGAACACATTGCAGCCACGCCGAAAGGCAGTCGAGCAAAATACTCATCAGATCTTTGCTTCGGCGCCCTCCTGCTTGGAGACGGCTTTCTCGTTTCAACATGGCGCTCAATGCCGCATCCCACAACATAAGTATGTCGAACGTTGGGTGTTGATCAAGTCTTACAACGTACACTGACATGTCTGCAAGCTGGCGAGCCAACTGGTTCCCCCTCTGGTCCCCCGCCTCCAGTGTCCTCCGAGATAACCTCTGCCGCCAAAAGCTCAGCCGCACAAGACGCCATGGGCCAGAATGTCCCTGGGAAGGACCTAAAAAACAACGAGAAAGGTCAAACAGTGATGGGCGAAGCAGGCAAGGAAAAAACTGCCAAAGAAAGTATGCAAGATAACCTTCAAGGCTCGCATTGATGAACTCCTCCATCTCGTATCTGTATATGAAAGATGCGGACTACACAGACAAAAAGATGACTCACCCGAAGCCAAGAACCGGACTGCCAAACGTTCCATGGTTTGTGACTGGGAAGGCATCTATGAAGGGCGGGCAAGGTCTTGTAGTCATATCACTCTTTTCCCTCAATGACAATTCACTCGTTGCACCCACAACGTCGCTGCTCATATCCACTCCGTGCAAAGAATATTAAGTCTGACTATCATGCCTTCTGCAGTTGAGAAAGAGCGTAAGAAGGCAGAAAAGCTGGCCAGGTTCCAAGAGAAACAGTCCAAGAAACAGACCGCGCCCACTCCCGCAGGTGATGCCACCAAGTCCGCAAAGAAAGAAAAGGTCAAGAAACCTGCCGCCGCCGATGCTTACGAACCTCAAAAGATCGAATCTGGCCGCTATGAGTGGTGGGAGAGCAGAGGCTACTTCAAGCCGCAATTTACAAAGGAAGGGAAAGTCAAACCAGAGGGCAAATTCGTCATTCCGATACCTCCTCCCAATGTGACGGGATCCCTGCATATGGGCCACGCCCTTACGAACGCGCTGCAAGACACCATGATTCGACATGCGAGAATGAAGGGCAAAACCACGGCCTGGATCCCTGGCTGTGACCACGCCGGTATAGCCACGCAAAGTGTGGTGGAAAAGATGGTTTACAAGACCGAGGGCAAGACCCGGCACGATCTAGGCAGAGAAGTCTTACTGGAAAGGATCTGGAGCTGGAAGGAGAAGTACCACGCCAACATCACGAACCAGCTCAAACGTTTGGGAGGATCTATGGATTGGTCACGTGAGGCTTTCACCATGGACGACGATCGTTCCTATGCTGTGCGGAAGACGTTTGTCGACCTATTCGAAGATGGTATCATTTACAGGGCGGACAGGTTGGTGAATTGGTGCTCTGCTCTTTGCACCTCCTTATCAAACCTCGAAGTGGACAACAAGGAGCTCAAAGGGCGAACCAAGTTGAAAGTGCCGGGGTATGACAAGATGATTGAATTCGGTGTTCTCACTTACTTCAAATACCCCATCAGCAAAGGAGATGACTCACACAAATCGTCGACCTCGCCAGACCGCTTCAAGGGCTATGAGTTTATCGAGATCGCCACAACCCGTCCGGAAACCATGCTTGGTGATACCGCTATTGCCGTGCATCCCGACGACAAGAGATATAAGCACCTCGTAGGCAAACTGGCCATCCACCCCTTCATTCCAGATCGCAAGATCGTGATCATTGCAGACGAAGAGGTGGAGATGGACTTTGGTACTGGAGCCGTGAAAATCACCCCGGCACACGACCCCAACGATTTTACCAAGGGCAAGAAGCACAACCTGGAATTCATCAATATCCTCAACGATGATGGCACGTTGAATGCAAATGCCGGGCCTTATGCGGGTCAAAAAAGGTTCGACGTCCGATACGCTGTGATCAACGACTTGAAAGAGCTCGGCCTGTATACCAAGCAGGAAGATAACGCAATGACGATTCCCATGTGCCAGAGGAGCAAAGACGTGATTGAGCCAGTCCTAAAACCACAGTGGTGGATGAAGATGGCGGATATGGCCAAAGCCGCGGACGACGCCGTGCTGGACGGTCGAATCCTGATCAAACCTGAATCAGAGTCACGACGCTTCCATTTCTGGATGCAGAATATCCAGGATTGGTGCATTTCTCGACAACTCTGGTGGGGTCATCGAGCACCGGCCTATTTTGTTGAGCTTGAAGACAAGACAAGTGACGAAGCTGACAGCCACTACTGGGTGGGGGCTCTGACTGAGGATGAAGCTCGAGCCAAGGCGGAGAAGAAATTCCCTGGAAAGAAATTCACGCTGAGATGGGATGAGGATGTGCTCGACACCTGGTTCTCCTCGGGTCTTTGGCCATTTACGACGCTTGGGTGGCCAAAGGAGACTTCCGATATGCGGGAATTATACCCGACCAGCATGCTGGAGACCGGGTGGGATATTCTATTCTTCTGGGTGGCGAGAATGGTCATGTTTGGTCTGAAATTGACCGGCGACGTGCCCTTTACAGAGGTCTACTGCCATTCGTTGATTCGAGATGCGGAGGGACGAAAGATGTCCAAGTCCTTGGGCAATGTGATTGACCCGCTGGACATCATCAGGGGCATCACGCTGGAAGATCTCCACAAGACATTGTATGCCGGTAACCTCGATCCAGCCGAGATTGAGCGAGCCAAAACATACCAGAAGACAGCTTTCCCCAAGGGTATTGAGGAGTGCGGCGCTGACGCCCTACGGTTTACGCTCGTGAACTACACCACTGGTGGAGGCGACGTGGCCTTTGATATCCGGGAGATCGAAGCAAAGCGACGGTTCTGCAACAAGATCTACCAAGCAACTAATTTTGCACTGGGAAGACTTGGAGGAGACTTCGTCCCTGATACAACACCAACGGACAACAAGCCCAAATCGCTGGCAGAGAAATGGATCCTTCACAGACTCAACGTGGCTGCGAAGGAGGTCAACGATGCCATCGAGGGACGAGAGTTCTCGGTGGCTGCGGGCACCCTGTACCAATACTGGTTCACCCAGCTTTGTGATACATTCATCGAGAACTCGAAATATATCCTTACACCGGAGGCTCCTGAGGATGAGAGAAGGTCGGCTCAGCAAACGTTGTACACAGCACTTGAGGGCGGTCTGCTGCTGATGCACCCGATTATGCCATTCCTCACAGAGCATTTGTGGCAGAAGCTCCCACGTCGGAAAGGTGACAGCACCGAGAGTATCATGATCGCGAAGTATCCCGAGTTCAACGAGAAATTGGATGCTCCTCAAGACGCTCAGAAATATGAGTTCATCATGGACATTGCATCGGGAATTCGAAGCCTGCTTTCGCAGTACGCCTTCAAGGAACCCGGTGATGTGATCATCCAAACTTATTCGGACTCGGCTTTCAAGACCGTGTCGGAGGAACAAACATCCATCAAATCTCTAGGCGGCAAGTACGCTGGCAAGATTGAAGTCCTGCCACCAGCCACGAACTCCCTTCCGCCTGCTGGGTGTGCTCTGCAGAGCATCAACGCAGACGCCGCCGTGTATCTCAAGATTGCGGGACGGATTGATGTGGCGGAGGAGTTGAAGAAGCGCCACAAGAGCATTGAGGATGCCAAATCCCGAGCAGACAAGAGCAAGAAGATCATGAGCGGAGCCGGGTGGGAGAAGGCGAGTAAGGATACGAAGAGAAAGGAGGAGGAGAAACTTCAGGACGCCGAAAGCGAAGTGAAGCGATTGGAGGAGGCCGTCAAAGATTTGGAGAGGTTGAAGCTGGAGGGTTGATTGATAGACATAAAGAATTGTCCACGGGGGCACTCGAGGATTGACTGGGCCACTGGATAAAGAAGATTGTGGCATGTCCAACATGGTTGACGACATGGCCCCAAAAAGACACATGTATATGTTATTGCGTACGAGCACCAAGTAGAGGTCAAGATCGGGTCGGGTCAGAGGAGAGATGTCCTTGTCTGTTTGTCTCTGTTCCAGCTTAACGAGTTGCGTGACACCTGTCTACCTACATACACTCCTACCGACCCGCCCAGTACCTAGCGAGAGGTATCTACCTTGGTATGTATTATTGTATGTTATTTACAGTAGGCACTGGGTGTCAGAACAAGTCGGAAATCGATAGCCGAACCCTCTTCTTGAATTGGGAACCTCACGGGCTTCTCACTAAAAACCCTGTGGGTAGTAAAAGTATGAAACATTGGCACGGACCGCACGGCGATGGAGATTTGATCTATGAGAACACGCGACACAACGCAGAGTCCAAAGCAAGCGCCAGGCCTTTCAGTTGACCCCTTCCGGGCTTTTCTTTATCATGTTCTTCCCGTTGGGGCCGGTGAGTGCTTCGCAGTTGACCATATATCGACTGCCGGGCGACCAAAGTAGAGAGTAAGAATACCATGACTATTGCTTCGAAATTTGTGTGCGTCGGATATACAACCCTCTCGCGGCGCCAAATCCAAATGGTTGTCGACCCCCCTGGAGGGAGGAAGCCTTGGGGAATTAGGACCTTAGTGTATGGTAACGTTTGTACCTGGAGTCTTATTTCAGCGCCTCGTCCAACCACAAGTGTCGGTATGGAGGATGACAGATCTCCAGTCCCACAACACAAGTTGCCGAATTCTCGGAAACCTTCAAAAAACCATTCTTGTGTGATTGATCACGAGCGAACCTCGGGCCACTGGACATGGGTGATCGGCAAGGATGGCTGCGCGTTGTCGGAGGGAGGGTTGATCACGTTGGGTACTCCGGGATATGAATGTCGAGGACACCTCGAGAAGAATCAGGTAACTGCGCCTGTGAACACTGGAGAAGTTCTCGGTAATCTGGGCACAGGAAGCCCGTCATTTTCCGGGGACCTTCGGGCAAAGGAATAACAAGGATGCATGGATGCAATAATAATCCTAATTAATTGATCAGTACAAGGCTCAAAGTACATGCAAGTACAAATACAGCGTCTAGAAATCCCTTCGAACCTGAAGTCCTGCGGTGGACCAACTGCGACGCGTCCAATTGCGTGCTCCTCGGTCCTACACAATTTGTTCTGTCCAAATAATTGTACGAGTATTTTTCTTCTTCTCTCTATGCAGGCTTGCTAAGCCCTTCTCGCCCTCATGCCCTCATAATAGCACCAGACAGCAGCATGGGTTGAACGAGTCCGGAAGAGTCAAATTGACAATTTTCCCTTTTTTTCCACCTCCCTCCCTCCCCCCCTGCGTTTACGAGCTGCACGTCACCAGCAACGCCCGGCAGCTCCTCCCTGGGTGCCTCCTTTCCCCCCAAATGCCGCTGACGCACTTGTTCCGCGCTGAAACGCGACACATGTCCTCTTGTCAACGGGCCTGCCTCAGCATTACCAACTCTAGTCAAATCCTGTTTCGGACTCGAGGATGCAGAGCCTCCAGCTACTCGTCCTATATTAACAACAGATTGCATGCTTCCCGGCATCTTTCGAGAATGTCCTTCCCTCTCCTCAATCGCCTCCCGTCTGTCAATCCTCTTGCCTCGCGAATGTCAATGACGCGGTCGACCACCCAGCAGCAGTCGAGAGGTCATGCGGGACACTCGCACCACGGCCACGCACACGCCCACGACACCACCTACCTGACCTCGCAGAACAAGAACGATGCTGGCGTCAAGATCACAAGGATTGGGCTGTTCGTCAACCTGGGCATGGCCATTGGGAAGGGCGTAGGGGGTGTCGTCTTCCACTCTCAAGCTCTGATTGCCGACGGCTTCCACGCTCTCACCGACCTGGTCTCCGACTTCATGACCCTTGCCACCATCTCTTGGTCCCTCAAACCCGCCACGAATCGATTTCCTAGTGGTTATGGCAAGATTGAGAGCTTGGGTGCTTTGGGAGTGAGCGGACTGTTACTGTTCGGAGGTGTGGGTATCGGGTTGAATGGGCTGGATGCCCTCTACACACAGTTGATGCTCGATCCTGCGGTTGTGGCCCACGCTCATGACCACGCTGAACATGCTGGTGGTGGTTTGTTCTCCTTTCTTGGACATAGCCATAGTCATGGTCCCATATTACCTGATCTCAACGCCGCCTGGCTTGCAGCCGGCTCTATCGTGGTAAAGGAATGGTTATATCGAGCTAGTAAGTCTCAGCATGAACCCTATCTCTCTATGCGCACCCTGCTAATCTAGTCCTCCAGCTATGAAGATTGCCCGAGAACGCAAATCCTCCGTTTTAGCCTCCAATGCGGTCCATCACCGCATAGATTCGTTGACCAGCATTGTGGCCCTGGCTACGATTGGGGGTGCACATGTCTTTTCGGACGCCTCGTGGCTCGACCCTGTGGGCGGGCTGATCATTTCCGCCATGGTAATAAGAGCAGGCTGGAACAACACAAAAACTGCTCTCCTCGAGCTCGCAGATGTCACCGTGGACGATGAGATCAAGGGCCTAGTCCGCAGAGCCGCATCCAGAGCTCTCAAAGGCGATGCTGCAAATGGCATTGAGCCTGTCAAGTTCGGGAATGAGACCGAGATCAGAGATATACAAGGCGTCAAATCTGGTCAGAATTATCTGATAGACATTGAACTCGGGGTTCCCAAGGACTTCACCCTGGAGCAGATGGAGCAGATTGAAGACGCCGTGCGAGAAAGATGTGGTTCCAAGATCCGCGGAGTGAGACGAGTTCGCGTCAAATTCGTCCAGTTGGACGATGCGAGGGCCACGCTCGCAGGTGATTTCATTGTCACGGACGTGAGTCCAAGAAGCAGTCCCGAGCCCGAGGATGAGCGCGATGACCATAACCATCATCATCATGGAGAAGGGCGAGGACATGACCATGCCCACGAACACGCAAATGGCCACGCAAATGGCCATGCCATCACCTCGAGCCAAAGAAAAAAGGATACCTGAACCATTGTGGAAGCCTTGTGTGGTTCCACCAGGGAGGCCGATTCCAATGCACCGCGGAATTTTACAGCCGGTGATATCAGGCTGATATCATTGCGCCAAGAAGCCCGTCAGAAATGTTGCTCCCCCTCACCATCCGACGTGCATTTACTCCACCTCTACTTTCATCATTTGGGGAGAATTTCTTTTGTTCCTAAAGGTGTGAGTATCTGTTATGCTTGACGGACGGTAGACAAAACATCACCTATTGAGCATCCGAGTCAACTGTCTGGTCGGGATCCATACCATGACCTCTACCGGCCCTCTATATCTCGGCTTCGATCTATCCACCCAGCAATTGAAAGGCTTGGTAGTCGACTCCAGTTTGAAAAAGGTCCATGAGGCCAAGTTCGACTTTGACGCCGATTCTCAAGGTTTCCATGTAAATAAGGGTGTTCTTGTGAACGAAGCCGAGCATGAAGTCTTCGCACCAGTGGCAATGTGGCTGCAGGCCATTGACACACTCTTGGCTCGTCTAAAGGATGGTGGCCTCGACTTCAGTCGTATCAGGGGGATTAGCGGTTCAGGCATGCAGCATGGGAGTGTTTTCTGGAATGCCGATGCGGAACAACTGCTGTCCCAGCTCGATCCTTCAAGAACACTGGAGGCCCAGCTTGACGGAGCGTTCGCCCATCCCTTCAGTCCCAACTGGCAGGACGCAAGCACGCAGAAGGAATGTGACGAGTTTGACGCCGCTCTGGGCAACGAGTCGCAACTAGCAAATGTAACGGGCAGCAAAGCGCACCATCGCTTCACCGGGCCGCAAATTCTACGATTTCAACGTAAATACCCAGATAAATATATCAAGACCTACCGGATCACCCTGGTGTCATCCTGGATCGCTACTATCTTCCTCGGAAAATATGCACCCTTTGACATCTCAGATGTCTGCGGCATGAATCTATGGGATATCAAAGCCGGTAATTGGAATGAGAAACTGTTGGAACTTGCTGCAGGACCCTCTGGCGTGGAGGCGTTGAAGAAGAAACTCGGCGATGTGCCTCAAGACGGCGGTGTCCACTTGGGCACCGTCTCTCCCTACTTTGTTAAGCGACATGGCTTTTCGGATGAGTGCACCATTATCGCCTCGACCGGTGACAACCCTTCCACAATCCTTGCCTTGCCGCTGCGCAGCAACGATGCCATGGTCAGTTTAGGGACAAGTACCACTTTTTTGATGTCCACTCCCGAGTATAAACCAGATCCGAGCACGCATTTCTTCAACCATCCGACTACACCCGGGTTGTATATGTTTATGTTGTGCTATAAAAATGGCGGTCTGGCGAGAGAGAAGGTTCGCGACGCGATCAATGAGAAGCTGGGAGTTGGCGAGAAGAACTCGTGGACAGAGTTCGACAAACGGCTGCTTGATACGCCACCCCTCGCTCAATCGGACGAGAAAGACTCCATGCATCTAGGTCTATACTTCCCCCGTCCTGAAATCATTCCTAACCTACCGGTTGGAGAGTGGCATTTTTCATACAAGCCCCAGACCGATGAGCTCAGCCCCGAGAAATCTGTACCGCAGCCCCCAGAACAAGACGCTAGGGTCATTGTGGAAAGTCAGTTCCTCTCTCTCCGGCTCCGCTCTAGGGAACTCGTCTCGAGCCCTGCAAAGGATCTGCCGCCGCAGCCACGCCGGATCTATCTGGTAGGTGGTGGGTCACGCAACAAGGCCATCGCCCGCGTTGCGGGTGAGGTGCTCGGCGGCTCCGAAGGTGTCTTCAAGCTTGACGTCGGCGAGAACGCGTGTGCCTTGGGCGCTGCTTACAAGGCAGTCTGGGCGGTGGAGCGAAAACAGGGCGAGACGTTTGAGGAGTTGATCGGCAAGAGGTGGCGCGAGGACGAGTTTGTCGAGAAGATCGCGGATGGTTACAACGCCCCGGTGTGGGAGAAGTATAGCAGCGCACTGAAAGGGTTTGAAGAAATGGAGACGAGGCTGCTGAGGGAGCATGAGAGGAAAGGGGAGTGAAAAAAGGGCTGTTGGCAGTCGTGTCGACAGTGGGGAACCAACAAAAAGGGGCCACGCAGAGGCTATCCAGTTCTGTCTGGCTAGACTTTGGAGAATATATATCTATATCAAATATTCAACCCACAAATCAAAGCGTGATTAGTGAATAAACCACCACTACTCTCGGGTCGATATGTCGCCTTCATTTCCAGGTGGGAAAGAAGTCAATTGATGTTTTGGGAGAGTCCGTGGACCTGTTTCTGGAGCTGTGCCGAGTAATTACTCCGTCCGAGTGGTATGGGTCTAGCAAGGGCGAGTATGTAAGGCTTTACTACCCAGCTACCAAGTAGTGAGGGTTGGGTTGAGTCTCAAGCTCCGCCCTTGGGTATCCGATCCTGGCGTGGGTTTTTTTTTTTTCGAACAATATTTTTCAGAAGTTGTCCATGCGGATAGATGCAGGATTGAATTTCCACGCTGTATAGCCCGGCTGTCTGTTCCTGCGTGACGAATGTCTCCAGACGCGCGCACTCGAGAGAGAGTCTTTCTCCATTGAGATATTCTGGATGCGCCCAACGTATAGCAGTGCCAGTTCCAGTTCCAGTCCCAGCGACAGCGCGCCAGCCTTTTGACTTGCTGGTATCGTCGGAATCCATTCTCCCCCCAAAAAAGTCTAGGTCCCATTCCTGATCAAGAGCCCCCGTGTTCGCCATATCGTACAAAGTGATCTCCCAGTTCCGTTTCACTTGAAAAACCTTCCCATCACGTTACTCGCGAGACTCCTCGCCAGTCCAGAGCCCGAGAGAGCCGACCCGGCAAAACTCGAGGCCTGGCTAAACTTGTCGCAGCGCGAGAATGCGACGGTGTTGGTGATGGTGAGGACCAATGCAATCACTACTCATGCAGATTAGTATTTTACTCCACGAAGCATGAAGAACGTCACGTTTGAGCACTCCAGCGCTGAAAACTCGAGAGGCCTCGCATGAGGAGTTAACTCACCAACCGTCACCAGCCAGATGAGATTTTGCAGCCTCACCAACGCCAGAATTGCGAGGCCGACCCACAGCGCCGGCACAGTGTACATGCTCAACCAGAAGAACCTCTTGTCCGTCTTGTTCTCCGTCCTGCCCGTGCCCGCCGCGGATTCAAACACCCAGTGCGAGTCGCCCGTGGAGGTGTTGACCTCGTTCCACCAGCGAAGGCCCACGAGGCGACGTCCGGCGATGTTCTTGAGGTAGTAAAAGTCGATGGACAAGAGGAGGAGGGTGAGGATGAAGACGAGGACGAAGTTGCGGATGAAGAGCACGCCGAAGAGGTACATGAGGAGACTTCCTGAGTTCTCGAATTAGCGAGGGGCCTCTCTCTCTCTCACTCACTCTTTGTTTGCGCTGTAACACAGGTTCCAGGTAGCATAAAAAGGGCGACAAAACATTGGGTAAACACGTTAGACTTACCTATTCGGAAGCCTAGATATGTGAGAAGAGTGATGGGATGGGCACTAAGGCGCCAGTTTAGGGAGCCCGGCTCGTCTGCCATGGTTTGGTTGGATCCGACCCTGGATTCTTTTTATATTTTATGAAGACTGCTGCGGTCGCATGTTCAAGCGGGACAGGGCGGGAGAAACTGTGGACTTTGTGTCAACGACAAAGGATCGATGAAGCGTGGTGGAAAGGAGTTAGTTGGGCACGCGCGTTTGGAACACATGAATTGATCCTCGATTATTGCACGAGGTGGGCGGAGAATGACCAGAGTTGCGCCTCGCTGCTTTAATATTACTGGCGGACTCTCCAAACGGACTCGGGCTGCCACCTCACCACCTATCGCCCAGTTGAGCATCGACACCTACGTCCCCCATCAGTGTGAGAGAGGACACCAGGAGGCTGTATGGCTCCTCTACCGACAACAAACTGATCATGTCCCCATCCCTTCCACCCCGTCCCGCGAGATCACCTGCGAGACCCGCTCAAAATACCTCCGCACATGTGCCTGCTGGCAGTCGAAAGATTCGACCTCTGGTCTACGCAATCGGCATCGCCGGTATAGTCGCATCGGGGGCGTTTATCGGCGCGATCCTGAAGACAAGCAGACAACAGGAGGCTGCAAGAAAGGTATGCTAGATGCCTCATGTCTCCATTCTCCACGTAAAACTCGGGGGTTACAAGTGTCAACGAAATGCTAATACGGCTTCTGTCCTCGTCCAGCAGGCGCAGAAATCCTTGACCACGGACGAAGAAATAGCCCAACAAGGGAATACAGCTGAGCCCGTCATCGCCGTGGTGAGCGAAAACAAGATGTACTACGGATCCCTCGATACGTTAGAGGCAAAGCGAGCCCAGCTCTTGGGCCAAAAGACGGCGCTGGAACGAAAACTTCAGGATTTCCGAGAGTCTCAGCGGAGAAGGGCCGAGGAGGAGAGGGAGAGAAAGGAGTTTGGGTTCAAGAGATGAAGGCTATGAAGATTGTGTCACGGCCGTATTGGCCGATTGAGATTCCAACCCCAGAGAGATCCTTCGTCGGCATCTGGCTCCGGTGGCCCAACGGACGGCTCATAACTACTCCGCCCTGGTCGCACTCTGTTCGAACCAGATCAACTGGCCCGTGAGCCTCACTCTTCACCAATGATTCTGGTCAAATTGCGCGACGTCGACGACATTGACAAGATATAAATCACTTCCGGAGACAACGACGCCTTGTTCTCCAAGGTGCATCGAGGATGATGATGGATGGCACACGGTAAATAGGCATGTTGCTCTACGGTGGCCACGAAACAACGCCTGAGATCGTCCTGAGCTGTTCGGAAAGTCGTTGCGGGACTCGGGTCATCCCAACTTGTATACCCACCCAAAATCGACATGTTGGGGTTACCGCCCGCAGGGGGAGGAGGGGGGTGCAAGAGGAAAGCGCTGCATGCATACCTTCTGGCGTGGCTGGAGGGAAGTCCATGTCACAGCTCTCATGCATGGGACTCTGCTTCTGCAACGGATGCATATTCGGTAGTGTGAGAGAGTATACCTCACCCAGAAGAGCCATGCTCGAAACCGAGCCACGAAACAGAAGCCACCCTCGACGTTTTGTCCGAGGGAGGGTCTATTCACAAATGGACCATACTCTGTGTGGCAGCTTGCTTTTCTTCAGAACAACACATGATATTCATCAGGGAAGCCGCCCACCTGTGTCTACTCTGCTATGCTATGCTATGCTATGCATATTCTCAACCGATATCCTTGCATGTACCATTTCTTGGGCTTCGAGTTTCGTGTTCCTGGTCCCACAACTGTTATATATGTTTACGTGCCAATATATTTGTCTAGCAAGTACTCCCCCTGGGCCATCCCGTTTGGTCAAGGGAGGCGTCTTCAATCGATCACTCCTTCAAATCTACCTACTGAACAGATCATGAGCACCTGGCAGCCAGGCAGGCATGCAGGCCGGGAGATTTCCCCAGACAGCCACGTGACTACGAGGTACAGATTTGCTGCCTTTGCTCGATCTTGCAGTTCGTAGCGAGTACCGAGTCCATACGAGGCATTGGTACGCAGCCTCGTCAGCCTCGTCAGTCTCGAGTCGGTGGTGTTTATTCGGGACGCGTTGTGTCACGCCACAAACATCGAAAATGCAAACTTGTTATTGTCATTCCCCTCCATCGCGCGTTAAGGCAGCGCGCGGCGTAATATTTGGATTCCCATCCATGTCCAACGACTCGAGACAAAAGTTTGCATAGATGCCATGCAAAAGCAGAAAGACCCCGAAAACCCACACACATATCTCACACAAAACTCCAGCTCGGAACCTTTGTCGACCAATGTGTCAATGTGTCACACGCCATTTACCTCCACACCGTCCATGGTCCCCCCTTGACCTCCTCCCATGTACGAGATTCACCCCTATTCCCCGAAAAAGATTCCTGCTTCACATGACGTCCAGACCACTTTCCGTTTCCAGCCGACGTAGACCTCAACCGAAGCGAAACACCCTCGCAAATCCACTGGACCGTGTCGGAATGAACTTCTACTTCTTCGACGAGGGTCCAAAGTCGGCCTCCACCGCTTTCTGGGCACTCCGCTGCTTCTCCACCTTGAACTGGGCCACGATCGCGATGTGATCACTCGGGAAGTGGAAATTCGGAAAGCCCGGTACCCGCTTAAGATATTCCGGGTCGATGGCCCCGAGCAATCCAACCACGCGTAAAGAGTTGCTCGAGTACCAGATGTAGTCCAAGACGTCGACAAAGTTTGGCGTGTAATTCGTGAAAGGCATCTCCCCATCAATGGCGGCATATGAAGACTTGAGCGTAAAATTGTGTGACATACCTGCGCGGGAGAAAGCACCATAATCTCGGCCGTCCAAATCGGCGTGCTCGGCATTCAGCCCTTTCTTTGTGAATAGATCATAGACGGCAGATCCTGCGCCCGAGTTGAAGTCTCCACAGATTATCATCGGGATCTGGGGACCAGAGGTATATGACAATGACGGTCCAGGGTCCGGTAGCGGATCGTCCTCTGAATCAGAGAACCGGAAGGCCTGCTTGTTGGTCGCGGGTGGAAATTTGGCGTACTTGTCTGTGAGCTTGGACAGTTCTTCCATGAGGACAGCCGCTTGTATCAGTTTCACATCTTTGAACGCGGGATCCCAGTAGATGTGAGCATTGACGACAACCACGCGAGAACCCGTGACACGGTTTTCCAAGAACACAACTGTCGCAATGTCATCTCTCTGCCACACCCGGTTCAGCATGTCCGCCGATGCTTTGGCGCCAGGTCGTTCCACCGCTTTTCGTCCCAGGACAAGATGTTGCGTGTCCAGCACCATGTATTTCTTGTCTTTCCAGAAGGTGCCGCACCCATCGACAAATTTAGCAGCGTCACCCAGCGTCTCGGCACGGCTTTTCTGTGCATAATATCCCTTGTAGCCCGATATGGATAGTTCGCCTCGGAAATAATCGTCGTAGCTGCACCGGTCCAGTTCCTGGAGGCAGACAATGTCCGCGTTCATTTCCCGAATCTCTTCCAAGATCAAAGTCTTGCGGAAGCCCCATGTCAGGACGCGCTCCGGAACGTAGCCATACTGCTGCTGCGTCGCGTAGCGGTCGCACAGAATGTTGTAATTCAGCACCTTGACTGTGTCCTGGGTTGGGTCAACTTCGTCTATTTCCTCGATTTGGTGCCACTCTCTTTCCCGGGGAGGCGGAGGTTCTAACACAATATTAGCGTCAAAACATGGAAAGCAAAGATGCGAAACAAACCTGGCATGCTTTCACGGAGATATTCAATCAATTTCCTCGTACCGCCCTCCGTGATCTTGTCGCGCTGCCCTTGCTCCAGTGGATTTCCGTAGATGCCCAGCACCTCGAGTTTGTACAAGAAACCGAGTTCGTAACACAGGGTTTGAATATGGTTATTGAACAGGAGGAGTTGCTTGAGGTTCGTAAGCATGCCAATCTCTTCTGGCAATTCTGTCAGTTGATTAAAAGAGACATCCAGATGCTCGAGGTTCTTTAATTGTCCAATCTCCGGTGGCAGGGTTTCTAGTTGATTATATACAAGGTCGAGTCGTTTCAAGAAATGGTAGGACGGATTGAACAGCACGGGTGACAGCGCGCAGAGACCCTGGCCCCCTAGATCCAGCTCATCCCAGGTTTGCCTGCTAGAAGACTGTCCATTTGATGTGGTTGCCCGAGCTGTATCTGCTGGGAGGTCTTCTGCAGCCGCGCCTAACGGGACATAATTAACGCCCTTGGAGTGATGCGCAACAGTGCGTGCTCGTTGATTTGGGCCGTTGAGATCTTTGCTTTCTTCCCAAAACTGCTTTTGTTCCCTCCAATATTCATTGTCCGGCTCGTCCGCATCGTCGTGCGGTAGTCCATTACCATTTCCGTTAGAGAGGTGCTCGTGCGCGTAGGTGGGCAAATGAGGGGTTCCAGACGGGAAGCCACCTGAAAGATTGTGCTGATGTCCTAATTGTCCGGCGTGATGGTGCTGGCCGTGATGTTGAGTGACGTTGTGATGACCGTGATGGGGTGGCTGGTATTTTGGCAAGTGAAGATTCGCGTAACGCTGATGTGTTTGCGCCCCGTTCATGAGACTGTGCTGTGTCTGGTATCCATTCTGGGAATACATATTGAAATTGTGTGCGACAGAATGGCCCACGGGCGATCTCGATGGAGAGGGAGTGTCGTTGGTGAAAGGTCTTCGTCCGCCGGAAGGCGAGGAGGCTCGATTCTGATTCCGATGCGAAGTGTGTTGGGTGGGGTAATACTGCCCGGCTCCAGGCTGATGGAACCGGAATGCACCATCTGCCATCTAACACGGCAAAGGGGTGTAGGTTGAATGTTTTTCTGCTTGTGAATCGGGAGCGCAACGAGGTGGAGGCGGGGGGGTTGGGACAACTCGGTATGTTATGGAAGGTCGAGCGGAGAGCGAGCAGAATCTTCGTTTCTTCCACATGAGATCCGACGAGGAACTCGACGTCGACGGACAGATTGTCGCAGCGCGGGAGGGTTTAGGGCAACCGGCACCGTAGCGTTCGATCGAGGAAAATGAGGAAGCGGTGGTTTGGGAGAGGGATAAAGATTGAGCAAAGGGAAAGCTTGAGGACAGATCGTACAGCAGCGGATGAAAACGCCGCGGATTGTTGTCACGCAGGCACTTGTGAAGATACTGTGTGGTGTTTGACTGATTGGATATTGAGCTGATATACGGCACAGATATCAATGAAGATGGTGAATTGAGCGAGTGTCAAAAGGTGTTTGATTTGCGCAGGAGAGGGTCGTTCAGGGTGGGTGGGATAGGACTTAGAGCACCATAAGTCGCCTTCTGCTTGCCATTTGCACCTGACTGGGTGGTTTGCTGGTGCTTCCGGGAGGCTAAGACAGACGAGTGGCCCCTTGCGCTGGTCTCGATATCTTGGCATTGTTTCAGTGTTTGTCCTTGTCATCAAACGCCTCAAGGTGCGTCAGGATTACCAGGGTTGTTGACAAAGAGTACACTCTATATATTATGTCTGTTCCCATTCGTTCATCTACTAGACAAGGCTCTATACAAAATGGCCTAATTCACAAAAAGTCCATACATAGGGTATCTGACTGTGCCAGTAGTCCCCCTCGGTCACTCAATAACGCCATCTCTCACAGAAGACCACCACAGTCTATGGTAGTGATTCCAGACTACTACAAGCTTCACTGTGTCTGTCGAGAAACTCAACCCGTAAGCCGCCTGTGGGTCCAAGCACAGCCATAACGGCTGGGTTCAGAGCACTGGCTTAACGAGGTTCCCCAGATATCAGCATGTTGCCGTCAGTTTGGAGCCATTGGTCATGCACGCTATGTGCCTCGAATAGCTCCTCAGACTTCTTTATGACTCTTTTAGAAGGGACGACGTCCTTTCAGTGAGCTCTTGCTTGCTTGTAGTGTCGAAATGTCGAGTTGAGTAGCGTCTAGCTGAGGGACTCT